TTGTTCATTTTACTAAACACACAACTGCTGAATGTGTAACACAATGCGTCTTACAATCCCTCCACAACAAGGGAACACCTGCAGTCACAGATGCCTGTGTTTCCTTGTTGACTTTCTGAGACACAAGGTAATTAAGCAGAGTGTTCTACAGTTCTCTGGAGCTCAGGAAGCATTTTGGGGTTCTTCCATATAAGAAAGAAAACAGGTGAGTGTTCACTCACCTTTTCTTATAGCAGCAGATGATGAAGTCTATGATATTTTTAAATTCCTGGATATATTCTATGCATATATTCTATTTCAGACCACACAAAGATTAAAGTCTACCCTCCCATGCAGATAAGTTCACATCACAAAATAGCATCTTGGATCTTACATTTTATGACTTGACCTGTTATACTTACAGGTCAGTCTAAGCCTCCAAAACGAGCTATAGCAATCAATTCAACCTTTCTGTCTCGGCAAACCTCAGTACCTCCAGTTTTTCAAAAAACAGCCACTTAGATACTATTTTTATGTGCAGACTTTCAGAGCAATGCAGTGTGCTGAGAGTACATAACTTCTGACAAGAAAGGGGGTGAAACTAAATCACATGTGGCACGTGCTAGTCATATCACCTAGTGTGCTCCAAAACAAACAGTTCTTGCACGACCAAACTAGGTAAAATACCGTGGGTACAGAGTATGAGCATGAAACAAAGAAAAGATTAAATAATAATAAAAATAAAATCAATTAAAAAAAAAACGAAATGTTTTCCTCTAGAAGATGATGATCAGCTCTTGTTTATCTGAATCAATTTACTCACACCCACACCAAGCCCACTTGATTTTCCTCATAAAGGGCACATATTTAACTCAACCCACAGTGCTTTGAGATCCTCCTGCTAACTCCATGCCCAAATAGATTTCAGACAAAGTCCACTTCTGTTTTTCTTTATGGTGCCAGAGTTGCTGAGATATTAGAACTCCTTGAAGAGGGGAACAATAACACACACTATTGTTGCACAAAGAGAGTATACAAATTAATTTCTGTGGCACAGGAGATTATAGGAGATAAACTGCTTACTCCTGCAGAGGCAAAGCACATGGCACTAGCAAAGAATTTCAGCTTGCACATGGAACGGACAGCAGTGCCTGACACCAAAAATCAAGGACTTAAAATCTGCAATTCCTCCAGAAAATGTTGCAGTTTGCCATACAGTTATGTGCATTTAAGCCATCTGTTTGTTGGTAGTGTGTAGCAGCTCTCTCAGATCTTTATAAAAGTCAAGTTGCTAGTAAAAGGTCAGTATAAAAATCTTACTTTATACAGAGAAAGAATAGCTTGCTAATTCTCTCTCTTCATTAACATTCAAGAGTTTTCAAATGTTTGTGGTCAGGAAAAAGTAACCAACATTTTTTCAAATAAGACTTTGATTTTTAAAGGTAAAATATCAGCTGCACTGGGAAACACTGAAGGAGATACTCCTTACATTTGTACTTAGCAGGAATTGAAGCACATATTCATGTAATGCATATACAATAACTTCTCTGGCATAAAGGTAATTTCTGTTATGACAGTCTGAAAGATTCAGATGGGAAAATGTACTCTGATAAACAGAGATCCAACATGCAGTTTAAGAGATTTAATAGTATGTAGTCCCTATTTCCCAGTTCTGACTAGGACTGTAAATACTGCCTTAATATAAATCTGATTAAGAGAAATCTCAGCAAAACTCATGCTCCAGACTAATACAAAGTAGAAACTTTTCAGTTTGTTTGATTGGCATCTGTTTATTCTGTAAAGGAATAAGGAAAGTACAGCTTTGCATTTAATAGCAAAGTATCATTCTTGATCTACAGATAAAACATCCCCAAACTTCTCAGAGGATCTACACATACTAAAAAGTTTCTTGTAAGCATGGATTAGAGCCCTGCTTTCCCTTCCTTTCCCTTCCCAGAGAAACAAAAACACCCACTGCTTTTTTTCCAAGCTGTTGCTCCCTTTACCAGCCTGAAGAAGCAGATGCCATACTAGTGCACAGTAGAGGAGATCTCACACAGCTTAAATCAGGTGACACCCTAGGCCCCAAATACAATGAATGCACACAGACTTCCCACTGCAGAAAGCCTGGAGCTTCTATGCCTGATACTTAATAGTCAGCAATGTAAATCCTCCTGTGCATTTCCCCATGTGACAGCCCAAGGTCTGAAGGCCAGGACCACCCCTTGGATTATTGTCACCTGGGCTGTGTCACAGGATATCTGTGCATTTCTCCTCATATGCCAGTGCCTAAAGTGGAAATTAATATAGTGGCAAAAACAAGTTTCTTTACTATTATACTTTATTTCCATGAGAATACTAGCACCAAAGATACAGAATCCACAATAAGATGTTTTTCTGTCTAGCTGCAACAACAAAACTGTTAAGCATATCTAACAACCTTGTCTAACTGCTTCTAGTACCTTTCTTATTGATAAACATCTGTTATTGTAGGTTAAAGCATCTGCTGAACTCTGCTGAACCCCTGACAGGCTTTAAGTCTTAAATCCTTTTAGATTTATTGGGCTTCTTTCCACTCTGAATTCATAATAATTTAGGAACAAAAGCCTACTTTCTGCTGGCTTGAAGAGAAATGCCCACCAGCCAACTAGGCAGAGAATACAACTGCAGTCAAGCCTAGGGTCCTGCTACCCAAGAGGACTGGGGTGGCTCCTGGGGTGGCTGGCCATGCCCCAGGGACAGTAGGGGGACAGTAGGGCCTTCAGGAAGGAGTGGGAAGTCCTCTGCAACCCTAGTGATACAGGTGGCTGCACGTTTTGTAAGACAGGAAAAGTGAGGCAGTGTTGGACTCTCCCCACACAACACACAGGAGCCCACCACGAAGCCAGATTTTACATGGGTGCTTTAACATCTCAGACCTCTTCCACTCTAATTAAACTGGTGATGAAAAGCATCTCTGCACCAATCCAAATACTGTCAGGAAAAATTCACACAGATCTCTTTGACTTTAAATAAAAATGCCAATGCTGAATTTATTCACTGCAAATTTTGGGAAGATTCATATTAAGATGTCTTTTGCAAAGTCTGAGCCAGTGTCAGTACAATCTTTAATGGTGCATGGTAATTCTGCAAATGAATTGCAGCTCTTATTCTGCCTCTTCTTTTTCTGTGATTGACCTAAAGTGAGAATTAATTGAAGGGGAACAATTGTTTGATATCTCTGATGTGTTAGTGTGTTGAAACACAAAAGGGAGGAGAAAAGCATCTGAGCTAAGTTTCTCTGAGCACTCTTCTACACCTTAGTGCTATTTCTTTTAACAGCTTTACAGTGGAAATAAGCTTCAGTAAATGCTTAAAATGGCTTTTTGTTGCAGAAGATGAGCAACTCTTTTTAATAGAAACTAACCATGAGAGCAGAATATCACCACTTAACTACTCTTGCTGATATGACTTGTACAGCCTGGGGTCATCCCCACTACACTGCCTCTCATTTTTCAGAAAGATACAGTGACTGTGTTGAGCCACTTTCCATATCCCCCAGATTCAATTCAGTGACTTATGAGAAATCTCTGCCACTTTCAGCTTTAGCAGCCTAGCAGGAAACTTTTTCAGGGAGATCACCAAGGAAAGACATTGTGCTATAAGGAAGTGACACTTACTAATGAGGACTCGGTGTGTCCTGGCACTTGACGTTCTCCAACTGTAGCACAGAGGTGGATCTGATCTATGTAAAAAGAGTTATAAATTATGTAGACCCAGAACTGACTGAACTCAGTTTAGATTAGCATGCTATTTTAGTCATCCTCACTCATAGCATGTGGCTTGCTTGAAAAAGAAAAGCAATTAAACAAAAAATATGGAAGCATTTTATATGAAGACAGAATGCAGGTTTTGTTTTTTTTTCTTACTCTCCTTATCTGTCTTGTTCTTTAAATTTCTTTCTGGGAACTAAAGCCCTGCTTTTGAGTATATGAATTGCCATGTGAAATCAGATTAAATCTGCTGTTTTTCCAGGAGGCAGATATCTTGCTTTCCCTGGTCTTATGCAGCTTTAACATTCTTATTTAACATTCATATTTTCTTTCTGAATAGCTAGTTCTTTTTTTTTTTTTTAACAAGTCTTTCCACTTGTGAGCATGTAATAAGTTTCTCTGAAGATCAAGCTCATTTTGATCCTTGAGATTCTCTCTGTACAACAAATATATTCTCCCTTTCAGACTTTTTACTCTATTTGTCAAACATTATGTAGTACTTTAATGACTATGATTAACTATGAGTGCTCAACACAGGATTCCCTCAACAATCATGAATTAATAGCAAAAGCAGCAGGTGATGCTCAGGAGGGGCTGAGAGGGGTTATCTCTCATAAGTTTGAATTCTTGTAACCTGGCCAAGAGCTTCAGGGATGGCAGAGGTCATGAACCATGTATGCAGACCCAGAAAAAAATGTTTTCCAGATGTTCTTACAGAATCTTCTTAATCTCAGGTGCCCACATCCTCAGAATCCTCACACATTCTCAGAAAAGAAACCAGTAATTTGGCTCACAATTGATGGAACAATTGCAAAATACTTCACAAAACATCTTTCAGGAGTAAATGGATTTGTTTATGTTCCCCATATCTATGTGAGATTACCTGATGTGCTTTGATGTGCAGAAAACATGATTCTTTGATTGTTTCTTAGAAGAGCAGTGAACAGATTTGAATAGATGTTAGAACATGTCCATGTCCATCATGGGCTCTCCTGACACTGGCTTCTGAAATAAGTATGTGAAATTTTGTTTTCTGGAGCAAAAGACAAATTTTGGAGAGAAATAAAAATTAATCCATGGGAGTGTGATAGTCCAAACACGACCTCCTCTGGGGATATCAGTTGTTCTAAAAAGTATGATAAGAGGATGCAGTATGTGAGGACTGTGAAAAGGTGAAGAAGAGCAGTCCCTCTGCCCCCACCATTCCACTGTCATTCCAGTGTCATCTGCAATACCTCCAAATGCCTGATGTACTCTTTTCCTTTTCAGTGCTCCTTAGCAACACATCCAGATTTTACTTTACCCACCATGAAGGCCACAGTTGTTGCAACCTTCTTTGGTAAGTACAGTTGATGTGCTGAAATTAGTAGTTTATGGGTTTGTACCCTCCCATCCTGGATGCCCAGTGGCTACTGACTAATTCTCTTCCCTTTGCTGATGAAGTTCTCAGTGGCAGGTGTAAGTCTTGGCACAGCTTTTCAGAAACACGATACACAAACTTCTTGATTTTGGCATAGAAAAAAATATTAATTACTTGCAGTGATCTGCAAGTATATGACTAGTTACATGCAGTCCATATCAGGTGGGCCTGAAAAATGTATGTAATGTAAAGATTCCTTCTAAAGAAAAATCAGCTGTTTCAATTCTCCCTGTTCCTGTTCTTTCCATGAACAAGATGGTAACAAAAGGTTATAAATGTGTCTTATTTTCTTTCCCCTGGCAGTCAGACAGGATCTCACTTTTTGGGAACATGTAGAAACTCCAGAACTTGCAATTCATCTTACATGAACACTCTGGTTGTGATATTCCCAGGCAATATCCCCTCTAGCTGTTATCTTCAAGTCTGTCAGGACAGTTGTTCTTAGTTCAAATTACAGCAGTTTATGTAGTTCTTCTACAGAAATTACCAGGTTACTTCCCCCACATTAGATTATGCTGCAACATTCCAAGTAGTTGAGATATTGCACTTTGTTTTCTACTCATGCATTAATATTTTTTTTTAACTAACTACAATTTTGTCATGGTTACACAACTGCACTGGTGACAAAAGGCCCAAATACTGCACCTATGCATTGTCACTTCAGACAGTGTGAGACTGCTTTAACTTTTAAGCAAGTTCTAGGTAGTTAAGTCTACAAACTCTCTGCAATCAGTCTAGGGGGAGAAAAGCATAAAAGAAGGAAATTACTTCTGTTGTATATTCCAGTAAGATTAGTTTAAGAAGGGATAAAAGGATCAGCTGACACATCATAGAGAGTTTGAATTCCCTTTGAAAGCTCACAGAAGGGAAAGGTGAATAGGAAAGTCAAGATATTTGTAATGAAGTTAGCAATTACCCATGATACAGTGCTTATAAAATAAGCAGAGAGAATAAAGAGATTTTGTATGTCATCACTTAGCAAGTAAACATAACATGGAAACCTACATGAATATATTGGGATGTAACTTTTAATGTAATGTGTAAATATGTCTCTTTTGCACTTTTCAAATCATAATCCTGCTTACTGAAGAAAATGAATGCCCTTGCTGGGACATGCCACCCTAGAACCTCACACAGTATGTAATGCTGCCCAGTATCCCACACCTGCTGCCACCAGTGAGTGAAATGTCACAACACAAAATCACAGAATAACCTTCCCAAATGGTTATTAAGAAGAATCTTTGGTTCCTGACATTCCCAGTTGCTTTATGCACAGAGCATATTGTTTCATTAGCATCTATCTAACTATCACACTAATTACAAAGAGTTCCCACTGCTTGTGGAAATATTTTTGTGGTTTTCTGGACCACATGGTCTCCATGGCATCTTTAGATAGTGAGTTGCATAGAATGTGTGAACTGAACTGAACTGATCTTTAATCCCCTTCAGAGAACTTCCCCACTGCAGATGCCATCTTGACTGCAAAGTTAACCATCAAGTAGAAACCTAGATGAGACTGAGAATATTCCTTTTTCAGGTTTCCAATCTGTTGATTAAAATTTAAGAAATCTAATGTGGAGAAGCTTGTGGTGACTGATGTTGATAACCCACCTTTTTCCTGATACTATGTTTATTTGTTCTAGGTGTGTTTCTTACATGTACGTACACAGCCAAGGAAGCCACAAAAAAGACAAAAAAGGTTAAGCTATGTAAGTGGTCTCAGTGGAATTTTTGGCTGTTTTACAGCAGACATGTCCAGTGCATAAGAAAGGTGCAAAGTAAGATTATATTCTGGTAACTCTTCACAATTGTCTAGAGTCAATGGCATTCTATATTAGCTAAAAGATTCTTTTATTGTAAACAAATCACTGAGTAAAATGTGTGCTACTTAACATTTGGAAAGGAAAATTTTGTAATTCACTACTAAAATGTGTCTTCAAAAGTCATTAGGTATCACACAAGGATCAAAGCAAGCACTAAGGTTTTCAGAGAGAGAGAGACATAAATACATGAAATGGACCAGCTGTAACACAGGGCACATGTAGCTGATTAGTGTGAGACAAGTGATGCATCTTGTGTACTAGGATGCTCAACTTTCACCTATTCTGCTGCAGGAGCATTTCTGTCCACAAATTATTTTGCTCATGTAGCTGCCAAACAAGCCTGCTGCAAGGTTGTAAAAGCACATTTAAATCCCTTGTTCAAAGTAAATCGTACCCACAGAAAGTTTTAAAAATTAAGGACAAGATATGGGGCTGTGACTTCAGCCTGACATAAAGAGAGAACAGAGCTACATAAGCACAGTGCTTGGGAAGCATCCCCACCCCCTCCTTCCCACGTGTTAACCACAGGCTGAGTGACTACACTTCCTTCTCTCTCCAGCAAAGTGTCATAACAGATATTTCCCTCAGAGAAGCAAACACTGAAGGTCAGAAATACCCACAGGCTTCTTTATTCCATCCTTAGTTACTGCCACATCCCTTGGTATAGGGGTTATTATGTGTTATGTTGTAGATGGAGAAGACACAGATGTCTTGTATCTCAAAACCATTGAGACTCAGCCATGAAAGCATTCAATCTGACTTTACCAAGATTTTGCACTCACAGATGTACCCCAGATTGATTGTGATGTCAAGGCGGGGAAGATAATCAATCCAGAATTCATTGCAAAATGCCCTCCTGGATGTCAAGATGTAAAATACCGTGTTTATGGCACAGACATTTATGCTTCTTTCTCCAGTGTCTGCAATGCTGCAATTCACAGGTGAGTGAATTGAAATGAGTGAGGCACTCAGATAAAACTGTCATTTCAGTGCAGGGAGCTTCTGAGTTTTCAAATTATTTAGGGTTCCCACTTCCTTGTAGGGTTGATTGCAGGCTGCTGTAGAAAACCTGACAGAAAGTCTATGTGTGATGGAATGGATCCATCCTTATAAAGTGCTGTCAGTCCTGTATTCCTATAGAAATTAGTTGTGTTTGAAGAAGTTTCTCAGCCTTTGGAGAAGTGTCTTGTGGTTTCCAGATTTCTCATTCACACATAACAAATTACTGTTGTACTATTATTATTCAAGTGGAAGATAGAGATGGAGCTGCTACTACTAATAAATCTTCAGAAAAAAATAGGCATATTACCAGTGATGAATACATATGACTCTCATACTTCTGGGATTGGTTTGGTTCTCTGGGTTTGAATTTAATTGTCTTTGACATCAAAGACTGAGTAATATGCTTTCCTGCTTCATAAAAGGACACTGCACAAGGAAATGAGTAACATAAATTTTGTAGCAAAAGTTTTTCAGAATTTTATTAGCCATGCAAAAAATGTGCATAAAATTCTAACAGAGAATAACTGCACAACCAAAACACACTGCAACTGGAGATAGGATGCACAAGCAGGATGTATCAAAATATGCAGCAAGAAGTTCTAAAGCCTGATTGACAGCTTGACTTAGTTTGGAGATATTTGAGCTATCGCTGTGCTTTCGGGCTGTGAAATACCTGGGATCTCGGGTACAGTGAAAGCTTTGGGACTCCCCCCATTGCCTGTGTGCTGCTCAGGCTCAGTGAGGCGCCTGTGTGCGCACAGGGCTGCCGCCTCCTGGCGCTGGGGCGATGCCTCCAGCCACCAATTGCTCCCTCCCATCCCAGTGCACAATGGAAACTGCCTCGGCACACAGAATTAGTCCCAAAGGGAAGTTTAAAAACACCGGCAGCAATACTGCAATCTCCCTGCAGCCTGGCCAGCTGTATTATTACAGTGAGGGTTTCAGTTTTTCTCATCTGCCAGCTGGTTTTGGCTTTGTTAGCTTACATGTTGCAATTCCATAAACGGTGAATTTCTTCTCCATACATTTATTTTAACAGCAGCTTGTCACAATTACCAGAGCGAAATACACCTCTAACATACTCTTCAATCCTGTTTGCTGCCCCATACTTATTTTCCCAGTTGGTCATTACTGCCAGCCCTACAACTCCCCTACCGCTGCAGTTGCTTCCTGGTTGACTTGCTGTTCTAGTGATGCCAGAGCAGACTGCACACACTGAAGGTTTTCTGTTTGTCTTTTTTTTCTGTTTAACACACATGTTACAGTGTGTGTTAAACACCATTTGATGTGCACCACACCTGCACTCTGCCAGATTTTCTGCATTTTCCAGCAATATTGCGTCCAGTTTACTCCAGGCTGAGGTCAGAAATGTGCTTGGATTTTTGTAGAAGACACATACCGAGACTCAAAGAAAACACATTCTGTCATGTGCTTGGCCTGAAAACTCCTCTGAGAACCTCTTCCTGTATCTTCAGTAATTCAATGAAGCTTGATGGAATTGTAAAAAAGGCAGTAGCTTTTTCTTGTGTGCAACTAGGTCAAGCTTAAACAGAGGACCAGCAAATCAGTGGGAAGAGCAAACAGATCCTGACAGCACTTTGCATCAAACTACTCTTCTTTACGTAGAAGGAGCACAAATATTTCTTAGCAGCAGGCTTAGTAGTAACATCACAGCCCCACCACCACCCCTGGTGTAAAGGTTAAAGGAATCACTTCATACCTCTTGTGTCGTAGAAGGGTTTTGAAGGTCTTTGTGGAATTTCTGCCCTCAGACACTATGTTTCCTCCTTGCAGCGGTATAATTGACAATACAGGTGGGAAGGTTCTCATCCAGAAAGTCGCCGGGCACTCTGGTTACCGTGGGAGCTTCTCCAATGGTGTCCGGTCCCTGTCACTGCCACGCTGGCGGGAGTCCTTCCTCGTGTCAGGTACCATCCTGGGGTGGGGCACTCTCCCCCTGCTCCCCAACACTGATTGCTTGTGCGAATCCAGAGCTTCCCTCTGTCTGCCCTGGAAGTTCTGGGACCCTGGCAGGGGGTCAGGAACCCCCCTGTACAGAGCCCCGAGAGACACTGTCTCTGGTCTCTGTCCATGGAAAAGAGTTTTCAATCTTACAGGATGAATTACAAGCTCTGAGTGTTTGATATAAGTAATAATTAAGTGTGACACGGGTGTAAAAGTAAAATTTTAGGATTCTAGATTAGGGGTTCAAAGGAGACAAGATGGAGGAAATTGGGTGTGTCTTGTCCTTTTTCTCCTTCTTTGTGCCCTCCATGTTTCACTGTAGTGTTGGCATTTTTCTATTGGTTTAGGCTGGGGACACACTGTTCAACGTAGGTGATAGATATTGGCACATTATTGTAAATATAGCACACGTAGTTTCTGGTATATAATGTTTGTAACATCCCGCTGCGGGGCAGAGCCCCACACGCTGCCCTGCAGGACAGACCTGCAGTAGGGCAGCAGAACATGTTAGAGATAAGCAAGAATAAACAACCTTGAAACCAGCACAGACGAATTATGACTTCTTCTTTGGCAACGGGGCAGAAATACAGAGACTTTCTACAATCTCGGGATCATCAATACCTCAGATTCCGACAGCTGAGCAGCAGTGGGCAGCAGGGGAAGCAGCCTCTCGTTTCACACACCTGGTTATCACCACAGGCCCACCCCCCTAGCTTTGGCAGGAACAGTGCATTTGGGACACTTCTTGTTCTGGGCTTCCCCTGTAGCCTGCAAATAGACCTGCACCCTGCTAGGGATGTGCCCAGTGCAGGTCTGAGCCCACTGCAGGAGGTAATGGCTGCCCTGGACTGAGCCTTGGAAGGCACCTAACTCCAGCTATTGATGCAGAAAATCTACTGCTCTTCACCCTGGAAAGCAGTGCTGCTGAGGAAACTGAAAGGCCTCTTGGCCATTTGAAACATCCTCACCCTGCACCTGAATTTTTATCTCCTGAAATGACTTCAGACTTATGTCAAACCCCATATAGCCCTACTGTATATATACAAACCCTATATTAAGCTATTTGACTGGTGCATCCCAAGTATATCAGGAACTCTCTCCACCTCTGTTAGCCAAATAGTTTTGATATCTAATCACTGCAGGTAAATCCATCTTAATTTAATGCTCATTCCCTTTGCCTCCCCACAGTATATATCGGAACTCACTTGCATTTACCAACTAAATTAAGTTTTTGGTGTTTTTTTTTCTTTTCAAATTAGACCCCCTTTACACCAGATTCAGATTATCTTAAAAAACCTACTTGCACTCACTCTAATTTTGTGGAAGAGGTTTTGCTTGACCTTGCTTTACATAAAAATTCTAAATCTATCTTCTAGATACATTGGGCCAGTTCTTGCCAGTCTGCACTGTTGGAGGTTTAAGATAGGTAAAACCAACTGATGTTAGTTAACTACATAATTCCTGGAAAAATCAACAGCTCAAACAACTGAAGAGCTACTAAAAATAATGTTCTGCTCATGTGAAAATCTGTGGACAGCAAAAGAGGTCTCAGAAACTGACCAAAACAAACTGTCATCTTAATTTCGCATTCATGTGTTTGGATGCACTTTTTCACAGTAGTCTGCCATGGGTATACCATATTATGAGAAGGATTTCTTTTGGATGAATAGGAATTTCCTGGAATAGCTGATTTGCTACTTGTACTTGTTGCAGTTTTTTTCCTCCACAGCACATTGTAATTCTGGTGCAAAAGTGAGAAATAGGATTTTTTTTTTTACCTCAGCAGCTGCTCAGTTGTCATCCTGTAAAACTGTAGAAATTTGTCCATGAAACTGTAGGAATTTTTTATTTATGATAATAAGTCTTTATTCTTAATTAATGAGACACTATAAAAGAAGATACAAGAGAAAGTTACAAGAGCATATCAAAGATTATGAGAAACCTGGGTATGTGTAGGCATGATGAGATTTGTCCCTTGTGCACACTGAGTGCTCTCACTCATGACAGTAGAACTCTTAATTTATAAACTAGCTTAAATGTAAGTCTCACATATTATATAACATACATACTGTATTTTATATATGAACAGGAAAAAAACTTTCACTATGCCTACTGAAAATGTGAGAAATTAAGAATTTTAGAGAAATTTAGAATAGTAAAATGAGGAAGGCTGTGCTACTCATCTCAGCAGCCTGAGGCTGAACGCATACATATCTCCTTCTCAGAAACAGAGCAGCTGGGGATGGATTTTTTATGATCATGAGTCATAAAAAGCCAGAGCTGCATAAAGCATTGCCCAATAAAAATATAAAGTCACCTAAGGCATTAATTTCAGAATGGCTTTAGAGCTTTAGAACTGAGTCCCCTATTCTCCAGCTGAATTTTCTTTCATCAGACCAGACCTATGTGCAATACTGTACCCTGGAAAGGTGCCAACAGCTTAATCTAGTTAGGATATTGTCACCGTGTTTGTGATGTTTAAATTGTGAATGAACATCCACACAAAAGAACACAGAAGAGGAATCCCTGGGGGACCCAGGGTATAAAGTGGCATGATTTAGGGGCAGTGGAGAAGGAGGTCTGTCCTCTTTGATTAAAGCAGCCAGCACACCAGGAGGTATGCAAACGCTTTAGTATTCACTTTCAAGCACTGAAATGCCTTGGCACTCAGCTGAATGACTCCATTCAGTTTAGTGGGAGTTTTGCAGCTATTGGGTTAAGAAAATAGTCCTGAACTTCTGGGTTTGCTAGTCACAAGTAAGTGTGAGAGGGTGAACAGCCACTGTACTATAGCACCCACCATACCATAGCTTGTTTTCAATGGCCAAAGCTGATGTTTTCAGCCCACATGAAAACACATTTTTAAGTATGTTAAGCAAACTCCAACCTAGATGTAACTTTTTCCCAATAGTGAAAAAGAGATATTACCATTGCCCCAGAGAGCAGGGCCACATTCAGGTCAGGCCTTAGGCCTACCTCTTGGTCACATATAGGATGCAAATTGCTGATGACCAAAAATCACAGAATCCTCCCCACCCTAGCCAGTGTATTTTCACAGCACCAGGCTTAAGGTTTGCATCAGAAATCAGTTTAGCACAGAAATATACCAAATTAAGATCAGATAATCATGCTATTGCTGTATCAACTGCTCATGCTGACAACTCATTCTCTGTTTTGGGATAAAGGAAAGCATTTAGAAATCATCTGTGATCTTGTAACTTTTCTGACTTTCTACCAAATTAGCAGATCTCCCTAGCCTTTCTTGGCTCCTGGGTCCCATTTTTAGCTCAGAGGGAAGTGGATGTGAAAACCTGCTGCCCTTTACGTAAACCAGCTTCTGTGAGAGAAGCCCAGAAGGCAAGAAGGAAGTTCTTTCCACTTTGTCCATGCATGATAACTTACCAGCTCTGGTCTTTGGTGGATCAGTGTTGACTTTAGTTGAGCTGCTCTCAGCTTTTATCACTAAATGAGAAATGGAATAGTTTTTTACATCATTACCTCATTAGTAACTCTTCTTTATCTATAGTTTTGCAATGACATCTAAAATTTCCGAGAAGAGCAAAACAAAGGAGAGAGAGACATGAAAAGGGACAAAAGACAGGGACTCTCCAGCTCCAGGGACATCCCTCCTCATTAGAGTTCCTCTAGCATGCACCTTTCTTTGTGTGTCATTGGTACCTTGGAGTGGCCACCTAGAGGCTAGACAGAGTTAAGAGAATAAAGTAGGTATTAAAGGCCCTCAAAGATACACCTTGGGTAGTGCAAAAGCCTCGCAGATGGACAACAGACAATAAAGTTTCTAAGACACATATATGTTTGGTCTATTTGCACATCAGAGGCAAATTGTCCAATTATAGCTTCAGGTAATGAAGTCATATATTCCCTGGGTTTGCTTCCATCCCGATTCACTTCTGGTTCATACTTTTCAGGGCCTGAGGCAGAAGGTGAACTTGGTTCTCAGGCCTGGAAGGATTGCTTTACCTGACAAAAATGTGAAGGGAGCTTACCAGTAAACTACATGGAGTTCAGAGTTATACACTAATTCAATACAGGATCTGAAAACTATAAAAGCTAAAAACTTAAGGCATCACCATCATGGGAGCAACAGTCCCCAGTTCCCAGGAGTGGCTCAGTCTGTAGGAATTAATTCTGTTCAGTGCTGCTGGTCTCTGTATTAATCACCCAGGATGACAACTGACATGCATGCAGTGCCATATGTACCTCCTTAAAGAATCCCCCAGGGGTATAGAGGAGAGATCATCATGACTCAGGTTTTGCAGGAGGTGGAGAGAGGTCTCACCAGAGGTGGTCCGGATACATGACACAGCACAGCATCTCATAGAGACACTCAGCAGGGTCCAGAAAGGTCCCTCACCTCCTAGAGGCCAAAGCAGTCTTCCCTGCTGGGCTTTTCTGCAACACTTTTCATTCAGTGATGTATTTGATTATAAAAACTGTCCCCAGAGACGGGGACACACGTACCAACAGAGATGGCATCTGCTCTGGCACTGAAAAGATTTGTGGTTTAGAGCTTAACTGGGAAACATACCTCATTGTTTCAAGACAGGACTCTCATTTTAGATCTAAATATAGGTACCATATGTTCCCACACACAAGCACAGCCTTCTCTCACTGTTATTACTGCAAAAGACTGTTGCCAGAAATGGCATCTTGCAGAAGTGAGGTCAGAGAAGAATGCTGTGTGCGTGATGAAATGAATCCCACATCAAACATGTTCTCCAAGTCAACTGCATAGTCAGGCATTGGAGAAAGCTGCCTAGGGAAGCTGTGGGTTTAATTAAAAGTTGTACAGATGTTTTTCAGGAATGGTCCCCTTGTACTTAATATCATTTGAGCACAAAAGATTGAACTAATTTGCCTCTGCAAATCCTCCCCAGTCCTGTGTTTTCGTGCTTTCTAACTCCTTTTTTGTGATTCTGGATTTAGGCACTAATATTTTTAGTGGTATGGTTTTGAGATTCTGCCATCAGATGAAAGAAATCTTCATGAAAATTAATTGAGAAGTAAAGAAGAGGGATATGATTCTGTATGCCCATGTTAGATGAGAAATTTATCATAAAAACCTTGAATATTTTGTGATGCATTCTAATATATATTTTTTGTAGAGGGCAAACCAAGAAAAGGTGTGACTTATCCATCAAATCTTGAATATACTTCTTCAAAAAGCACAGCTGTTAAATCAGGCAAGTATTTGTGACTGACTTTCCCTTACATCCATTCAAAGCTATCTGTCATAATTTCTCAGTTGTATAATACAAAGACATAACTATTCAGAGACAGAAATTCATGCATCCATTAGTATGTCATCCAAATCACTCATGGTATTTTTTTAAGTATATGGTAATCATCTCAGACAATTTCTATTTTTTGGTCATACCATGTTTCACAAACTTCCGTTTCCAAATAATTTCCCCCTTGCTTTAGATCTGTTACTGAATGTTATGGTGTACTGGTTATATGCAAGCATTTGAGGTGATACATGTTGTTTTTCGCCTAATGTTACTCATGTTATCTCTTGGGGTGGTCAGTCCTGAGAGTATAATATTAAATAGCAATATAATACAAATGGTAATCCACAGAAGCTTAACTAAGAATGCTACAATAAAGAACTACTCTGTATAATCATTTTAGTTTAGCATCCACTCTGTAAGACTCAACTCAGTTTAAATAATTTAGTTGCTTGAAGAGGTCTTTGATCAAGTTTCACACTGGTGGGTAGCTGACATTCAAGTGCACATGGATTACCACTGAAATGACCCTTGGTTTTGCTCCCTGTTACAGCTATGTAAGGTTCAGACTCTCTCTTGGGGATGCAAACAGAAAATGAATGTCTCATACTACAGTGCACTTCCCTTACACCGTCCTTTTACTGATTGCTGAGCCTGAGCCTTCCTGGGCATATCCACTGTGAGCTGTGGTAAAAGGAAATGAGCTGTATCTTCTCCATGAACTCAAATTCCTGGCACTGGGTGCATTCATCCAAGACCACAGAGAGGTTACTTGGAGACCTACTCTTCTCCTGTACATTATTGTTTGGTCCTTGGAAGAAAAGTACAGAGCTCTTTTCTCACATAATTTTAGAATCATTATGGTCAGAAGAAGGCCATCAAGCACAACTCAGCACTGTCATCATGCCCATCATAACCACGTCCTTAAGTGCCACATCTACGTGCCTTGCAAATATGTCCAGGGATGGTCACTTTATCACTTCCCTGGAAAGCCTGCTCCAAAGATTGACAACACTTTCTGTGAAGAAATTCTTTCTAATATCCAGTCTAAACCTACCTGGGAACAACCTGAGGCCATTTCCTCTTGACTGACCCCCACCTCACTACAACCTCATTTCAGATATTGCAGAGATCCTTTAAGTCCCCTCTGAGCCTTGATGTTTTTTTCCCAGGCTAGAACAACTGAGTTCCCTTAGCTGTTCCTCATAAGATTTATGCTCCAGCCCTTTCACCAGCTTCGTTGCCCTCCATCTTTATATTTTCACTTAAACAGAAGCCAGTTTAAATCTAAAAGAGTAGTTGTTCAGACCAAATATATGCAGCTCAATTCCATGCCTTTATTTTGTAATACCTTTGCATTTACAATCAAATAGGTACAGATTTGTATATTTCTTGACCACACATGCAGAAATTATTTGACCCAAACACCATGCTCTGCTAGAGGGGAGGGCAATACCTTAGGAATCTTGACTTGACTTTTTCTGAGAAATGTTCATTAAATCACAGCTCATCATCCCCAAGTGTAGCCATACTTGAAATATCAACCCACACATTTCAAAGCAGACCAGAGACAATCACAACCAGAACTGAGCTTAGCAGGCTGTAAGCAATGGTGTCTTCCACCAGTGCCAAAAACCATGTAACGTAAGAATCAGTATAGAAATGGGGAGCATCACCAGTCAGGGTTCTGCCACACAAGCAAAATACCAAAAGCTTGTTCCTGCAGCAAACCAAAGACACAAATCTTTGCTGTGTGAATGAAAATGCCTAATAACAAAGACAGTGCATTCATGCAGAGAAAGCCCAGGATTATCAGAGGAGCAAGCAACTATTATATCAAACCCAACCCAGTGTCACCACATGATTTTTACCCAGCCTTGTCCCACAGCTACAAAGACATCCATTGTTCACAATCTATCTTCCTCAAGCTCTACTTGGCCCTATCAGCCCTCCGTAGATCTGCCCCCTCAACTCAGCCATCTCAGCTGTTCTCTGTTAGAAACAGCTTGTCTTTAAAATAATCCTGTCTCTGTAATCCACAGCCAGGGCCATTTGGTGAAAGAGAATTTCCTACTTACTTTTTAATATTAAAAAGAGCTACTTTTTCTTCTAATTTTAATTATAGACACCACACGGCTCACTTTGATACTTAAATCCATTATCTGCAGGAAGAAAAAGCAGTCCTTTGAGTATTACACTCACTGCTGCCAGATTAACAAAAAAAACCCTACTTCATACCTGATCAGCTGTGAGAGATGCAATTTTAGTCCTCATCCCAGAGATGCCAGAGATTCATAGTGCCTGACATTTCTTTAAATGCTCCTGGTGGTTACAGTACTTCTCAAATGCTGGGCACAGCAAGCAAAGCCTTCCCAAAACTCTTAACAGCTGCTCAAAGCTATTAAAAGATGTTTAGAAAAAACAGTGCAAAATTTTAGGAAAACATTAACACTGCAGTAAATTCTCAAACAGTTTGATGCTGCCAAAAGAGCTAGAGAATTAAAACAAAAAAAAAAAAAAAAAAAAAAAAAAAAAAAAAAAAAAAAAAAAAAAAAAAAAAAAAAAAAAAAAAAAAAAAAAAAAAAAAAAGGGGGGGCGGGAGAGAATCCTCCAGTACTCAGTGAGATAAAAAAGCAGAAGTACAGAAGTAGATTATTTTGTGAGGTAGCAGTAAATAAACTATAAGTATTCCAAGTATGTTGGTATCTCTGGGTTTTAGAAATAAAAAAAAAAAAAGAACAAAAAAATCTCCCTTTTCCTTCTAAGCCAGTCCATGGCATTCAGGATTTGGCCCCATAATGATCTCAAAATGTCAGGCAAGAAAGAAATACATCTGAACATGAATTAGTGACTGATAGATTGTACATTAGCAAGTACTTCCCAAACAGCATAGACACATCATGATCCTGGTTCTCAGAACATGCGACTACTCAGAGGAAAAAAATATAATGCATTAAATCTTATGAGTATTGGCTTATTGCTGGCAAATGCCCATACTTCTCACCTACTTCAAAAATTCTGTTGATTCTGTCAGGAACTTTTGGGCTGTAAAAATGCCAAAGTTTAGCATGAAAGATAAGGGGTGACTGGTCCCTAGGAGTTGCTTTTTCCCAGTAGGTGATAAAGCCCTGATTGGACTGCCAAACATTCCTAATGCCATGTGACAGGATGCCTTCCTTTGGGGACTGATAATCTCTAAATGGGAGACATGAAATTATTTTCTTTACAGAGCTGCCTTTTCTAATGTGCTCAATTTTGCTTCAGAGTCTAAAAAAACAGAGCAAGACGTAAAAGGTATGAAGAGTGCAGACACTGCTAACACATCAGGAAAAGCATCACATGAAGGTAAGGGTTGGGGATCTTGGTACTCTTTACAGTATCCAACCCCCCTAATCTGCCTGCAGGTGCTTATAGGAAGAATTTTGACGCTGGTTACACAGACAGCTTTACCTCCCCCATCCAACCTCCTCTCCACAGCTCCTTTCCCACCAAACCAAACTGCAATGGAGCTTGAAGGGCTTATGTTAATTCAGAGAAGAGGGTACCCACAGAATTTAATTTCCGCTTGTGCTTTGAATGAGTTCAGGTTTTGTGAACTTGAAAATCTTGCATTATGGTTCTTGGCAATCTCCTATGCAGGGCATGTGCCCTGAAAACCCTTTGAATACCCTGTGAAAGAGATGGGTACCCTGCCTGCAGGAGCACTGGGAACAGCTTTCTCTTGTGTTAAAGGATCCACTAGAAACTCAGCCAACATGCACCAAGGGAACAGCTTTTCTTTGCTCTTACTATGCTGCTTCCTCAGGTTTTCTGCTAATACTGTTAGCTTCCAGCTTCCTTGCTCCTCACTGACTGGGGTATAAAGCTGGCCAGTGTGCCTGCTCCCTATTTCAGCAGTACAGGATCACAGGGGAAGACTCACTGTGCCCTCTGTTTTCTTTCTTTTAGCACAGTTTCATGGAGCAGTGCACTGTTCAGCCCAAAAAGAGCCATTCATGCTGATTTTTTCAGCTGAGTTGTTGTTTTTCTGCTGAGCCCTCTTTCAGCATTATTCCATTAAAACTGACTGAGATCTGAGTTTTTCACTGCCTAGCATTAGGTGATAATTAATCCACCAGACAGTTTCACAACGATGCCTTCCAAAAGAAGAACATCCAGAAATAGCAGTAGAACACAAGCTTGTGTTGTGCAGCAGTGCATAGAGAGAGCTCCGTTCCCGTTAAATGTAAACAGTGTGTCAGGCCATCCCCAGGGCTATCGGCAGGGAGGAAAGGAATAAGACCAAGGTTAACATGGAATATATTTTAGCACAGTTTTATTGTAGCTAGATGGAAAAGATAACAGTGAAGAACTTTTTCTGAGAAAATGACTTGGAAGAACCTAAGCATGTTGACTATTTTTATAAGGATATTTAGGATGTATATTTTGCAACTAGAATTGCCACTGCTCTCACAACAGATGATACATCTTAAAAGTAGTAGCAACTGTGAGATGAGTCAAATTTAGATGAGATTGGCACCTTCCAGGTGGTGCTCTCCTCCACTCTCCTCAGCCAAACCCCTGACGCTCCCTGCTCTGGCTCTGACCCATTCCCCCAAATCATCTTTATCTGAAAATCGTCTTTCTGTCAAAAACATTTCAGTGCTGCAATTTTTTTCTGGTCTATGACTCAGATTGGCCATCTTTACTACCAGATGCCAGCTGATTTCCATTTATATGGACTTTCTAAGTACTTAATTACACTGAGAAAAGACTATGCCAAAACAGAATCTGCAACTGGCTGGTTGAACCATTTCATAGGTCTGAGACATCTGTCAGTTTTGACAAGTGTTCCTGGCCAAAGCAGAAAAGTGTAGGGGGAACATTAACACTGCAACAGGCTGTTGTCAGCACCCTCTGAGAGCAGTGTCACACAGGTACCTGCACGACACATCCACAACGAAGGCACTAATGGCTCCACAGATGAGGATGCTTGTAGGCATTCTGAAGAGAATGCCAGTTTCTGGGTTGCCTTAAACATTGAGTGCTGCTGCTGATGCTTCCATGTATGGCACACATCCAGCCACAGTGACATGTCAATATTCCTGCAGGGGATGCAGTCCACAAGGAGTATCAGACAACTGCTGTGCTGACCCCCACCACACAAATGGCCACCACAACCCCCACACCGACGACCACAACCACAGATCCTTCCACCACAGTGCCACAGCCAACCACAACAGCTGCAGCAACCAGAACCACATCAGCTCCAGCCAAGCCTAGACCTGGACTGCAAAGGGTCAGAGATATGGGTCAGTAGCATGGATGTTTTCATTGCTTTCCTCTGGACTGACAGCTCTCCTAAAATTCTAAGGAACAAGATATACAGCTGGATATACCATGATTTAGAGGATGATGAGTTCAGTAATTCAATGTAGAAATGCTAGGAATGAAAAAAAAAATATGTTAAGTCCAGCAGACTAATTCATATGAGAGTAAGCTCTCCATTCCCAAATTCTGTGATGACTTTCAGGTATAGAAGTCAATACATAGTTCTTTGATTCTCATATCTAGACTGAGAGATCAACAGATAAGTGAAGACTCATTTCAGAATTAATTTTGTGATAAGTTTCAATAGAATAAAGTTGTAGTATACTTTTTGTAACAGCTTTTGAATTTTTAAGATTAAAACACCCGGAAGGAATTTTCATACTGTTTTTGAACATCTGATTTTCCTTAATCTTTCATTCTTCATTTATTGTTATTCATTAGCATTGTGGAGATTTGCTTCGATTTTTTGATTTGCTTTAATTTTTGTTGAAAATTAAAAACTCTTATTTTTAGGTTCTAGCAGTGTCCACCCAGCATATGCGTCTGTGGTAGCTGCAGCAGCAAGTAAGTATGGTGAAGTAAGTATGCCACAAGGCATGCAGCACAGTGTGTTTTAGGGCAGCAATGATTCAATAAACTTTCAAGCCTCAGCAAACTCAATGTCTGAATCCAAGTCTGGATTTAAACTGAAAAAACAGATGCTTGGCCTGAATGTCAAAGATGTTGATCACCCACAGTTCTGAGGAAGCCTTACTAGTGAGTATCAGCCCATTTCAGCTGTGACAAAAGCTGGGTTTTGCAAAACTTGAGACTAAGATTTTGCTATTTGAATCATGTTTTCCTATTACTTCCTTCTGTCATACTCCTTCAAAGGGAGACTTGATTTAGTTGTAAAACACATGATGCAGAGGGCTGCACAGCCATCTAAGCTTCAGGCTGAAAGCTCTGAAATGCTGAAATACATTAAAACACTCTTCTCTCTGAAATCTCCACTGTGTTCTGAGCCTGGCACACATGTGATGTTATTCCTGGCTTGCTGATTGTTATTGACAGTGGAATGGTGGCTGCTCAGAGCTCTGCATCTCAGTCCAGGAACCTGCTCCCAAGTCCAGCCCACAGCCTGCCATGCAAGTATATAGAGGTGTTTTTCCATACACTGTGCAATTGCTCAGCTGTGCAGTCAAGAAAAGGAGAATACTTTCAACCGTTTGAAAGGTTCTGAGCATGGGGATATGATTGCTTTTGAGTGGAAAGGGAGCTGGGATATCATTAGCTTTCATGCTCCATAGCTATTTCTGAGTGCTTTCAACTCAGGTTTCCTCTCACATTACTGCAGTCATCCCCGGTGCCAAGTAATTCACAGCCAAGAACAAGAACAGGAAATTCAAGTCTTGAAGTGAAGCACAATTAAGTAAAACTTAGTTCTTAGTGCAGAATAAAGGCATGGGCTGGAAGGGTTAATCTTATCAAGTCAAATGTGCAGGTAGGTATGTGCATGGCAGGATTTACAGAAATTTACAGAAATTTAAAGATTCAAAAGGGTTTAAATTCTGTGGAAATCTGCATCATTCAGTATCTAATGTGCCTGTTAACTTAGTTCTGCTTGTTGCTTTCTTTTCTACTTCCTATTCCCACAGGCTGAGCACAGAGGAGACCTTTACTGTCTTTACTAGCAATTAGGAAACCCTGTTTGCGGTTCCCCAGTCAGAAAGAGATGAGTGTTGAAAGTATTGGCAACACTAAAATCAGTAGGAAGGTTGTATTTGCTTCAATAAGACAAGTAATTTAGTCCAAAAATTGAAAACAAACCCTAAACAAAACAAAACCAAAAAACCAACAAAGGACCCCAAACAAAAACTTCTCAAATTTTCCAATCTTTTCAGTGGTCATTTAATCGTAATTTGGATTCATCTTTATTCATGATTTTCTTTACTGAAGTTCTAAGCATAAATTAATTCCCAAAATATTAAAGTGATTACAGCTAAGAGCTGGAGTGGCAGAGACCCACTTCTGATTTCGCAGACTACATTTCTAGGATTGTGTCCAGCATGTCAGTACCTGATATTCCTGAATTCTCCTGACCCCTTCCTGATTCTGAAAGAGAAGAGCTGGATAAATTTAAAAATACAGAAAGTACAGTTTTGATGTCATGACCATACATAAAGCTGTTTTCTCTGTCTGAGGAGCCTTTAGGACCCACTGCTGTCATTCAGTGTTTCCGGTTGTTGGTATTAACCAGAGTTTGGCTTGACTGAACATAATCAGATGTTTTCCTGTCCATCCTGGCTCACAGAGACTCACAGATCTACCTCTCACTGTGCATTGGTAGTTTTCCTGCAAAAGACACCTCAAAAGTAAACAGCTATGAAACAGAGCACAGTCAGAATGAACACACCATTTCCATTTCCAGCCACTGGCACTAGCAATAGCTCACAGGAGCAAAATAAAAGCAGGACTTGCACATTAGAGCATGAGAACAGGGGCAAAACTGCTGCCCTAGTTCTTGCTGTTCTTTACCCTCTATCTTCTGCTTTTCAAAGATAGAGTAACATAAAAATTAATGGAGACTCTGCTCCATTGCCAGACCCCCCTGCCTCAAAGACTTGATGTGCCAAAACTGCTAAGTGAAGAAAACACCTATGTGACTAGTGTGCCATATGACAGCTGGTTCCTGCCTGCCCTACTAAGACTTCTGCCTCTGTCCAACAGCAGCTAACCCAGCACACTCCCAAGGGCCACAAGCTCACTTGTTCTCTCCCATCTCAGCTCTTCAAGCAATCCTTTCTTACACAGCAGCTTGGACCCTAGATGAGGCTTGGGTCTTAAATCCAGTGCTTCTGTGAGCACTGCAATCATGGTTCTTGGTGCCATGTTGAAGCACTGAGCTGACAACAAGCATTGGGCAGCAATTGCCTGGGCATTGCCAGGTGATGTGCTTTCCTGCCCTCTGTGTCCAGATGGTTGCATCTATTTTCAAACAGGCACTCTAAGCTGGGCATTGCCTACCATGGTACACTACACAGATTTCATCCCCAGCTGTGACTTCATAGGGCAGTAAACAGAAAGGTATTTAAAGGACATGAGACAGTGGTACTGTAAGTGCCAGAGAGGGCATTGAAAGCTCTTCTCCAGCAGGAAGACCAGTAGGGCTCATGCTTTCAGGGAGCACTGGACAAATATTCCATCCTGGCACCAGGGAGAACAGCTGGAGTTTATTTTTGGATGCTGTCTTTCTCCCCAAGTTATCCCTGACTACTTAACCCATCAAGGGTGCTGACCAAGTTGCAGATGTCCAGGCATGTTTTGTGCACAGAGCAGTTCCTCTTCTTCTCAAATCAGTTCTCATTATTCACAGGTTCACTCTAAACTGCACATACACCGCTGTTCTCATAATTTCCTGCCTCCATGCCTCCCTGCTCACCACAGAACTTGCCAGCCAAGGTTTCTCTGCTCCACTACTTTGATTTTGACCCAGTTCTTTGAATTTGCCAGGGACTGTCCATCCCCAGTTTGTTACAGACTTCTTTTAGTCCTGCTCGGCCTCCAGCTTACACAAAGCTCTGTTCTAATGAACATATATTCCCATGCCACAGCCTCACTGGCATCTCAGATTCTAAGGAAGAACAAGCCTTGCAACCTGGAAGTGCAATTCCAACTTTTTCTCCTCTACCACCACCATGTTTGCCCCACCCAACAAAAGCATGGCAGAAAGCAGCTTACTGCAGGGATGGGGGTAATGTGCCTTTGGGAGGCACAGCAAGAGGGAGCAGCTCCATGGCTCAGCCCTGTCGTGCATAGAGAGAAATCCACATTGCTAACATCAAATTAAAATTTAAAAGTGGCATTAAATACTTGGATACTGAGGTAATGTCTCTTTTACCCTCTTGTACTTTGTTTCCACTGATCTTGTAATGAGTGTTAGATGTGCACTGGGGCTCAGTCATGGCAAACATGAGACAAGGGCAGCTCTGAGAGTTAATTTTCTACCACCTCTTTGGCACACACTGATTTCCTGTATGTAATGCTTGCCCTGCACAATTCCATACAACACTGACTGCTGCACACACAGATTTTTCTCTCCGAAAGCAGAATACTCAGCCTGGTATAGCTGTGGTCCATCTGGAGCCTTACACGCTTAGAGTTTAAAAGCCTTGCCAGTTTTGGCAGATGAGCCCATTACTTCCATAAACAGGATCTCTTTGGCATCTGGAGTTTACAAGGTCTCTTAGGATAGCTCCTAGAAATCCTGTCAAGGGGTTTCTCGTGGCCTTGTAGGTTCAAGTTTGGGTCAAACACAAGCTACTTACTTCACTTAATTTTGCAATGTCAAGTTCCAAGGAGCAGCAATTCTTGTTTTCTTAGACAACCATTCAAAATGGTCTCATTGATGACATATTATTGATAAAATAACCTCTTGGGCCCCTGTCCAGTGTTCACAGAGTCTGGTAGAACATTCCCACCTGATTTCACCAGGCTTTCAAATTAATCTTTCTAGGAAAACTAATGAATAAAGGCTTGTTAAAGGATAAATTTGTTAACAGGCTTCTTAGGAATAATTAATTAAATGAAAGACATGATTAAAGACATGGTTTTAATCTGCAAATGCTTAGAGCCCTCAGTATTTTTGAACAATGGGAATCTAATAACCCAATCACCTTTAAAAAAAGCCTTTGTGTAGAAGATATGTCAGACACATTAATTATCCCACATTATTTTTTCTATTGTCTCATTACTTTTGGTCTGCCTGCTTGCTCATATCCACTTAATCTCCTCAGAAAGGGTAGTATCTGGTCTGGGGGGTTGTTTTGGGGTTGGGGTTAAAACCTTACTCACACAACTAGGACAATTGGATTGTACAGAAATAGAGATAAACACAGATCACCAGTGTGAGTGGGAGAAGGAAAATTACAAAGGAAAGCAAACCACAGAGGTAACTGCAGATCTTTTAAATGCAGACCAGAGACTTGTAGAAGTAATATCCATAACTAAAGGGCACAGACAGATCTGTATGACAGACAGAGCAAGACAATCCTTTTCTAAGCAGGCTCAAAATATATAGTTAACATCTAAGAAAGTGTATTAATGAAACTCTTTATATGAACCATCAATTCTGACAGCTATAAAGTGTGACTCAGTGAAACAGCTAGGTAGCAGTAGTACTGAACAATGGGAATAAATCACACTTTTCCACTTTGATGTCTACATAGGACAGGTTCAGGCCGCACAAGGAAGAGGACAGAATACAGGTTTGCTTTAATTTAACAAGAGACAGTAGATTTGTACTGCTCAAATGCTAGAAAAACTTGTGGTTAAGTTCCATGTGCTAACCAATAAAATATTTTTAAAGCATTCTGGGGCACTTCCACCTCTGCAATTAACAGGAATATTTTATGACACAATACAGGTAAAGACATTACTATCCTCCTCTATTTCACCCCTGCAGATATTTTTACCACTTACATCTACCAAATCATGCAGTAACACACTGGTTTTACCTCCTAACCATGTTCATAGCAGGCTGCAGTGACAGGAGATATAATAGTCACTGCATGACAATAGTGTAATTTTAAAGGAAAAAAGTAAAAGAGATTGATTAGAATGGAATTGTTCTCAAAACACTAGTCTAAAATAATTTATAGAGGTCTTCTATAACATTTGCTGTTACAAAATGAGAGGCAACCATTGTTTCAGTGTAGGCTTGTCTGACTCAGTTCACAGGCCCTGAGCACAGTCAGCATCCCAGGACCCACTGCCAGTTGTTCCAGCAGACCAGCTAATAGCTGCACTCTGCAGCACCTACTAACATTTAAACTCTTTTTCCAGCCTCTTTCAGCCCTTTAAAATTAATTCATAGTTTCCATCTTCCTTTTATGTGTGGTCTGAAAATGTGCAGAAAGACAATTTGGGGCCACTGCATCCCTTCTGAAGAAAGACAATTTGTGGCCACTGCATCGCTTGTGATGATGCTCCTCTCTCCTCACCCACTGGCATCTATTTAACCTCTTGCCTCTTTGTCCAATTTTGCAGGTGCTCAGCGCCAAGAGCCCGTTGTCACCTTCCAGAGGGCTGCCAGCTTTCCAGTCCACCTGGGTGAGCAAGAACTGCTAGCAGCAGATTTTCCAGTCTCTTTAACAGTTTTAGCAACCACAGATTAGTCCTTGCACTGCACATTGTTTTCCAGCATCCTGGAAGAGGACCAGGGCAAGACTCATGCATTGAGCACCAACTAGCAACTTCCTGAAAGGGAAAGGGGAAGGAAAGCTCAGTCACAGGTGACCTGTTGTTTCAGGCCATGAGAATCAACATCTACAAAATGTTTGCAATTTTTCTTATTTGTTAGTCAAAACAGAAAACAAGCAACCAGCTCTGTGCAGCCTACCAGGTCTCCATAGAGCTAGATCTTCTTTTCCTGTGGTTTCCAGAAACCACCAGGCTGACAATGAAAGTAGAGATTGCTTTTAATACTGAGGGTAGAAACATCACTTGTACTATTCTCGCTTCCTGGAAGTGCAACTAACCCTTCCCTAGCAAGCAGCCCACTCAGCAGGCACTTTGCAAGACCTACAACAACTTTCCAGGGGCTCCAGAGTTCTCAGCACACATACCAAACACTAACTCTCCCATGATGGACAGCAGAGTTTCTCTGAGACAGATTTTGACTGGGAGCACCCAGGGTGGGATGCAGGATGGGAGTTGGGTTGCTGCAAGGCATGCAGGGCTGCAGTGAGGCTGCAGGACCACAGAGTCCCCACAAGAGCAGCAGAGCAGGTCCAGTGGTGGTTCCCAGGGTGACCCAATAGCCCAGGCTGCCAGGCAAGTCCCGAGCAATGAAGCAGGTCTGACCAGCTGAGGCAGGGCAACAGGTAAGTGAGGCAAGGTCAGGGTCAAGATAGCAAGGCACAAGCCTAGGTACAGGTACAAGGAGCAAAGGAGAGGGTGTGCACCTCTGTGCTGTCTCATAGATGCTTCCCAGAGCCCTTTCTCACACACATCACAAGGCAAGTGCTGCCCTGTACCAGTGTTGACCTCTGGCATGGGCAGACAAACCCACTGGGAAGGGAGAGACTGCAGCAGGTCCCTGGGCCCTGAGGGATTTGGTAAGAACTGGGAATCACAGGAGGTGTATTCTGGCAGGGAAGAGCCAAGTAGTCATTCACATTGAGGTTAGAGGATGTTATTATGCAGGATATGTTATTCTCTTTCCAGATAATTCCAGCCAAGTAATCTCACCCAGCAGTCTCCTGGTCAAAATGACAATTTGTAGTTGACCTAGTTGCAGCATATTTAAAATGCACTTTTGCTAAGATGGACTCCATTCTCTCACTTTTCTACCCCTCCTCATTTCAATCTCCTTCTCTTCTTTCTGTTTTCCATCAGTGTTTGTCTTTTTCATACATTTTTGGCCATACCAAATGATGTACTGGCTACTTCTCAGGCTAGCCAAATCATTGCCAGAAAAACAGGAGAATACTGCTGAGTCTTACTTAAATCAAAGTCAGTATTTCACTCCATCTAATTGCTTAAGGCACCTTAACATCACCCTAAAATTATTAAAAGGCACAAATTTTCCATCATAAATTATTCTGTTTTCTTCACCACAGAACAAGAAGAAAAAGAAACACACATATTTGCTGTATTCCCAGTAAGTCCTGACCCTTTTTTCAGTCCAGAATATGGCAGCTCAGATATGTTGCTTTCAAGCAGCAAACTTTTCTAACAATCAAAGGAAAATTCCTGAACAAGTCCTTGTTTTCTTGGAAAGGAAGGTTGTGCTTCTTGATCCCACCAAGTGTGCGCAAAGAGCAGTGATCAGATCTGAGAGCTTGGCCACGATGTCAAGGAACTTCCTCTCATCAGCTCAGGTTGCCAGAAAATTGTGCTAGAAAAATGCCTTCCCCAAAACACCAGTTACTTGTGCCACGCACATTAACTCCCTTGAAATCCCACACTTACTTAATCCTGAGTTTTCAAAAATGTTTTTCAAGGCAATTATACTGAATAATTTTGGTGGTGTCTTTTTTTTTTTAAAGAGACAAGTCTTGAAGTATGTTAAAAATCAACCCTTTTTTTAAATGGGCATCTTCAAGTGAGGGGAAAAAAACCCCTAGTTATAAAAATAATCATTTCACTTTCAGATATATATTTAATGGACAGCTTTCTTCATTATGTGTTCTAGGACAATATGCAAGCAATAGACCTTTTTCCTGGATAAACAGGTCACTAAAAAAACTGTGTATTTTGCATATTTGCAGACAGCTACCCCAAATTCTTGGTACTTATCTTGTGTTCTTGGTACTTATCTTCTTCATTAGGATAGTAAACTGACACAGAAAGTTCTAAATGGGTGAACTGAGAAGACTGGTGGAAGAAACAATGGACAGCTCCTACCCACAGGGATTTGGACAGACTAGAGTACCTGTGGACACCTGAGCTGATGAAGCTGTTAATTGTTAATCTAGAAAAACCTCACCATTATTCACTGATAAAAAACAGTCTTTCAGCATCTGCCTGTCTTTTGTAAACAGCCAGAGATATTAAAGAAGCCTGGTTTCTGAGGGTGCTCCCTGACAATGAAGTGGTAGCAGAAACAAAACCTGTGACACGTGAGATGGGCACATTCCATTGCTCTGATCCTTCAGCTCACATCCCTATGTATGAAGAAGAGAAAAGTGGGCAAATATTTGTGTAGCTCCTCAGCTGGTTCCATTTGCCATACAGTTCCTGCTGCTTTAAACAGGTTTGCCACTGTAGTATATTTGTACAGAAGGCTCGAGAAGTGCAGGGTCTTCTTTGTAATTTGCTCTTTGTCTGGTTTTTCTTCTCAGCTTGTTAGGATGAAAAGCAGCCTCATATGAATCTTCCTTTCTCACAGTCACTAGGTGCTCCTCCAGCCCGGGAGGGGGAGGCACACCTTTGGAGATTATCTACTCACAAACTGGTTTAATTGAAATTTGTTCTTCTCAGTGACAGCATTCAGGAGACATGTTGGCCACTATGATAACAAATCAGCTTTTCTGTGGGGGTAGGGTCCTCCTGTGCTGAACCCTCACCCCTAGCTCCTGTTGCTGCTCTTTTCTCATGACTCTGCTGAAGGATGTATGAAACTGGTAAACAACACTGCCAGAATATAGGAATATTTCTACTGGTTTTCTTCTTGTTTCTTTTCCCATTACCCAGACCTGCCCTTCTTTTACCCAATTTCTCCTCCTAAGCAAAATCACAAAAAAATTTCTGTGTGCTTCATGACTGACCTAGCCATTCACTGTCCTCAGTTTTCAGATCCTTCATAGGGTATTTAAGTAGTGCTCAGCATAAGGAGGGAAATCACTCTAGCAATGAAACATGACAGGGTTCCTCCTACCCTAAGGGAGATCACACACCTTATTCAGCCATCCGACTCATCCAACAAGTCTCCCTCCCAAAGAGAAGCTGATAGCTCCCCATGGGAAAGGCAATCCAAGGACAAGGTCAGTGCTCTCTAGGCTGGAGGACACTGGCAAGTCCATGCACAGCTTTATTGAAGCTTCACCCACTGGCTCTAGTCAAGAGCACACGAGCTCTGTGCAGCTTCTTGGATCTTCAATAGAGTTAAAGCTTTTCTTCCTGGGATTCCTAGGAACTGTTTCTGTCCTAGTCAGATGCAAGGGCATTCATCTGGCTGCAATCCAGAGCAAAACATCACTTTTTGGGAACATCTTTCAGCAGGTTCCAAAACCAAAGACATTTTGGGGTTTATTTATAAGGGCAACAATTTTGATGAAGCTATCCATGCCTAATAAGTGGAAAGCAATTTTTAGACAATTTCTTTGTGTTTTGGTGGGCTGAGGGGATAGAAAAATCTGAAGGTGAGAGGTCCTTGCAGATTTTCAGTGAAAAACAACTTAAATTAAAAAAAAAATTACTGAGGTTTGTGCCTCAGTATCAGTGTAATTTAGAGAAATAAGACCAAAACAGATCTAGTGAGATGTATTTAAAACCTTAAAAAAGGTTTTCCTCTGAAGGTAGTGATACAAGGCTCCTAATCATGGCTTGAAATGTGCATGTAACAGTTCCCAGGTTTACTAATTTCCTCAGCTCCTACGTTATTAATTTAAGTTATTGTCTGAACTGAACTCTAAAACTCTAAATTGAGTCAGAACTGTGTGATCTCTAGTGCTTGCACTACTAGCAGTAAAGGTTTGTTTTTGGTTTTTTTTCTCTTTCATGTGTGAAAGCAATGGAAATAGACTCATGGAAACCTGGACTGAGCATTTTTGACACAGGTAAATATTTAAAACATCTAGTAACTGCTCTGGGAATAAGTGCTTTCCATCACACATGGGTAAAGCTAAATCTATTTATCCATCAGGCCCATGGCACTGATGATAACAATCTCATTTTAAGAAGTAATTACATCATTCAAAATTACAAATAAGGTATGTTGTTTACATCTTAGAAGATTCTGTGCTTTCATCACTCTTGAGTTCCTGCTTAAAGCAGGAGCAGAAGAGAGGAGCTCTGGAAAGAGCTGGCAGCTACACTACAGGAAAGGGATTCTAGCTACTGAAATCCATTTGTAAATTAGAAGGTATTTTGGGAATGCCACAACTGAGATCACAGTTTAGAGCTGCAATCAGTGAAGAACATGACAAATTATCCGGATGTCAGTGTACTTAGGGAAGACATTCAGATAAGAAAAGGAGGGTTTGTGTCAAACATAAAGAACAATGCACATAGTTGAAATTTTCAGACATTTAACCCTAAAAACTGACAATATGGAGACAAGAGTATTTTATGAATACTGGTGAAGGGAAAAAAAAAACGCCTACATTTCTAATAGGCTCGAGTAGCAACAAAACCAAGACTCCTGCAACCCTTAATCGGGAGCAGTTTTCCACTGCAGATTTAACAGCTCCCTCTCCTCGGGAACATTAAAATAAGACTGCAGAAGATACAGACCAATTCCTGACGTGGTGCTCTCCCTCCTGCAAGGGCCCTGACCATCCAGTATAAGAGGTCTTTCCCACATGGGTTGTGATGCTGGAGAGGGCTGTGCTGGTGGCCTTTGTAAAGGCCAATCCCTTGAATATTCTTCTTAATAAGCCACTAGTGTGTTTATTCAGGAAAAGCTACACCACGAGGGCCAGGATGCAGAGGGATATTTTGAGGCAGAAAATGACAGATTGCATTAAATGCAATGAATGGTTGGGCATGGGGGAAGGGATGTTGTATTAATAGTTTCTCAGCAACTGAAGTGCAGCACAGACTAGTGTGATAAAGTCTTGTCAGACTGTCACTTCAAAGGAGTGGTTTCTGGCATGGATGTAATCACTGCTGTCTTACTTAAATGAATGGGAAGTTTAATCAGTATGGACAGCTGTGACAATCAGTGAAGGGAACTTTAATTAGCATGTTGTAGACTGCCCATGCAGCAGGCTGAAATTCCCATGGCAATACCAACAATAATTGGACTGGCAGAACAGGGAGGCCCATAGAGATTGACCACCTCCCCAGTTAATTGGGGAAGAGTATTTGGTGGATGACCTTATTGTTCCACTAAGCACAAATCAGCCAGCTGACCCACAACCTTCAAGAACTGATAATTGCACTGACAAATAAAAATGAAAAATGCTGCACTGCCTACACTTGAGTTTTCCATGTTGACAAAGCTAATGTCAGCTGTATGCCTGGGAAAAGAATATGGATTTTACAGGATGCAGATAAATGCATGAGGCAGATAACTATCTATGAATTATCCTTCATATATAATTTAGTTGCTAAAATGGATAGCACATGTTAATTTCTAATTTCACTACAGTGTTAAATCCACCTACTTTCTGTTCTGCAAATAAGGCAAGGTGTGGGGGGTGAATGCACATATGGGATACCAAGCTGGCACATGTGAGATATGCAGTGTGCAGGCTGCAGGATGAAGTGTGACTTTGGTCTGTTGCTGAGGAACTATTATGTGCCTGTGTAATTAAAACCTCTACTGGAATATACACAGTCAGGAAGGCAGGCTTATGACTATTTCAGTTTTTTTAAAAAAAAACCTCAATCATTTTCATTCATGTGGTTGACAAAGAGAGGCTGTGCATGGCCAAGTCATGATGCCTTTAACTTCCACATCAGATAAACTAATCATAAACTTGCACAAGACTTGCCTTCCTTTGAAGGCAGGTTTGGTTAGTGTCAGCAAGACCTTCAGGCCTAAGAGAGGTCAGAAATGTTTCCTGCAGCAGATATCACTGGATGGAACTGTTTGGTGTCACCCCTGTTCCACATTATTTTTCCTCAGTCAGGAGCAAGGTGGCCAGCCTCAGGCAGCGCTGCCCCAGCACCACCACTCTACCTCTCCCTCCTGGTGTTTCCCCCATCCAAATGGCTTCCCATGGGCAAATACACAACACCAGGTGCACTTCTCCCTGTTCCTTGCCTGGGAGCTCATCCCCAGTGCACAAGACAAGAGGGACACGAGCCAGCAGAGTGCTGGGCAACTGCTCCAGCCATAAGAGATGAAGCTGGTCAGAGCCTGGCTTGACAGCCTGCTTCTGAATGCATTCAACCTGCTCTGCACAAGAGGGCCAGCTCCACTAGCTGTGGGAGAGAGGCTTTTCTGGCACAAGAGCCAGTGCCAGAATGGGTGGAGAGCTCCTGTTCCCAGCCCAGAAAGTATCCTGTCCAAAGTTTGGGTAGGAGCACAGGGAAGCAGCATGTGGGACTGCAGGCACAGCATACACAGTGACAAAAAGTAGCACCAGCCCCGGGGCTCTCCTAACCTGGCCAGACACAGCAGGGAAATCCTCAAACAAAGCACACAAAGCAATCACTGTAATTGCTGTAAACAAAGTAGGGCAACTCTTTGTGCCCTTTGCCTACTCACAGACAGCCCCATGGGTTCCCATACAAGGCCAAGCCCAGTGCTCCAGCTAGCTCCACATCCTGGCTCTGGCACAGGCAGCAGCAGATGCCTGGGAATAAGAAAAGCAGAAGGAAATCACTGCTTTGGTGATGCTGTTAGTAGCTCTGTTTGGTCCCTGCAGTAGCACCCCTGTCTGGTACTTAGGCTACCGTATGCTGAAGCCTCCCAGCAGGGATCAGGTACCAATCAGGTCAGCTCTATACCAGGTCCTGCATACTCAGACTTAATAGAAACATGGCCCCTGACCCAAAACTATGTGCAGCTTTCAGCATGCAGCTAAAAAACTCAAAAACGTTGTATTTGACAATTATGAGAGGTAAAATTTTAGACTTAACTGGAATAGAAATAGGAGTGGTTACAGAGGGAGATGGAGCTGATACTTCCCTCTGTTTTCTTCACAGTACTCTGCCTTATTATGGCTTGGTCCTCGATACATTCAGCAACCAGCTTTGGCTGTTACATCTCCCATCATATTTAGGCAGTGACCTTCCCTGATGTCCCTTTACATACACTGATGCTCTCATGCTTGGCTTGCTCATGGCTGGCTGCTGTGGAGAGACAAACTCTGTGGTACCTAGTAATTTATCATACTTTTCTTTATAAAGTTCACACTTTCTAAAATTACTTTTTCACTGTGTCTCTGAAGTCAGTAATCTTTCCTCAACTTACCTGGTGATGAAGATTTAAGTAAGTCTTCCTCCTACTTTTCTTTAAAAATCTAACATGCAATTTACAAAAGTAATAAGCTGTTCTGCTGTTCTTTAGACCAACAGCTTTCTTGGTGAGTGCTCAGTTTGTAGCTTGTCTGATCATTGCTGTCTCTACTGAGGATTATCCCAGCTAAATCCCTTTAATCTTGTCATGCTGTACTGAAAAGACACATCTCTTAGCCCTTGCTTGGAAGGGAGATGCTAGACTGTAGGAAAGTCTTGCCATACCAAGTCATGAGTGAAGTTCAGCATTTTCAGACCTTCTGATGCCAGCCTGATGTGCCCTGTGAGTCAGTACCTTTCACAAGGACATCAGCTCTCTGTTACCCTATTTCTTTTGTGCTTTGCAAAATAACCCAGACTTCTGGGGGCACCTGAGGAGCTGTGGCTTGCATTGCTTCCCCAGCTGTAATGAGTTGGAGTCAGTTGCTGCCCATGCTTTCCTGTCCATGCAGAAAGGAACATTATAAAACTGTTGCTCATCCACTTCAGACATTGTGCAGCTCATTGTAAGGAACAGTGAGCCAGCAGAGTGGCAGCGCTGGCTCTCTGAAGACTGCTGGGAGTCACCATCCCACACTGCGGCCACCAGCCTCTGCTCCTGAGGAGCCTACTACTTGTGCATGATGCTCCCAAGCCCTTGCAGTTAGGGAACTGACTCCCAAAGGGGAGCACCTCAAAGCTGGTGCTAGGAGAGATTTTGGTGGCATTCCTAGAAATGTCTCTAGTCTTGTTTTACTCCAGGAGTGATGTAGATGAAAAAAGGTAAGTTCCAAGGATGTCCTCCCCATCCTTGTTTTCCTCCCACATCAATCCTCAGGCCAGGGGGTCTCTGCAGTGACTCTGTTGCCCATTTCCTTAAAGATCAAGGGCAGCCACCAAGCACACACTGATAGATCCTTTCCTTTCTCTGTTTAGGCTTCAGTTCAAAGGAAGAATTTAATCCAAAGCCGTTGGAATCCATCTCCCAGGGGAACCAGAGTATGTACTTCATAATTAACTTCATAATTAAGTGTCATTAATAATTACATATTGCTAGAATGCATTGAAATTAAATAGCAAAAGGTAAGTTTTCAATAAAGCCTAAGAAAATCCAGGAGTACATTTTTCCCTTGCAGAGAAAAAGTGAGCAATCTCTGCTGACCCCTCACACACAGAATAGGTTTTTCCTTCTACAGGGAAGGAAATAATAGCCAAAATTTAGATTACCTGGGCAGTGAGATGGTGGCTGTTCTGTACCACCTCTTCCCAGGCAGCATCAGCTCCAGGCTCTCAGCATGCAGAGCTTCTTCACTCAGGTACTTTGGTGGCAGAGGACAGCAATCCAGTATGCTGCAGCCAGGGTTAGATGAGCAAGCCCTGCTGACCAGAGCAGACTCCCATGGCTATGCTGTGTGTGCAGGCACCCTTCCCACAGCAGTGGGTGGGATGGAAGGAAACCACCTGAGAAAGGGACCCAACGCCTGCCACAGCCAGGAGAGAGAGGATGCAGAGGGAGCATCAAGGACCATTCAACTTCAGAGAAGAAAATGCAGGTTCTCCTATTCCGAAATTTTATACATCTCTTTAAAAAGGCAGATTTACCCATTAACCCATCTTTAGTTGAGGCCCAAAGTAGCAGAGAAAGAGAAAGCGAGTTCTTAGTGGAGAAATGGGATCACCTGCCACCTCTTCATTAGAAGCCATCCCAAAGAGAGGGTTCACCCTTCCAACAGTGCCTGGGTCCTCTTTTGCCCATCCTTCAGCAGCTGAACACTGTCTGGACTCTTGATAGTAACTTCTGAACCAAAAGTTGACGTGTTCCCAGGAATTCCTCTTAATATTTAAAGAATTGTTTTCCCTATCAAAGATGTCAAATACATCTGAAACTGATACAGAAATAAGGGAAAGAAGAAAAAGGGAAAGCTCTGCCCAACAGACCCCATTGCACTGCAGAAAAGCAGAGCTTGGTGCAATGGAGATGCCAGCAAGGACAGCTGTGTTTCCAGCAGTTAAACTGAAATAAGTCACACCAGAAACAAAATTTTCATCCCACTGCTAACCCTAGGACCATAAAAGCCCTAATTCAGATCTTGTCTCCCTGCAAATCAGAAAGTGCTCACCTCCCTATGAAGCACCCTTAGCCTGTGCTCTTGCAGCATCCCTCTCATGTCCCAGCACTGAATAGGAATCCTCCACAGAAACCAAGTCTGCTTATAAGTGTATGTAAATCTTTGCCTCCCCAGACCCTGCTGGCTAACAAACTGCCCACTTTCCACATATAGATCTCATGAACTAGTTCCCTTTGAAGGACGAGAAATTCAGGAAAGTTGGCTGTTAATTGAGGTATTTGTTGTGGTTGCTGACCTTGCCTCACGATCTGCTGCGAGCAGACATGGTTCTCAGTCACGCTCCTGTAATTCAGCATTATTAGAATTAGAAAAAAGAGACAGCTATGGGAGAAAAAAATTGAAAGTAATGAGATGGGAGACAGTTGCATAAGCCACTAAGAACAATTGGTGCTTTGTAGCCTTCAGGCTACCTAATGATTAAAACACAGTAGTTTGAACAGTCTGATTAGTAGGAGGCATCATCAGAGGGAATTCAAGAGATGGGGATGACCCAGATGCCAGAGGGGGAAAATGTTAATTAGCGCTCTAGTTAAGCCAAATCACTCCTGGTCCCAGACCAAAGCTGAATGTTTCACCACTAACTTGCAGGAATGTGAAAGCAGGGTGGCAGAGATGAAGACAGCATTTGCAGCAAAAAGATGACGTTCTGTGTTATTAAAGGGAAGAGTTTGTTTGGGTACAGGCATACCTTTTATAGAACATTTCTTTCAGCCCAGAGAGGAAACACACAACAACATACCTCTGCTGCTGTACACATGGGTACAAGAACATGCAAAAGAACAGCCCCCACTTGGTCTTGAATATCACAAGCAAAATCATCATCCTTGATGTTAGCTCCAGCCCAGAAGGAAACTGATGAACAATTCTCATTCACAAGTGCAGAGCTGCCAGGATTGTTGTCGGTAATCCTGGATTGCAATTGCCTTGAAGAGATCCCACACAGTGTCCTTCCCCTGGGGCACATCCTAGGCATCACACATTTCAGGAACTTCCCTGTCTTCCGAGCAACATTAACACAATAACTGGTCTATGTCTATTACATCAATTAAGTCCACAAAAGTGTCACCAAGGAAATCCCCTTAGTTTGTGTTCTGCAGGTGGCCAGATGTCCTGGTTCAGGGCAAATTTGGGGAAAAACCCCCAAAAGGGTTCTTTCAGGAAAGCAGATTCAATTGGCCCCTCCCCCAACCAGTTTGGGAAAGATACCTCTTCGGAGAAAAAGTGGAAAAAACCTGCTTATTAAACTAGCAAACTTAGACAATATTAAACAACAAAACTTCTTGCTACTCCAAGAGAGAGACAAACTCAGAAAAAAACCCTCAGGTCACAGCTGGGCTCACTCAGTCTCTGATCAGTCCCTCCGGCGCTGGAAATGCCACGGCCCAGGCCTGGCCCACTGGGCCACCGGTGTGAGCTGCTGCTGCTCTCTTGGTGTTCAGTCCAGAGCAGGTCCAGAGAAAGGGAAAAAACCACAGTCCAGGGAACTTCTTTGCCTCAGCTAGCTAAAACTAACTAGACTAGGAAAAAAAACCAAAGGAGAGCTCCGTCTCGTCCGTCTGGATGCAGACAACTCAGTCCAGGAGCAGGAATGTGGAGGAGTGAGTGCAGTTCTTGAAAACAAACTCCGCGCTTCTTCCCCCCGCTCCTTCCCTCCTGGAACAAGTCTTAAAGGTGTAGAACTTATTATTCAACATGAACAGGGCAGACGATTGGGGATAAAGGCATCATACAGTCAACCTAGGACACCAGACAACAAAATCCAAGCACCATGGCTGGTTTTACAAACTCCCATCACTTCTGGGCTGCAAATAAAGCTTGCTGAGCCCAAGACGTGGCTCTGAGGGCACAGGTTAGCTTGCTCCTGTGGGGCTGATCTCCCTGGCCCCCAAAATGCAATGCTCCCAGACTGACCCCTGTGAAAAGTTTCTTGCCCTTTTGTCACAGAGACAAGCTTAGATGTTGTATGGGACAAAGTCATGCCAAGAACTGTGTTTACAACCAGTAGGACAGAGTTGAACTGCCAGCTGTGACTTGTCCTTGTCAAAGGCTTTTTTGTAGACTTTACACAGCAGAATAAGTCACTGCATGCAGACTTTTTAGGCCTTTGCTGCTTGCAAGAAGCACAGCAATCAGAAAGGACTAAAAATATCTTCCATGTTTTTTTATCGCTCTTCAGATTGCAAGATTGATTTGTCCTTCTTAATGGATGGGAGCTGGAGCATTGGCAAACGCCGCTTTCAGCTCCAGAAGCGGTTCCTTGGTAACGTGGCTCAAGCCCTTGGCATCGGCAGTGCTGGTCCTCTGATGGGCATTGTTCAGTATGGGTAAGAGTTTCCCAGACATTTCCATTGCCACAGGACATGACTGCACACTCTGGCAGCTGTAGCTCTACGCTGATACATGCTAAAGGTCTCCCTCCAGCTTGCACTCAGGAGCCAGGTAGCACAGACCAGCCCTATGGCTTTTGTGTTGTATGTGAAGCAAAACACTGACATTTGCTCTATTTTCTCCTTTTAGTGATGACCCTTCCACAGAATTTAACTTAAAAACTTATGTCAGCTCCAAAGATCTAAGGAATGCCATTGAGAAAATTCAACAGAAAGGGGGACTTTCCAATGTTGGTAGGTGATGGGGCTGCTTGCACATCCTCTGCTCAGCCTGGGCCCACACCTCCTCACAGGATACAGAGGCTGGGACCAAACAGTGCTCAGTGCTAGGGCCAGGTTGGAGAGAGAGCACTGTTCCCACTATGACCTGCATGTGTTGACCCCAGGCCCTGCAATCCATCACAAGTTGACAGGACATACGGGAAGTTCCCATCAATGCTTTGGGGATCCTTAAAAACCCAGCTCATCATCCCCAGCCTCTCTGGGGCACCGGGAGGGGGTTCAGTGCAGGAGGGCTCAGGAAGCACTGGCACCAGTCGCAGAGGTCTCCCTGCTCACACAGCCACAGAAACTGCTTTCCCCAGCTCTCTGCAGCCTCCAACACTTGAGTCAGCTCTCTGCCTACTATTTCATGGGATATTAACCCACAGAGTACTTCCAGATATGTAACTCCTCTTCTATTACAGGGAAGGCACTTTCATTTGTTAACAAAAGCTTCTTTCTGGATGCTAATGGGAACCGAGGTGGAGCACCCAATGTGGTTGTAGTGCTGGTGGATGGGTGGCCGACCGACAGAGTGGAAGAGGCCTCCAGGCTGGCCAGAGAATCAGGGATCAACATTTTCTTTGTCACTGTTGAAGCAGCTGCTCAAAGTGAAAAGCAGAATGTTATTGAACCAAATTTTGTGGACAAGGTAATTTGTGGGCTGAGTCTGACCAGGACTTAGTCTGAGCATTTGACCAGGCTGAGTCTGACTAAACTTTCCAACCTACTTCATTCAGGGCATTTCCTTTTCCTTCTAACCACTTACAGTTATTTATTTTCCTTCTTGTACATACTGTCTTGAGTTTTTCTGTACAAAATGCTGAAGTCAGAAAGGGGATGAAGTCAGTAAAGTTCTGGTTTGAGATACATCATCGAGCAAGTGGCTTTTGACTGACTAAACCTTAGCACACACCTACAGTTGTACTGAGACAAGTGGCTTTCCAAATATACAGTATTTGGAAAATGACAAAGTTGTACTGGAATTGGTTTTTTTTCACAAACATGCTGCTGTGCATCTCCCACTAGGGAAAGTAGCCCTGTCAACCTAATGTCAATGTTGCATTTACAAACAGATCCCACATAAGCAAAGTTTGGCACAGTCCCAACACAAGCACATCCTAGTTTTTCAGCTGTACTAGATAACTCAAACATTCTTTTTTTACTGTTGATGAAGGCTGTTTTTCAGTTATTTGTTGCTGCTGCTATGGACTTCATGGTAGCTCTTGGAAAAAGGGTAAATCCCTGACATATGCAGAAAAAAAGAGAATGCAAGCTTTGATAGATTTGTATTTGGCACAAACACTAGCTGCCTGATAACAACACTTCAGAACAAGCTGGTACTCTGCTAGGGCAGAAGATACCTACCAAGCAGCAGATAAGGCTGGGCTTAGGAAACAGGGTTATCTGGTATGTTCAGAAAAGAGGCTCCAATCTGAGCTGTGTTGCTCTGCCATGAAATAATCTCCCTTGAGTTTCAGAGCTGCTCCAAAGAGCTGCACTGTCTCTGCTGAGCATATAATTGGATTGTAGTCTCATTTGCATTTAATGTTTTTAAAAAACAAAGCTACAGCAAGTCTCTGCGAACCTGCCAGTGACACAGCAGAAGTGAGAGTAGGGTGGGCTCAGAACAGCAAGGAGGGAATGGTGGCTTAATACTGCTGCATCATAACACTAAAATAGAAGCAAGACAGTAAGAACAGCACATGAGAGGAAAGACACCATGAGGAACCCAGACTGGAGAGAACTGTAACTCCCTTTGAGTTGTTACACTTTATGCAAGTCAAAACCAGTGCCTTTGTCTTTTAAAATACTCACACACACCATCACAAAGCTGATGGATAAAGCCTGGCTTAACAAAATATTCGCACCCAGAGAACTGAGGAATTGGCCTTTTAGAAGCACTAAAGCCGAAGACAATTTGATCCAGCCTGTTTGCATCACTCCCCTCCTTGCCCCAACCTTCCCCTCCTCCAACGCTTGACAATTCCCATGTCCTCTTCTGTGCCAGCCCTACTTCCTACCCACGCTCACCTGACTCCCACTAACTCTATAGAAGCCTCCCACAGATCTGGCCCTTATGAGTATTTACTTATAAAAGTTAATGGGTTTGGTTTTGGTTTTTTACTATTTGGCAGAGCCAACACTATGAGCCTGGGTTTTCTCTGATTATAAAGGTATGAACCAAGTTATCCTCAGCTTAAGCCCCAGGTTTCACTTCAAAGTAGTGGGGTTTGTCAGCAGGCAAAACGTTCTTTCTTGTCCTGAATGATGAGAGCTGAAGTTGCTACCTGGCAAACACACAGGCTCTTCTAATGTCCACAGGAGCCACGCTAAGAGCAGTTCTGTGATTTTGATGCTTTTCTCACAAACAGTGTGACTCACATAAAAAAGCCTAACAGGTGGCAAACTTGCTTATTATTTTTTTCACTACTATAATATCAGCTCCATCCCACAGTTAAAAAAAAAAAAAAAAAAAAAAAAAAAAAAAAAGCAGGAAAAATTGTCACATTACACAAGTACCTGTGATGTTACACTGACATCATTTCCCAGGGAAGTAGATGGCGATTGCAGGAGAGGCCATTTCAGACTCCAGCATTGCTCTTTCCAGGAGCCTGTGTTTGCAATTTAGCTACATACCCTAGCAGGAACAGGCAGACTGATTTTCCATTGCATTTATCCTCATGTTGCCCTGCAGGCAGTGTGCAGGACAAGCGGTTTCTATTCCATCAACGTGCCCAGCTGGTTCAGCCTCCACAAGGTGGTGCAGCCCCTGGTGAAGCGGGTGTGCGACACCGACCGGCTGGCTTGCAGCAAGACGTGCCTTAACGCCGCCGACATCGGCTTCGTGATCGATGGCTCCAGCAGCGTCGGCACCGGCAACTTCCGCACTGTTCTCCAGTTTGTGGCCAACATCAGCAAGGAGTTCGAGATTTCGGACACCGACACACGCATCGGAGCTGTGCAGTACACCTATGAGCAGAGGCTGGAGTTCAGCTTTGACAAGTACAGCACGAAGCAGGACGTGCTGAACGCTATCAAAAGGATCAGTTACTGGAGTGGGGGCACCAGCACGGGAGCAGCCATCAGCTACGCCTCAGAGCAGCTGTTCAGCAACTCCAAACCAAACAAAAGGAAGATCATGATCCTCATCACGGATGGCCGGTCTTACGATGATGTCAGCGTGCCAGCCATGGCAGCTCACCAAAATGGTAAGGTCTTCTATCACTGCCTGCTCTCCCCTCATGCCTCAGCACTTATCCAGGTCAGATAAATGCAGTTTGCTGTAATTTGAAGGCACTGGATGAAACCTTATCAAGGAAGAGTAGTACTTTTCTCTGGGGTCCCACTAAGCTCCAACAAGATCAGCATCTGTTTGATTGCTGAATAAGGAACTTCAGAAAAACCGTATAAATCATCAGAAATGCAGCAATCTCAAACTACATTTGCAGTAGTGGTCTTAGATTTACCACAATGAAAACTTCCATGCTTTTTCTAAACTTTGGGTTTCTTTCCAGGAGTCATCGCTTATTCCATTGGAGTTGCTTGGGCAGCCCCAGATGAACTGGAAGCCATTGCATCAGACCCTGCAAAGGAGCATTCCTTCTTTGTGGATGAATTTGACAACCTCTACCGCTATGTTAATCAGCTCATCCAAAACATTTGCACAGAGTTTAATTCCCAGCCACGGAACTGATGGACTCAAGCAAGGCAGGGCCCTTGGGTGCTGTGCTAAAGGCATGCCAAGTGCCACAGAAATAATACCAGTCCAAGAAACACTGCAGGTGTTTCCCTCTGGGACTTTCCAGTCAGCAAGGTTGATTGTGGCTCTGTCCCTATGCAAGATAGTGCTCTGTAGACTGGGGTTTTTTGTTGTTGTGGGTTTTTTTTTGTTGTGTGGGTTTTTTTTTTTTCTTGTGGGCATCAAAAACTCTGATTTACATGGATAGCAGAAAAGGCAGTGAACATGGAGGAAATACCTGCAGCTGTTTGAAGAGCTGCTTCCAGCACAGAACCCCAGCATGCCCAATTCTCATCTTTGGACACATGCAAGTTCCTTAAAACCTGCTCCCTGAAGTGACCAGGTTCCTTCAGGGAGTGGCCAAGCTGCTGTGGTAGAAACACCTCATGTGGCACTGCCCACCAGATGACACACACAGATCAGGGCTCAAATACCAGATGGAGGGGGAAAACAATTTGAGTACTTTCTTAAAAGCAGGTACTCTCTCCATACTGCTGTCTTGTCAGTAAGTTAAGCTTCAGCTCGTGTCAACTCAAGCACTGGGATTTATCCAAACCCTGAGAAACTGGAAAGCAAAAGAAAGGTTCAAACCCAAGCCCCTACAACTCTTTGCCTCCTTTACAACTCTACAACCCCAATAAAGCCTCAAATCCACAAGGCAACCAACATGCAGGAACTGGAATATAGTCTCCCACAACTCTGCATTAATTACTTGATCCTGAGAAGTGTCTTTCCCTCTCAGCTTCATCTTTCACTCTTGGGTGGTTCAAGGCCTGCAGGACCAAAGAAGTGTTGCCAGGACACAGGAGACTCTTTGAGAAAAACTGTGGGTTTAAGCTGCTCACAGTCACCAAAGCATTTAAGATCCATCACTCTGTCATTAAACCAACACTCAGAAGTGCAGTCTCTAGGTCAGGAGAGCTATTCAAGAGCCATTAACAGGATTTAAGAGGGAATTATCTGAAGTTCTGTATTATACACTGGGAAAAGCAGAATTTCAAGCATTTACAGATACTTTCCCTCAAATTTAGGACTGACTATTCTTTTATGGACTGATTTTGAAATGTACCTATTACAGCCCTGTATCTGTCAGAACACACAGTGGTTTCTTAAGTGGAGAACTACCCATTTAAGACCCAGCAGTTGCTGGTTAGGTTCCATCCAGTATCATTAAAGAAAATACATTCATTAAGCAAAGTTACCAAAGGAGCAAATAAAAACATGAGTGTTCACACTCCTTACAGCAATCAAAGCCATGCTGTGCCAGGCTTGTGGAACTAACAGGAAATGGTAAGAAAATGGAAACTCAGATTTGCCATATTACTTGCAAATCAGGTTCTTAACAGCACTTATAGTTTTAAAAACCATGAGCCAAGATATTAGCCACATAAATTCTAATTGAATTGCCATACGGGAAACTCATTGTATGAGCAAAAGTAGCACAATTTTTAAAATCATTATGTTTGGAAATATGACTGAAGTGGCTTATAACCTGTCAGTAAGTAAGCATAACGCAATAATGAAAACAGCAGATTCTGTGTGATCCCCCTGGTGGGGTAACATGTCAGGCTGGGGTCCTCTCAAGAGGTCATTAAAATCAATTTTGGATGAAACAATGGTCTTACACAGTGAAAGTTCATCACTTCCCCTTGGAAGAAACATCAAGTTCCAGCTTTAATTGATTATCATCAACCATTCTACCCAGACTGAAAGCACAGGACACTGTCAGCTTCCACAAATGTATTTGTATGCAGAGTTTTTACCACTAATCTCTGCTGCTGCACGTCACAGCATTAGCTTTTGGCTTGAAAAAATTATTAAGGATAGAGAGTTAGGCATGAGGCATGAGCAGAGCAACTCCAGATATCCCACATCTCCTGGTCCAGCTCCTCACTACCCTTCTGCTGAACACATCTTTCTCTGTCAACATAGACATTACATTTTGGACAACACTCAAACCCATAAACTGATTTTACTGGGGACTTCAGTTCAGACACCAGATTTATTGCCTGAAAACCTGTTTGTTTGGGACTTGATTTGGGGCTGTCAAGAAAAAGGCCTAAATCCTAACTTACAGCTACTCCTAATACTGTGGTTTAATTTTTAATGCAGCAGCCACCACCACATATTGTTCTCCATACTGAATGTACTCTTGCAGCACCAAAGATTGGTACCCTGCAGAGACTCCCCAATGCTTCACTTGTGCTCTGCCAAAAGCACAGCAGTGGTGGTCAAGACTTTAGGAACAGCTAGAGCACACATGTTCTTTAGGATGTACATAAGGGATATAAGCATATGGGACATAATTTTTTCCTCAAGTTTAAAATTTAAGCAATGACATTAAGCTTTCAAATGCTTTTTACAGGAAAGTTGCACAGCTATCTTTTGCCAAGCATTTATAAAAGGGCACTTCAGGGCTTGTTGTTCAAATGGTTTGTCTTAAGTTTACAGAACAACTATGGTGCTTGTTTTACAATGTGCATTTTTATTTACTTCTCAAGATGATCCTGAAATTGTCAAAACTCTGTGAAAGTGGTTTAATTAAACTCTCGTCAAAACTTAGATGTCCTATTCATAAGCACCATAAACTTAAGTGGAAGCCTCAAAATTTTGAATACACCCTTCCATGTAATCACAGAACACACTCCTCTTCACCTTTACCTTTCATAGCAGTGAAAGCACTTACTGCCTACTAAAGTCTCTAAATACTGTTTTATTAATAAAACAAGCTAACTTACAAATATATATAAATGTTCAAAGGGGTATATTTGTTGAAGAATGCAGAACTCCTTCTGTAACATATACAAGCTATTTTGAGTTTATCAACATAAGTTGCTATATCTTTTGCATTAAAATTGTCTTAAAGTACATGCAGTGCATGTCATCTCATATAGGGTTAAAAAATAAACAGCAAATATAGCCCATGACATTTTTGTTTCTGAAACGCAGCTGTATTACTACATTACAAAGCCCCAGGCGCTTCAGTGTTGTCCTTCTATATGCTCAGATGAAAAAAATCCTTGCAGTGAGCTACCACAAAATTACCTGTCAGAGGCATCAGTCAACTGAAGCAAAGCCTAATGACTGAATGGCATCAAAATTATATGTACTTCCCAAGGTCTGCAAGATCATGTCTTATTTGGAACCAGACTTCCTTTGGAAGCTGAAAAAATGTAACAATGTAATACCGTCTCTACACACTTTCTAGATGTGGGACTGAATCAAAAGAGGACCTAGATGTCCAGTCACTTGATGCTGGACTACTTAGTTTCAGATGTCTGACCAGTTCAGTGGCACCTGCTGTCTGGCAGAGGCATGCCCAAGAGTTGAGATGGGAGCTGCCTGAACTAGTCGCTGCATACACAGTCTAGAGGGTGTTTTCTGATCACCCTCTCCCTAAGAAATAGGCTTCTTTACACTCAGAGTTGGGCTGGTGGCTTATCAGTGTTCAGCAACCACAATGCAGAACACCCACCTGGAAATAACTACATCCATGCTCTGGAAGCCTTGGCAGACCTCAGTTTCAGCGTCTCTTGCCAACTCCAGCATTAGCCACTTACATTTTCAGTGAGCCACCAAATTCAATTAAGTGTTCGGCCATCTCTTCAGAGAGAAGTAAGTCAAAGTCATGTTTCCCCAGAGCAGGACACTCCATTTCTGCTGTCACTGTGCCACCCTGCACAGAAGGCATTGTCTGCAGTGTGCACCTCCTGCTCCTCAGCTGCTGCTGACAGGTGGGCAGACAGGCTTCCCCTTCCTCCACGCACTCCTTCTCCCATGGCTCTCCAGCACACAGGGGGAACCATACCAGTAACCAGCAAAAGCTCTGGAGTTAAGCATGAAGCCAGGATCAACCCAATCTAAATATATTTAGGGATTCAACACCCTACCTGTAACTCCACCCCTGAAATCATCCACATTATCTACTTAGAAAGTCAAAGAAAGCCTAGACACCAAATTTAAGTCATTAATTAACTTGATCCCTTCTCTTTTCCATTCCCAATTCTTTTCAAGACATCTTGGACAGAATCAGGCCATTTACATTTGCCAGGTCACCTACATATTGAAAACATTACAAATGTACATCTATGCAGCTGAATGCTTCAAATTCCTCAAAATAATCAATTTTCCTTGTTAAACTGGGGGAGGAAGGGGGATGAGTGTTTTAGCACAGCATCAGCAACACCGCTCACAATCAACTGTGTCAGGCTTGATGAATGGCAAGAAATATGTTGCTTTCCTTAACACCAGTTTAACACATCCTCTGACTCCTAATAAGAACTCTGATAGTACAGTTCAAGAATTCCAACACTCATAGAAATTACTTCTTTTTAAGCACAAGAAATTGTAGAAGTTCCACTGTATCATCAAGTATACTCACTTTCTCACATGCAAATCATCATGGGGCCATATCATAGGCAAACCCATAAGCATGTTAGATCTTCTTTTCTCCTACCTCAGGAATCTTCTAGAGGCATTCACACTGGCTTGAATGAGCTTGTACTGTCAATTCATGAAGTGATTCCTCCTTTCCTATGAGTCAGGAACATGAGTAGGACCAAATCAGGCTATTTTATACATACCAAGAAAAGATGAGAACTTTACTTATCCCACCTACAAGCTCAGAAAAAACCAGGATGGGATCAATGACAACAACTTGTTCTGCGTTGTTCTGTGTAGGTTCTCCTGCCACGCGCTCACAGTGCCATTCTGAGCAACTTCTTGTAGAAAAACAGCTGCCATCTGTGATGTGTGATTTGCTCTCCCTCATCGTCTCCCCAAGGGCAGAACCACACATTTTTTTTTACATTGCATGAACGCTGTCCTTGGGAAGAGCCACGTGTCTGGCTGTGAACAACGCCTGCTGACAGACCGGCTCCTGCATCACCGTACCCACTCCACATGTCCGCTCACCCCACATTCACCCCCACACAGGGACCACGTGCCTCAGCACATGGAAGGATGCGGGGTGTTAACAGAGCCAAGCTGGTGCAGCAGTATGAAACCAAGACATACAGAGAACAGAAAAAACAAGGCACTCCTGTGAACAGTAACACACTGCACAACTCAGTAGGAATTTCACATGGAGTTACCTCAAGCCCCTCCAAAAAAGTCTACTTGTCTTACTCTTAATGCACTTCCCCCTCCTAGCACTCACTTCAAATCCACACGTATCTTGTGATAAAATGCAGAATTATGAACACAATGCAAATGTTGAAAAATAGTATTTATTAGCACCCGATTTACATAATTATATGGTACAAATTACACTTGCTGCTGCAACATTAAATAAAGCTGCTTTTAAAAATCATTGCTTTTTTCTGGAAGTCCATGTGATTTTGCTCAGCACAGAATGCAGGTACAGTACACAGATACCCCACTTCACTACTGTCATACCAACACAAATACCTGCATGGTTACCTTAATGGGGTCTCATTTTAAATGGCACACTAACATAAGCAGATCTATATAATTTTAAATGACAAAATATTTATTTGACTTATTCAGGCAAGTTAATGTAGCTTTAAATATAGCCTATCCAAGAAGTTTCACAAAATATGAATTGCAGTGAAAAAGAGAAAATTCAGGGCTGCACTTGAGAAGCTCAAAATTACACTGGCATATTTAAAAATAATCTTCCTCTGAATTTTCTATCTTTGCCATTTTAGATATTTATTCAGCATTTTAAACTACTGAGTTTTAGTAAGAAGTTTAATACTAAGTTTTTGAAGAAGCATTTCCTTTTAAAGCAAAAATTTATATTTGTAATAATAAATGTCAAACAAATCTTTGGAGATTGAATCACTTTCATTTTTCTCATGTCCCATGAGTAATAAGCCTTTTCAAAATCATGAAATATATTACATTTATGGATGCTTACTCCCAAGAAAACTATTTCCTTCATAAATTAAAAACCAGAACGTCTCACTCAAAATAACATTCACTTTTGTACAACAGTTGCATTTAAACAAGGTAATTTTAGTGGTATGGCAATTCTGACACAGCCTTGTGCTGAGCCATACACAAAAAACTGACAAGCAGGCTATTACTCAGCAAGTAGGTACTTCTCATTTGTATCCAAAATTCTGCAAGACACTTGAAGTCCCACATTGTTTCAAAGTAGTCATTCAAAACTGGTGTATAAGATCATAACCTAGCCATAGTTCTGAATGGGAATCTTAATTTCCTTTAGCTGTTTCTGTATCAGCCACAGTCATCTTTTCATATCAACAATCTGCCATGGAAGTGACCCAAAACAGAAGGGAAGCCACTGTAATTACTAACGTTAGTGGTTATTACCTGTAGTAACTTCTCCTAAAGAGAGCTGTCAGGTATCTGTAAGTTTTAGCAGAAAAGAAAAAAGTGTATTGATGTAAACAACAACAACAAAAAAATCCAAGCTACAGTCCATATGGCAAAGAAATTTGTCTTTTTCATCCTGACAGTTAACTGAAGATAATTATACAAAATACAATGCAAAGCTGACAAATGTCAACAGAGAACCTTACAGCAACAAGTCATCTCATCATGGAGTTCCTTTGACAAGTTTTTTCAGATGCACTATTCAAGGAAAACATAGCACAAGGCTGCTTTTCAGTCTGCTTGGACTATAAAGGTACAAGAAATCATTAGCTAACATGCTCAGTTTGCATTTCCAAAAGAAGTGCTAACACATATGAGACAATTTTCAAAACTGATGCGCATTTGCAAATGTCCAACTGCAAGGAAATAATTCTAGAAGCCATACATCTGAAAACAAGCTACATTCGATAGCACTGTATCTTGATGATAGGAAGCATAAAAAAATAAATTCTTAATGGAAAAATATTAGCTTGAAGTCCATAATTTATCCATTATACAATGTTTTTGGCAGCTTTTCACAAATAATCAAAAAATAATGACAACATTTGGCTTGGCAGTAAATTATCCTTTCCCTTTCAGAACAGTACAAATCCAGCTGTAGAAATCTTTTCTCAACACCACAGTCTAATATTCTGGTGTGAGGACGAAGGGTTACTTGAAGTAATTTTGGGAGCCTGCAATTCAAACTTAAGGGAATTGAAGACTGGCCTGGAGGATGTCAATACAAGGCTTTGAGCACATGCATGGGGCATGGTTTAAACACTGGTGTGATCTCCCAGGATCACACCATGGCTTGGTAGCATGAGCAGGGCAAAAGTAATCTAATACACAATACCACAATCTACACTTGGGCAGGAGGAAGTTGGGCTAAGAATACAATATTGTCAAATGCCTTTTTAGCTCAGACATAGCTTGGGTTTTGTAGTCTAAGAACTAGTCTCTCCTGACAACAAACCAGATGAGATCCACAAATTACGCTATTCAACTGGATTTATGCCTTCTGTAGTGGAATCCACATTCTCAAAAGTATCTTAAATTATACAGCAATTCATAAGCTTTCTCGACTACAGAGCAGCAAAACCAAGTCAGAAGGCAGGCTGGGAGGTAACACACCAAAATTAAATAAACTGGGTGTAAAGAGATACAAATTAGCCTTTTGGTGGTGAGAGGGTTGGGGCTGAAGCTGAAACTCTATCACCCTTCAAAAAACCACTCCAAGAGAAAAATCAGAAGTCTTTTATGACATTTATCCTGCAGTAAGAGCTCACTGCAAATGAAATTTTAAGATTCTCAGAAAATGTATTCACAATAGGGGTTATTTTTTTAAAAACATCCCTGACATAACAGTATGGATCAACACTGCTGTCCATCAGTTTCTCTGTTGCTCAGTATGAGCAGGGGCTTTCCCTGGCAGTTTACAGACAAATAATTTCCATAACTTTGTCTCTAAGCTTAAAGACACTGATGACAAAGAGTCAAGACTGTTCACCTATTGTAACTCTCTTCAACTAAACACGTCATCAGATTCAGATGAAATATTCTCAACACCTTCAAGTGCTTATGGAAAAAAGGAGCTTCCTGAAACATCTGAGCATTTTTTTCATTGTCTCAGTGACTCAATAGGAACAACTAAGCATCTCTACAATGCTCATGAGCAGCAGCTGCCCAAGAAAACTCATATTGCCATGTCAAACATTGCCACATCTTATACAAACCAATTTACCACTTGGAAGAGGTTAACTATTGTATTCTGATTTCTGAATTTCTAACAGTGTAGTCCAAACCAACTTCCACTAAACAGCCACAAATATCAGCACTAGACAACCACAATGGCTGCATTTTCTTCCTTAATGCATCTCAGGTTGACTAGATATTTCACACAGGCACCAAGTAGGCTCTTGGATACCTGGGACAGACAGTCTGCAAACAACACACTGTCAAACCACAGTTAAAACCTGCAAATGTTTCCAAACACTTGAAAGGCATTAGTAAAACCAAGACTTGATTATCTGATAGTGATGCCCTCTTTTCAACTGTTTGTTTCCACACTTCTACCCATCAAACACTGCCCAAAGAACACATGGGTTTACAGAAATTGATGCTCCCCAAAATTACACTGTTAAAACCTAAGGAGGCAGGGAAAGGCGACACATCTGTCATCCACCAGATGTACTGAAAAGGTGGTGTAACTAAGTTCTTTATCACACATTTATTCAAAAGAAGAAATCTCTGTTTACTTTAAAATCACAACTGAAAAACAGTGTTGTATTACCTAATCACAAAGCTGTATGGTGAACATCACACACTCAACCAAATTACATGGGACTGCTTTAACATAACATTATTTGAAAATACACATCCTAAAAAAATAGGCTATAGTATATGACATATAGTTCTACAGGCTTTTTGCTAAGACCATATTTTATCAAAATAAAGAAGAATGAGATGAAAGTAGCGAATATTTTATGTGGAAGTTTTCTCTCTGAGGCCCAAAATCAAATGCAGACACTATAATTTTGTAAGAGTGACACAATATATCTAGAACTTCTTCCAGGTACTTCAAATAATTCTGTACAAGTATTTTGGTAACTGAATCAAATATGTGAAAGCTAACAGCCCAGTGAAGTAAATTAGAGTAAAAGTGAAAGTATTTAAACTAGTGGACCAACTTTCAACATATAGAAGGACTGAAAATTCTCCCATTAAATTAGTTAGTAAATCAAAATCATTAGCACAGGCTAACATACACAAAAAATTATAAGACCTAATCATTAAAAAATTATCATGTAAATTAGATATGGGATAAATAGTACTGGTAAAATGCTATATAGTGATATTACAGAAAAATGTTTTTTCCAAGAACAAGCCTTGGGTCCAGTTTGGTTTACATTTTGAATAAACATATGTATCAGACAAATGAAAATTACTAATTGCCCTGAACCAGGAAGAACTGCACACAAAAGGGGAACAAATAAAAATAATTTAGCACCCTCAGAGGTCAGAAGTTCAAAATTTTAAGATCCAGGATGATCATGAAACAGGAATTAAGTCTCTAGCTGCAAAAGAATGATAACATACTAAAAGTGAAGAAGAAACTTGAAAAGCAGCAATGCTCAAATGTTATTTAAAGGAGTTGTCATAAATAAAGAAATATGATTTAAGCTTGTCAGACATCAAAAACTTGGTCTTCCTACACAAAATCTTCATGTTAGAGAGAATAAACCCATCCAAGTAACAACCAGACTTAATAGATGACCCTCAGACTAAGTCAAACAAATAATGCATGTGGAATGGTGGTATGGACACCAGTATCTGGAGAATTGAGCTTAAAGGATGAAAACAAGAAAATGTGCAAAAAAAAGCTGACTAAAAAAATAGCTTGAAGAAAGCAAAAAGGAATGAAAATGTTCAGATGGAACCAGTGTGTGCACGGAGGTCCCAAAGACTATGAAGAATATGTAAAATGGCACAAAAGATGGCTTGGAATACTGGCAGGAAGTTACAAAAAAGAGCTACTAAATATCACATAAATCCTTGTGCCAGTGAGATGTAATAATTGAAATAATCTTTAAAAGGAAGCCTAATTGTTTTAGAACATAGAAAATCTCACTGGCCAAGACAATATTAGAATGCACAAGTCTACAACCCCGCTCTAGCAAGCAGATGGACTAGATAACCTAAATAATTTTTTCAACCTTATCTCCTACGATGATGCTCAGAAGATCTGACAGGCTCATGCACAATACCCTGCAGTCCTACAAATATGTGAGCAAGTACAGTAAAAAGACATTGACATCAATTATGAAGACAAGCACAAAAATATATATATTCCACAACCTCTTTGTAAGGCTACATTTGTTTTGTTTTGTTTTTTAAAGGCACCTCATCCTCTAGCTATTGCCAGCTTTTAAAAAAAATCACTTTTCAGTTTGAGCAAGAGCTCAATAGTGAGAAGGAAACATCTTTCAATTCACATTTGAACAGCCACTTCTTACATTCCAATTGTAATCAGAATGACAGTCTTTAAAAACAAGCATGCTGGCCTATTAGTTTTTATGTACAGCAATTTAAACAACTGTGACGACATACTGTATTGTGTAAGCAAAAACACAACATTCATTTCATACTCACACCATTATCCTTTGTATACACAAACTCAAGAGAACTCTTAATACTAATACATTAAAATGCACCCATGGAGTCTTCCCTTACTAGACACATTTAATACATGTTTACAATATATATACACATATATAATATACATAATTTTTAGAATTTTTCAAATAAATTTTTGTAATTTTCTCTTCAAAAAGAAATAAAATAATGACACTGAAAGAATATGAGTCAAGTACACAAAACTCTCACCAAGTTGAATGCTCAGTTTTGCAGCCAAGTTTCCTCCTTTTCATCATAACCAAAACATTTTATAAAAACTAAAAAATCTGTATTATTATTGTAGTCATCTGTTTCATGGTAAAAGTTCTAATCTTATCTGAGGAAATATATTGCATATCATTATCATGAAGTGACATATGTGAATATTCTGAGCAATAAAAGGTATTCCAGAATATTTCAGCAGTACATATAATGTGTAGCAGGCTCAAACAGCATAGGTCCACCTTTTATTCTAAATAATATACTTGGTTTAAACATTGAAATCAATTTCAAATATGGTCCCCATCCCAAAATGGCACTCAAAAAACAACATTTTCAAACCTCATGCTGATATCTTTCAATGACTCCTGCTTACGAAGTGTCAGTTTAAAGGTAAAGATTTATTTACCAGTTTCCAGTCTTAACCTCAGGCTGGTATACAAAGAGTTGCACTGGGTTCTTTCCTACTCATATCAGCATCAGAAATCATCTCCAGCAGAAATTCTGCTTTCCATTCACATCAGAGAAAAACACTAATTACGTGCTTATGAATAGTAATAATTCTGATGATCACAAATAACAGAAAAGAACCCACTCACCTTCCTTTAAGAAGGGATAAAAAGACTAACAGATTGGATTAAAAGTCATTTGTCAAATCAACAGAGAAGCTCTGAATAGATAAACAAAGCACATCTGTTGAGTAATTATGAGAAGTTTAGGCAACCCAATCAGTGACACATACACCCAAATGAAGTGGACAAGGTAAAAAGTCCCTCAAATGGTGGAGCTGGGAAATATTCTAGCAGTAGCAGAATCTCTCAAACCGATGGAACTTTGTCCAGTTCCTACCTATTCCACTAATAGGACTCATACAAAGCATCAGATTTAATCTTCAAACAAAGTATTTCACTGTTATCCTTCAAAGCTCAGAATGATACCCTTTTTAGCAGGAGCAGAAAGAGGAGATGAATGTTTGATAGCTAAAATTGTAGGACAGCTTCTTTGGAAAGCTTTGTAATAATTTCTTGTGCCAGATCTCCAAGAATAAACAGCATTAAAATCTGAATAAGTTAAATTTGCTACTGCAGTCTGTTGTTAATTGGGATTTAGACTAAAGGCTCAGTTTCTAGCCATACACTAATAAAGTCTTTAAAAAATTATATAATTTTTTTTTTTTTGCAAACTAAATATTTACTGAGAAACACAGAAGATGTAACAGAAACTTTACTGCATTTTAATATATGTTAGTAATTTGCCTTCCTTTAAATGCATTTATCTTAGGCTAGCAGCCAGGTGGCTGAGATTAACTATCTGCTACTGCTCTCTGAACAAATCTTACTTTATTCATACACCAAAGGGATGACAAAGTGCCTCTCACATGATACAGTAAAGAACATGTGATCTGACTTTGAATCACTTTTTCCAGGTGATTTGAGTACATTAAGATTCTTCAATGAGAAGCATCCTAGAACGCTTCCCTCTTGTCCTACTCCCTGATGCAATTAGACCCCTTCTTTGCAGTACTCCATTTTATTAATAGAGAATACGTAGACCTAGTTTCACCCAAGGCCTGCCTGGACGAAAATTCACACCCTCTAAATAAAAGCTTCTTTTTTTTTTTTTTTTTTTTTTTTTTTTTTTTTTTTTTTTTTTTTTTTTTTTTTTTTTTAACTATTTGAAACTGAGAGATTCCAAGCTCTCAGCACCAGCTGAGCTCACAGAAACAAACGTCAATTTAGAAAACAGCACCCTGCAAAACTACACTTACAAACATTCTCTGAATTATATAGGGCAAGATAAAACAACTCATGCCCTCCTCTTCTCTTTTGAGCAGCTGGTTAAATATATCCAAAGCTAAAGTTGAATGGAAGCACTCTGTCATACAAACACTTTAGCCAGGGCATCTGCTCCTGCACTGGCAATATAACATTTGGATGGATGGAAAGCCACATCATGAATGGACTCATCAAATTTTTTGCGATGGGCAGTAAATTCTTGGATGCAGGTCTTGCTTTCAAGATTCCACAAGCGAATCGAGCAGTCGTGACCTAAAGAAAGGGAAAACAGTTTTCTTTATAATTTGTATGCCTGCCATCATTATGAGAAAAAGAAAATGAAATCGGAATGTACTTACTGCCAGACATCAAATACAAGCCATTAGGATCAACAGCTAAACTTGTAACTGCATCTAAGTGAGCTACCATGGAGTGGATCAGTTTTCCTTCGAAAAAAAGATTTATTTAGGTTATTTTCTGCAGTTAATTCTGTTACCTCTATTCACTGCTTATGACCCTACCACAGCTGATATAAACACAAGAGATCTTGTTCCACGACTGAATCATTACAATTATACAAGAAGTCAGTATTTTAATGTTCACAGTTCCCAAGAACCACAGTAGCAGTATCATCAACATTTATGAGACCTTCTCTTTAAGCCACACTGACCCTGCAATTACTGTGCATTTTACGTATCTGCCCCTTAAGCAAATTAATGGAGTTCTCAGGCAAGATCTTGAATGGGAAGGAAGGCAGGGGCTGAGCATACTAGAAGCAATGAATATAAACTACATGGGAATAGGGGATAGTGTTAGTTGTCTCAGAGAGAATTAATGTTTTATCACAGCTTATTACAATTACAGAAATGATTTCATGTTAAAAATAAGAACTCAAGGGCCAAATGTGGCAGAGGTCTAGGAAACACTAAAGGAACGCCAGAGGTTCCTGCTCTCAAGAGCAAAATAATACAGACAACTAATAGAAGAAACATAAATATAAGAGCATGAAGATTTTCAAAAAGAAGCCTTTTATGTTAAATATTTATAAACCCCATACATAGGGCATTCTAAAAGAATGGACAGAGAGATCCACATTCCTTATCACTTTGCCAAAAAGCTTTAAGTGAGCTGGCAATCTTTATACTCTATTAGTGATGAGAAATTTCTGCTTCAGAGGCTATCCAGTTCTTGACATCCCTCAGCATTTGTGTGTATCCTATTGATCATAATGAAATTTGGAATATGACTTATACTACACAATGGCTTATGGCTAAGACCTGCTGGAATGATGCGTACCTGTGTTGTTGTCGTAGAATTTGATGTGTCTGTCTTCATGAGCAGTGATACTAATTGGAAGAGTTGGATGGCTGATGACTCTGTTTATCTGACAGGAAGAACTGACTGCTAAGAAAAAACCCACACACATCAGTATAAGTAAGTTGCTAAGTTCTATGAAAGACTACTACTAAGAAATAAATATGTAATCAATCTAATTTGCAAAATAATTCTTACATACATATCCTGACATCTCTCAGCTAGCACCTTATGTTATGTACTTTACTCTAAAATACTTTCCAAACTATAAAAGACAGAGACATACATAAAACAGATGTGGGACAAATAAGGTCCAGCTTTTGGACATGGTTTTAGATAGGCACATCAGGCAAAAATGTGAAACCAAAAACTGAGTAAAAAAACCCTCATTCACACACATTCCTCCTTTTGCCAAGTCAAACTTTCTTCATACCATACAGGACACGTAAATAAATAGTGCAGGCAAATAAAACCTACCTCTTATTAGCTGATATATATGTATTGAAATTATTATTTAAAAAAAGGATGCTAGACTATTCATAGGAGAGCCAATTTTCTCACGTTCAGTAATTCTGAAATAGCATGCATATATATACAGATATATATACACACACAGAGAAAAAAAGTATAGGAATTTTCTGGTTAGAAATCCAGGCATTGCTATGATGCACAGATTAATGTAAGAGGTGTCTTAAGAGGCAGAGATTATGAAAAAAACCACAAATAGTCATTACACAGAACATCAAAATACAGATATTGTCTTTCATGTTGACTGTATTTAGCTAAATTACTTCCAAAGAACATTTACATAATTTCATCTAAATTCTTACTAAAGTAAACAAAACAGAATACTATTGAAGGTTCACTTCCTATAAAAATGGTAAATATTCATTTCACACTTTTCTATAAAAATCTGAACCATAAAGCAGTGTCAGCATCCACAAGACACTTAGAAATTATGAAAGTAAAAATTAAGGGAAAAAACTCCACATTCATATAAATAAACACCCCTAAAATTACTAAATGCACATGAACCTTCATCACAGCCAGCCATCCTCACAGTTTGAAAAGGCCAAGCAGAGGCTTATACTGAGCAGAAGAGTCCCTAAATAGTGTGGTAGGGCATTTCACGTGACATTTACCTCTTGTCTCGTTCTTGTAGAAATAATAATATTTAAATAATTGAATTTAATAATAATAATATTTTAAATAAATAATATTTCTTTAAAAGACATGTAAACTTTATAGTACTGTTACACAACTAAAGACACTAAACAGGGACTGCTGGTTGCTATACTGGGGTCTTGTTTTCCTAAAGGAATATTACATAATTACAGCAGGGGTGGGTGAAAAAAAATAGAAGGGAGAGGGGAGGAAAGAAGAAAGGTGGCTTCCACTGAATTGCTTTAACTAATTTAAAACTAATTTTAAACAAAAATGTGGGATAAAAGAAGAAATGCAGCAGAGTAAGGAATAACGGAAAGAAGAGATATGGCACTTTCCATTTGCTCTTACAAAATTACATTCATTTAAATATTTCAAAACACACAAGCCAAGCCAACAAGAATAGCTTAGTCCTTTTAAAAAATATAATTAAATAGTAGAATTCAGTGACATAAATCCCTAACAGTGAGGGAAGACATAGCAAAATTTTAAAAGACTCAATGTTTTATCATTGTGGCCTGAATATGAAACCTTATGCTTCAGCTCATTCTGGTCTCATTTGTGAAGTCAGGGTAAAATAATGTACTAAAAGCAGGCTCTTCACCGTATCCTCTAAAACTTCTAATATTGGTCACTGCCATGATCCAAGTCATTACATGGGACCTCGTGAATTAATACTCTTACACTGGAGCTTTGCTTTCCTTTTTCAGTGAAAATTTCAACTAAAACCCAAGTCCAAATGAGTCAAGAGTACAATAAAGCTTAGAAGATGGATACCACTGAGGAAAAATAAAAAAAAATTTACACACTCCCAACTTTTAAATAAATTTAACATTAAATTTTCCTGATACTGCCTCTTTTTTGCAATTCTGGACTGAAGAGAAAATGGATATATGGAATCTGCAAAGATCACAAAGCTGTATTAAAGAACCTTGTGCTTTTTCTCATGCTACTATCCCTTGAAGAGGAATTCAGAGTGTGAGCTTGTTTCTTCTATCTTATTTCAAAAGTATGTGCACTCTTCTGCTACTGCAACACTTGTGAGGTCTGTTGTAGTAGTAACAATTTACTGTTATATCTCAGAATACAACTTGTAGCATAATCCATTTTATAGTTTCTCATGACACTGCCTAATTCTCTGGAAACACTAAAAGGATTGTCAACAGTATCCATCTCAAACAAGCAATTTGTTTTTTCCTGTCGTTGGTTTGAGGCTTTTGATACATACTAGTATCCACACTGGACTCCAGGGTAAGAATTCGTTGCCGTGTCTCCATGTTAAAAATGCTAGTGTGTCCACTGTTAAATGATGCTACCATGAGGCTTGGGTCACTGCTCACAAGGTCTACTGATGAAGGGATTCCCATTTCTAGAAAACAATGTAGAGAACATGTACTTGGTGTAAAGAAAATTTAAAAAAAATTAAAAATCCTTACAAAAAAGTATGTTCTTCAACATCAAAAGGAGCACAATAATGAAAGGAAGTGTTGCATTCTAAAACACAAATTATGCCAATATAAATAGCTTTCCGTGTATGATAACTACTTTAATACTATTTTTTTGGACACGTGTATCAACATTCTTTACTAAGATGCTGTATCTGAAACTGCAGCTGTGCAGAAATCTACTTTAAAATTAAGAAAGCAGTAACTCCCTGGGCCCTTTTCCCTCCTTTAACTGTAGCAGCAATTCTCAAAAAAAACTCCACCAAACTCCACTGCTTTGAGTAAAAGGACAGGAAATTGAAGTGTACAACAAGTGACATGACAGATAATTAGTGTTGTTATAATTACTTAGATAAAATCAGAGCTTAATAAAACACCAAAGTTCTCCAGATGCAGATTCTACACACTGGAATTGTCATCATGTACAGTTATATAAATACATTACAAACTTGTATTTCAAAGCTCCTGCCTAATGTGGTATATATTTGATCTCCTTATAGTGTACCTATCTGCACACTATAGGACAGAAGGTCAAATCAGCAGAGCTTAGGCATAGGATATATTCCTTAGGATTTTTCTCTTCAAATGTCCTCTCCACCACCTGCTATGTGGAAAAACAACACCAGTTGCAACAGACGTTAGGAGGAGGAGGAAAAGATAGAGAGAGAGGAACTGAATTTTAAGCAACCTAATGTTGGATGATAGATTCAGATAACACAGGAATACCATCATATCCCTGTAAACTCTCCAAAGATTCATGGGAGAAATATCTTTCTGAAGCACAGCACCTCAACTATTTCTCAGGAATGGCAGTTGTTACCTACAAGAACTTGAAAAAAGGTCAGAAAGGACTGGTGTGAAAAGAAAACACATTGTTTCTCACTGACCTTTTCTATTACTGCCATGCTTATATGCAGCTTCCTGAAAGCCTACAATGGTTAATCTGAACAACTTGAATAATGAGTGACAGATATTTTAGGGGGTTTGTTCAAGGTTATTAATAAGCCATAGGAAAACTGAATTTTCAGTCTTTGGATTTCACAACTGGGCTTCATTTCAGTTTAGAATTCAAAAAAAACCTCCTAATATTAGGGCTATTATATTGCCTCTGTGAGGGAAGACTACTCCTCCTCCCCCCTTAGTTTAATAATTAAAAACAAAACAACTCACAGTAACAAACTCCAAAATTCTACCAGGAAGTTTTCAAGGCAGGCAAATAGACAAGCTGGCAGTAAGAAGCCTGCATACCTTTAGAAACATAGTTTTATGAAAACTAAAATACATGGAATGTTTCTATTTTCCTCAGCCTGTTTTAACTAACCTGCAATACCATATCTGACCAGTTTTACACTATAATTTGATCTGTCCATTCAGCTGTTACAAGGTTTATTTTGCCTCAAAGTTTTTCTGAAGACATGGAACTGTCTCAGCTCATGGGCTGTCTTTAATGACTACCAGCTCTAAGAGACTTCAGCCAATGTCAAGGGCTTGTTCTGGAGCACTCTGACTCAGACAGACAGCAACTTCCAGAAATTAGATTCTAACCAGTAGGACTTTCACTTGTGCATGACATTTCAGTAACCAACTCCAAAGGAGTATTTTTTTTTCAACTAGCAGTATTTAGAATCACTAGGTTATTATTTAGCTGATCTGCAAACTCAGAAATTCAACTGGAATCTCTGTGTTAGAGGCACAAGGAACAAATCTGGAAGGTACAATGACACTGGCCTGAGATAAACACTGGTTACTCAAAACTTGCACTGGGGGAAGAAAGGGCTTTTTATTCTGGACAAACAAAAAACAAGGGCCTGGTGGAAACTCAAGTCTGAATCTGAATTAGAGTTAATACACTATCCTCCATGGTGCTAGTAAGATCAGCACATTATCTGCAGCGGTTGGCTTTTAGATGTATATAACTGTCCCCCTGAACGCAGGCATATATGCAGGTAATGTCAAAAAAGAGTCACAAAATTTACTCTTCCCAAAAAACATGCATAAAGATACAAAACTCAGACAGAAGCACAAGAAGCATTTCTGTTCAGTAGCCAAAGTTATGTCAGTCTGAACAGTGATGCTCATGAACTTCAGGGTATGGTGATTTTCTGTACCTTGATTATCATTAAATATATTGAGAGCTGGAGCAATTTCTGTAGCTTTCCACAAACGTATCGTGCCGTCTGCTGAACAGGACAGCAAACGCTGGTGAGCTCCACTGTAAACCAGACCCCACACCGCATCAGTATGGCCTACAAAAGCACCTCTTAGAACAGAAGGATCTGTGAATTAAACAAAACAAAACACATTTCCAAACAAAATCTGAATTAAGTCAACAGCTGTATCTTGGCCTGTGTTTAGGCACCAACCTCTAGAAGATAATTGATAAAAACCCCAACATTAATCATGTCATATCAATATAGAAGTCTTAATAATTCTGGCATTAGGATGCTTGAATTTCAGCAGCATATGTGACATTCAATTACCCAGTTTACAACTAAAAGAACAAAACAATTCTTCAGCAGAAGGGACAGTACTGACTTTGGCAAAACACACTTCACTGTTAAAATTCACTTTCAAACAGATATTAATGCCCTAGCAGTCCTTTTTATGCAGAAGTTAGCTTTGAGACCAACTGCACCTGAAGCAACCACAAGTGCAAAATTAATCATACAATCCAGACACAAGGCTGGCATCCACTCAGATCTAGTAAATTTTACCAAACCTTTTTAGCTGTTTCTAGCCAACATTAACAACTTTGGTCTCAGGCTATAAAACCTTTTTATCTAAACTCCACAGAAATTTGTCAAAGAAAAAAACACTAAAATACAAATTTCCTGTACTTGCCAAATTATCAGATTTAGGCCTCTACTTCTAAAACCTATACTTTAGACTAGCTGTTTCTAAAATCGATTATGAGATCAAGGCCTTTTTAAAGAAAATGACATTTTATCTTGCCATCAAGCAGCATCAGCATTAAAACAATAAGTTATTTTAAGTAATTGAAGGTAACATTCAATTTGCTCTCTTAAACTTTCACTGAAGCATTATCTACAAATTATACTATTTTAGTGACATAACTGTCATTAAACTTATAATTTCACTGCTGCATGTGACAGCAACATACCATAAGAATCATAGGGATCAATGTTAGGGTTGGTTGTGTTCCAGCCATGGATGAGGCCATCTGTTCCCCCACTGTAGCATTGTTCACCATTACTGCTCATCACCACACAGAGCACAGGTCCACTGGAAGAAAGCCCCAAAGAAACACTATTAACATTTTCATTACATGCAATGCAGTGTCAATCTTAAGAATTTCCATGTTAGATATAATTCACTTGCTGCATGGATTGCAACAAAAATTCTGCATCATGAAATCATACGCTACAAGACATCTCACAAAAATACCCTCCACAATATCTAGTAACACAACTGCAATCAGGACAATTAATCATTATGCACATGAAATGTGAAAAACAATTTAAACTCTAGGATTTTTTATTTCATGTAATTTTTTTTCCTTTTCAAAAGATTTAAGGCTCTTTCATGAAATCATCTCAGTAGATCTAAATTCACTCCATTTATTCTTCTTCAGTTTCATTCCACATATGCAAGTATGTGGCAAAAAGGCAAAAGCTGCAATGATGAACCAAACACCTAATCAAATTTGAACTGTATCGTTTGTAGATTTTTAATTTTAAAGTTATGGCGTATCTGACTTCAGACATAAATAACTGTACAGAAAGGAGAACAACACATGCAGATATTCTAAACAATATAGGAACTAAAAGTGTCACATTAAATCAGTAGCTGATAAGATGAAAATTATTTTTAAGAATTCTGTTTCTGTTTAAAAATCTTATCCTTCTCAAAGTATGACAGTATTTCTCAGGAAATACTTACTTATGTGCTCGGAAGGTATATATTGGCTCTACATCAAGAGAAGCACTCCTAAACAAAGTATGAAGAAAATATTAACATGTATACCATCTTATACGATGCTTTACAAAAATTTGCCAGAATCGCTAAATTCTTAAAATCCCTGCTACATCTTTTGCAGTGTTTCTCCCACAACTTCCTCTCCCAACAAGATTTTTCACAGGTCTAGGAACTATTTGTAGTCCTTCACAACATGATAGGATTGGTTGGATTTTGGTTTAAAGACCTTCAAGGCAGTTCACAGACCCATCAAACAAGTAGGTAGGTACATCAGTGGAGCAGAAGGAGTGGAGAGACATCAGCATCACATGGAATGTATCATTAATTGTTCCTATTGGAGCAAAGGAGTTTTGGACTCAAATTTTTCTATCAACACTGAAGTGCTTCAAAATTTGCTGCTCTGGACTTTATCAATCCAAGGGAGGACTCCGTGTTATGCCCAGTTCTCCTCAAAGGTGTGAGGAGAACCACAACCACCTTAACCACATCAGCCCTGCTACAAATTTCCTCTGATTTCTGCAAATTCCCAGCAATTTGCAAGAGACAGTTAACAAAGGAACCTGGTAACACCTCAGAGTTTCAAGCTGTACACATGTAAATGAATGTATGTGTATATATACATATGCATATATATATATAAATGCATCCTATACATTTATATATACATGCAAGCACACTAACAGGCCGCATCCAAATACTTTCACTAGTAAATGAATTTGTCATGTTATCTACAAGGAAAATATAAAAAAGTGAATGGTTTTCATCTTCACAAACGAAACACATTCACAAACACACATGGATTTTTTTCTGGCATTCTTTAGGCATCTCTACCCTTCTCTGAGAGCTTGGTTTCCTACTCTTAAATTCAGGGAACACTTTCCATTAACTGCAAAGGCCATTCAGTGAACTATTATCTAGTGGTTTTGTTCCTTCATAAATTAAATTTGGTTTTGAAGAAAATAAGGAAAAAAATCTTACTTTTTTGCTGGGGCTGTTTTTTGTAAATTCCACATTTTTAATGTATGGTCCTCTGAAGCTGTTATTAAGACTGGTTCAACTGGATGAAAAGCGAGACCTCTTATTCCATCAAAGTGACTTCTTAACGTAAACTTGGGGTTCCAAGTCTTTCTCAATGCATCCTTATTGTTGGCTATCTAATAAAAAAAATATGCCAAACTTGTAATTATGCTGGAAGGCACAACAAAAGGAAGAAATCAAAAATTTAGTTTGGCATTTTAGATGTCAAATTACCTCACCCACTTTTCACAATAACCCGCTCTCAAACAACAGTCCACTTAACACTAACCAGACACTTCAAAATGAGGATCAAGATAGACATATTCCATACAAGTAATGGCACGTCCGCAGTAATAAATTCTATGCAAATCTGAAATACTCTTGTGTTTGTAAAATTACACACATTAAAAGCACTGATACTTCAATGAACTCATTTAAGTATTTAAAATTTGATCTATGGCTCATTCACTTACAAAATTGGGCTTGACTCACCTAGGTGCAGTCCCTGAATATCCAAAGTACTACTGACATGGCACCTCTAAAGCAAAGATCTGAGAGAAACAGAGAAGTCTCTAGAAGCACAGAAAGGAACACAACCTAACTTGGCCAGCTAAAAAAAAAGGCAAAAAAGATTTGGCTACACACTAAGAATCTAGCTGGCAGGCAATAAAGTATTGCGTATAGAGACATAATTATTTGGCAATAAATGCATTTTAGAAGACTGAAAAAGAAAGCCTTTTAATAAAATAAGTTATTTCAATATTGATCCTCTGAACAAACATTGACACAAAATGCTGAACGGACTTTTTCACTGTCAGTCAACAATATCATGAGTTAAATTTACCTTTCCACTGCTGATGGTTGTTATGGAAAACCAAGAAAACAAACAACTGTACTGATGTTTATAATGTTGAAATCTACAGATAATTCAAATAATTTGTACCTTTAACTGCAAAGGTGAGAGAACTGTTTAGAGCTATTCAAGAAACATTTTATCCTGAGGATTGGGGGCAAAAGAGGAGGTTTAAAAACAGAAGTGCTTTTTCTTAAGCTTTGTTACACCTGGATTTAACAATAAAAATATACATAAATTAAAAGGTTCTACAGATTTTAAACAAGGATAAAGGAGCTGCCAGAAACAGCAGGTTTAGTCTCATCATATTTCTTAGTAATGACATATTGCCTTGCTCAGGGAGACAAGTCAGTTTTTTTGCCAGTTTACTGAGCCAAGTTGGCTCTGTGAAGGAACAGACAAATGCTCGAGCTGGTACAAAGATGGGGCAGGACTGCACAGTTAGCAGCTCTGGCAGGTTTTTTGAGGATTGGCCAAGAAAATCTCAGCAAAAAGGGTACAAGATGTACAGATATCTGGAGAGGAATTTGGTTACCTCAACACAGGCACCTAATGCCAATTAGGAGATGGAGGGAACTTGCCTGCCTTCCAGCTGCCATACCAGCAGCACAGGTTCTGTGTCACATCTACAAACACCACAAAGACACCTCAGATGGCCTAACAGTGAATTCCAGTCCTGTCAGAATAAAATTCTCCATTTGCTTGTCTTTCATTCAAAAATGTCCTTCCAAAAGGAGTCCAAGAAGGGCAGTTCATAAACTGGAAAGTAGATGGAAGGCAGTCCCAGCCAGCAGATCAGCAGCAGAGGTGGAAACAGATTCTAGCCCTGACATATCACCCACCTGGCTGCCCCCATCACTCTACCCACCAGTCTCACAAGCTCTGAGGCTGGTTACTCACAGCACACAATCTCCTTCTGTCTCTTCCCACCAAAGCAAAACAGTGAGGTAACTCAAGGCCTCAAATACAGTTTGGGGGGATACCAACCCTAAAATTAGCACCTGATCTGGACTTGCCACTTATAATTATATTTGTGGCTATACAAAATTGAAAATGAATTGAAAACAAATTGAAAACTAAAGACAGCAATGACATGCAATTACAGGTACTTCTCTTGTTCAAAGTTGTAAGAAATCAAAGAAGGTCCTACTGTAAAGTCCAAAACCTCCAAATCAGTACTTAACATTAAATCCAATGATCTTGTAGTTCAGTTACTTATCTAAAATCTATTATAATTTTATGAAGATGATGAATCTATCCAGAAGTCTAAGGGAAAAAACAGAGCCAACCAAAGTGAACATTTGTCAAGAATGTGTAAAGGAAGGAAAAAGAAAAGGCAAACTTAAGTGTTTTGGCTAGCAATCTGGAAAATTTAATCTTCTTAGATAGCCTAAAAACCAAACTGCAAAAGAAAAAAATTGTCTTTTAAGTAATAAATTAATAATCTTCACTACCAAGTGAAAACCATTCTTCAACTTACAATCAAAGCAGTATGTAAAAAACTGAAACCACGAAATGAGGTAGGCTAATGCTGACATTTTTTAGAAGAAAAGAATCTAGCAAAAATGTCAGTGAGATGAAAAGGACTGAAAATGGAAAAAGTGTCTGCCACTCTTGAAAGCAAAGTAAAAATTGATTCAGGTGATCTTTCAATTTAATTCTCCATATGATTTAAAACTGACACTTAAAAATAACATACTAAACTTTCACTAATCATACCCGATTCACATTTAGCAGCCGGATGTTTGAAACAGTCCAAAATAATGACATTATCTGTAATCTAAATTTACAATGAAACTTGAAATAGGAACACCAGCCTTTCATTTTGCTTCAATAAAGTGCACAGTAACTAGAGCAAATAGTTTTGTAAATGTTTTCTTTTAATTGTCAGCATTAGAAGAAGGCAAAAGTTGAGGTAACCATAAATATGAATTTCTGATCACAGGACTTCATACAGGCATTGGACAAATGAATAAATAGAAGTTTGTATTCTCTACCATGCAGGAAATGATTGGAATGGATAGAGGAATGATACTCCATAAATAAAAGCTGTTAGTTCAGGATACAGAGACATAAACAAACAAAACATTTATATGGACACTTGCACAATGAAGTCAAGCAATGAAAGTATCTTGTACAGGTGGGTTAGGTTTGTCATGTTCTCTGAATTTAAAATCCAGCCTTGGATTTTTAGGAGTACCTGTAACAGAAATTTATTTGTACATTACCATACCTTTCTGAAGACGTAGTTAGGGACAATTAGTGAAAACATTAAGAATTGAGCCCAAATTAAGAGATAATACTAAGATACTGAATTTTAGCAGAAATGCTCTGCATTCATTGCAATATTGACGATTCATAACATATCACATGTTCAAACACTTGCTATAATGGTAGGGCACATCTCTGCAGTGGCACTCTCAAAAAGTGTCTAAGCTTTTATTAACTATGTATTCATTGCTTTACAAGTACATACAGGGGTAGAACTTCAAAGTAAGAATCTGCATCTTATGTCCAAAGTCTCTGACTTAATTTGTGATAGTAAAATCCCAGATAATGATTATTTAAGAATCACTTTTACTGAAGGGTAGGATTCTTCCCCAACAGAGAATTAAAAACTATCTCTGAAATCCCTCAACCTTGACACAGCTGGGATGCAATATCAAGATTAATCTGAAGCTGACAGATCACACAAGAACAGATGAATAAATTAATAACTGAAGTATCTTTTCCCAAGAAGTAGGAAATACAGGAAAAAATTACATATAACTGAAAAGATGCAATTTTAAGAAAGATTTTTTTTTCATAAACTGTTCAAGAAAAATAAGGCTACACACATAGCCACGGAAGTGCTGTCCACAAAACCCTCCTAAGAGTTCCGGTTTCCCATTTGAAATGAAACTAGTGCCCATACCAGGTAATGTAAACCACAGCTCTGCCCCAGCCAAGTCTTAAATATCTCCCAGGAGAGGGATTCCACTGTTTCTCTGAGCAACCTCTTTCAGTATCACCTACTACATAACTTTCTCCCCCAGTGTCTTACCTGAACCTCCCAAGCTGTAATTTGCTGTTATTTTCTCCTGCCTTGACAGCTGGTACCATGGAGAAACTTGGCTCTATCATCCTTACAAGCACCCTTTTAATATCTGCAGGCTGCTATTCAAGTACCCCTCAGCCTCCTAACAGTTGAGCAAGACTAGGTCTCTTAACATCTACTTATCAGTCAGAAGCTACTGGATTCTCTTCAATTTCTCTACAACCCTTTTGAAGTGAAGTGGTCCAAAACTGCATATAACCCATGTAAAATGTCATAAACATCTCTCAATCTGCTGGCCATGGAACTCCTAATTTTGCTCAGTCACTGGGGTTGCACATACCCAGAAGTACCACTATCACTAATATAATTTCAACTACTTGCATGACATAGCAGGCAAATGAAAGGAGAGAGGCTTGCAGAGAGTTTGAATGCTGCTGTGTATGGGAAGGACAGCTTTGCCAAGTAAAAATTTGTAACATCCTATGGCAGCATAATTCTAACTGGAGAATGTTTTCTGCTGAGTCTACACACAAGTAACTTGCATCTGCCTTCAACAAGACAGAAGGACACTGAGTTACCATTAATAACCACTTACATCATAAGTCAGTGAGTCTGCCTCATTTGCTACAGTAAGGCCTGCCAGTTCTCCAAGACCCAGCTCATTTTCAAGGGCTTCATCTGTTCCCATAATGAAAGATTTCCCTGAGGATGGTGGGAATGTTAAAGCTTCCACTGCAAGAAAACAAAACAAACAAAATAATCCTGAAACATAGGTTTATACAACACTGTACAATAAAAGCACCTTTTCCACTTTCAGAATGCTATGTATCTGTCAAGAAGCCAAGGGCAAACAGATCCATAGAGATGCATAGAAAAAGTTATTCTAAAGATAATCACTGTACTTATCAATAAACAGCACCCTCTGAACACACCTACAGTTCAGGTGTGTGCAACTCCAGACAGTAAATGGAGCCAGTCATGAGCAGGAAGGGTGTGCTGTCATTCATCCATATATAATGCACAAGTAACACAGAAAACACCTTCCCCAACTCAACTACAAAATATGCAAATAGATGCTGAAGAAGCAACAAAATGTAGATAAAAACAGCTGGTGGGAGCAGCCCAAATAAAAGCCCTTGAAGCACTGCTCCTTGATTAGGTCTCTTAGTTATTACCTTTTCATTACAAACATTACCTTCTCCATCCCAAAGTTTACACTACCGGTTCTCTTTTCCTGTCTTTTGAACTCACAGTGCAATTATTCCACTCAACACACAATACATACAGGACATCATATTCGAGAACTTACTAGAATAAAAAAATGTGTGCCCAAAATATGGTGTCTCAGCTTTATAAAGAAATACAGCTAATAGTAATACTGAATTCAGACTGGTAACAATCAGCTGTCCTTTTCTGTGAGAATACATAGGAGTCTTTGAATTAAAAAATACATTATTGAAAGGACATGAAAATAGAGCTCTGCTAATACAGCTCTCAGTACATGTGAGGAAAGTTGGAAAGGGAACATTCAACAAAAAATTCTTCTACTTCACAAAGCGTTGCCAAGTTACCCCCTTCTTTCAAAAAGAAAACCACTGAGCATGAAGGAAGCAGAACTACTGAGATCTTTAGTAGCTATTCCACACACCATCTTATGCATCTTAATTATAACTTGGCCGACCTACTTTTTCACTCTCACTGAAAGACTGCTAAGTGGAACTCATGGTTTTCACATTTTGCAAAACACATATTTACCATTTTAATAGAGCACATGATACCACAGAATCATAGAATGGTTTGGTTTGGAAAGAACCTTACAGATCATCATGTTCTAGCCCCCTGCCATGGGCAGGGGCAACTTCTACTCAATGGGATGGTTCAAAGCACCATCCAACTTGGCACTGAACACTTCCAGGGACAAAGAATCCACAGCTTCTCTGGACAACTTGTTCGGTGTGTCACTACCCTCAGAGTAAAGAATTTCTTCCCAATATCCAATCTACACCCGCCCTCTTTTCAGTCTGAAACCATTCTCCCTTGTGATGTCACTACACGCCCACGTAAGAATTCCCTCTCCAGCTCTCTTGCAGGCTCCCTTTAGGTACTGGAAGGCTGCCATATTTGACAAATTAATATAGCTTCATATACTATATCTTATTATGCTCTACATTATAGCAATTCAAATATTGAATCAAATAGATGACTCAGCATTTTTCAGACAACAGAAGTACTTCATTACAAAGTTGCATGCCTGGCTCTCTGTACTTGGACTAGCCCCTATATTTTTTCCTAATTTTTCGAGCACATTATGGAAATTAATACACTGACAAGCTGCCAGTTCTTCTGTATGATTCACTACACAATCATGCTTCACTACACATATTTTTGAAAGCTACAGTAAGGGATCTGTGTTTACCTGCAGAGCCTCTATCTTTGCACTTGGGAAAAAGGACATGCTTGTGTGTGTGTATATATACATACATACATTTAAAATTACGCCACTGGGAAAAAAAAATATGCTCTTATGTCCTCAGAGTTTATGATCCACATTAGTCTGCCAAGCTTAAGCACAAACAAAAGCAAGTGATTCAGGATGGTCATATTATGAAGCCACTAAGTGCCAAATTATTTTTTTCCATCATGCTCAAAGGTATTCAGCCAAGATGTGAACACAGGTAGGTGTTTTGACCTTCCTAATAGAGACCATAATGGAGGAATGGGAATGACATTTATCACAGCTGGAACTTGCAATACTGAATCAGAATTTGTGAAGTGCTTGGAAAGTCAGAGAGGATAATCCCTAAGAAGTAACTATAAACATTCACTCTCTACAAAGGGGTATGCAATTTTTTATTGTTTACCTTCATCCGTCCTGTTTATCTCATGTTCAATGAGCCTTGAACTACTGGGCCTAGAAGAAGGTGCAACAGATGGCTGTAAAGAAGGGAGATCATCAACATCTCTCAGGTTTGCAAGCATATCTTGCAGCTTTGACCTGTTGGGCCCTAACCAGAAAAAAAACAAAAAATTAAAGGGTTTAGGCGTAATTCATGATGACACTCCTTATATCAGATATGCTACAGCAACACATGCAACAATGGATCCTACCTTGCATTATGAGATTACCACAGAAAAACTAATGAGCATTTATTTCAGCAATAACTAATCATCCAGCATGAAATGAATTTTGAGAAGAAAGTGATAGAAGCAGCTGAGAATTGTGAACACACAATTTTCCCCATATGTATGGACTCATAGTGCTACTTGTACGGGCTAATGAAGAATGCTGCCAACTGAGTCACACTTTAGATTATTAGAATATTTACTTTGCTAAAACAATAGCTGACACCCATGAATATTTTAGAATTTGTGCATCAGGTACTTTGTGCAGCATATTATTATGAAACATTAAAATTTAAATTTATTTTTGCAGTAGTGTAGTATTGTGAGCTATATAATCCAAAAAGTTATATTAAAATAAAAATGGAACTGGATTCACTGGCCTACTTCCTGAAGCTATATATGGTGAAGACCCATGCCCTTCTTGACACTTACCTGTGCTTTGCTCCATCATTTTCCCACATCCCTGTTTTGACTGTTTTATATAGGATTGAGGCTGAAACATATCTTCGGTAGTTTTTCCTGTTGTAAGTTTAATTAAGAATGGGAAAATGTCTTACCCATAGTCCATTATGTTTTTTCCTAGACCAGTAAATAATACAGCTATTTTTAAGCAGCTTTAACACAGTAGTGTACTCTAATATATGTAGTCTCTCATAAAACCATTCTATGATTCTATTCTTTTATTACTTCACAGGAATGTTTACTAGAGTAGCCTTGCAAAATCATGAGTTTACTAATGCAGTTGCAAACACTACTTTGTCCACCCTAACCATAATGACTGATAATAAACTAAATTGTATTTAACTTGTCTGTCACCAAAATATTACTCAATCCAGAAAAACACTAAGAAGGATTTTGCAAGATTGTTTTACTATAATATCTGCTTTATAAAAACAGTATTTTACTTAATAGCAGTTCAGTGGCTAAGCACCATATATAATGAAATTAAAATCATAGAAACAAACTTTGTAAACTTTAATGTTATTTAGTCCCTTCTTTTTTCTCCAGACAGCCTCCCTCACATCCTTCTTCACTATGTGCAATATTATGAATAACTGAAAACAGGCTCTGATTCTTCCCGATTTTTCTGCATTGATGCCCCTCCAATGATGGTTTGTCCATGGAAAGATGCTTAATTTCACTGCTACAGTAAATCACTTTGTCTCCCAAGATCAAACTAATAAAATCAATCCAAAAGGTACTGAGCAGCAGTTATCTTCATGAAGGAGCACTGGATGTCAAATGTAAAATCACATTTACATTGTGATTATTTATCATAATGATATAAAACATATTCCAGTAATGTCTAAACCTAGATTAACAATTAAGTTTTATATCAAAACTAAAAAGACAACAGCTGTTCAAGAACAGAATTTCAACACTTTGATTAAATAATTTCTGCTAAACTAACCCCACAGCTATTTACCCTGAACTACATAACACGTCTGTATATCTTAAAAATAACAGATAAGTTAGAAAAATCACTTTCACTGTAATCATATACTGGCATGCCCTGCCTATCTTAACCATAAAGAAATTTCGAATAAATTTTGTTAAACATGAACATTTTAGTTAGCCAGCTCAGCTCCTTGCCAGACTTGCAATTAACTTCCAGTAAATTAAATTATTCCAAATATGACAAAAATATCACTTGAGAAATTTAAAGCATGGTAATTATTTGCCTTTTTTTGTTGTTGTTGTTTTTAATTTGGAAAAAAAGAGATGTTTACTTTCCGTATTTCATTTTAATTTCAGCCACATAACCAACTGCTGAGCAGCAGCCAATGAGAATATCAATACAAAAAGTAATAAAACAAGTCAGACTCAATGCGAGGAGGGTCTGACATATTTACATCATTATGCATATCTCTTTGGAAGTGAGAATTTCCCTGGTATTCATAAGCATCTTACCACAAAGGGAGAAACATCCCTGAAATTTCTGACCAGGGTACATGCAATATTGTTAATATACATCTTTCACACATGAATTCTCAATATGGCTAGGTATATGAAACACAGTCATGGATACAGTGTTTCATTTTAAACTCTGAATCTGAGTTTAAAAAATTTTATTGCTTACCTATCAAAACCCATTGATTTTACAAAATATATCTGCATTTCAAGAAATGTAACAAAAAAATACAGGGCTAGAAACTATTTCAGATACTAGTCAGTTTTGGGTTTTTTTCAATAACAAAACCCAACTTTTTTGAAGGCTAGTCCCAGAGTTATGAAAGTCAGTAAATAAATCCTGTGATTTACAAATAAAGTGAGGGTCATAGTTACTTCCTATTTCGAGCCCTGCATAACAAATTATGATGACAGCATGACTTCCATGTTGTGAATGTCAAATATAAACAGGGGTAGAAATTAACCTGTTTTCTCCCACTGTCATCTAATAGGATACTCAAGAGAGTTTCCAGTTTGGTTTCTTTCTTGGTTTATTTATATATCAGACTTTAACTCTTCCTGTGAAACTGGCATGTTTCCAGCTAAGAAAGGATTCTGAAGTCTTCTGTATTAAAGTGTTAAGTATTAAAACAATGCCTTTTACAATTTAAAGATCTGAATAACGAAAGTTCAAAATATGCTCAAAGCAAGAATTTTAAACTAACCCAACACTTGGTTGGAAGAAGTTATATCTAATCCAACTATTTATTGGGTAAATTGATCATCTGTCATTAATTTCAACCCCTGAGAACTGGTGAACAGGAAAGCAGTCAGGAGCAGCAAAGTAAAAGAGTAAGTAATTTTAGGAAAACATTGAAAGAGAGATAGAATTAAGGGTGTGAAAGATGTGAGATTTATGATTTTAAGGTGCAATGTTTTCCACTTACTCTTCACCCCCTTTTTCCCCTTGCGCTCCTTTTTGTATTGTTCCTTGAGTTTGGTTATAACTCCCTGGTCGACATTCCAGGCTTCAGGCATGAGACACTGGTCTTCCTTTTCTAAACAAAGTGAAACAAATGAAACATCCTTTTTCAATAATGTCACCAAGTGATCTCCACTGAAGGAGGCAACAGCTGCTGTCAACGTTTGTCTTTTATTTTAAACAGACAGAAATAGCACCAAGCTTGTGAAAGCTGTAAAACTGCTACTCACATTCCACTTCTGTTTGCTCAGAATGTTCTTATTAAAAAATTGAGATGAAATTTCACATGTTTAATTCCCATAACCAAGCACACAGCTGTCCATAAATGTAAGTAACATTTACTTTACTATAAATCAGGACACATTTTTCAGCCTTGTCTTTCCTCCAGGAGAGGAATTATCATATCTAGAAGAAACAGCTATGTTACTTGTCAATATAATTTTACAACTCAGATGTTGTGTTACTGCATTTCAAATTCTTTTTTTATTGTCTTTGTGCTATGTTGTTATTCACACAAAGCAGTAGCACGTTTAAATAATTTTGGAACGCAATATTCATGTCATCATGGTTTAAATAATTCGTTAAGAGCATTAAAACCATGAAATTTCACAAAAAGGTGAAGGCCTGAGGTAGTAATCTTTGGGAAAAAAATCCAAAACATTTCAGCGTACCTAATGAAAAAAAATCCCCACATTTTGGTTTGGATTTGTTTTTTTTTCCTAAGCATCTCCCTCAAATTACTTCCTCTGTGACATGATACAGAATAGAAGTATCCTTCCAGTTCTACAGTATTTGGAGATTTTGAACAAAACATGTTTCATGAGTTCAAATCTCTGAAGCAATTTTTCCATATATGGAGGCTGTCCTGAGGCAGCTTAGAAAATTAATTCATGAGAGGAGGGTAGGTAATACAGTTCTTCCTCATATATATTTCCATGACCATTACAAAATCTTGGAAATACATGATCTTTTTGCTTGGTTTTTCTCATTAAAATCTTAACCTTATTATTTAAAGATTAATTCCTTTCAGACCAAGTTTGCTTTCTACATTGATAAGCTATTCTAGATCTTTGAAAATACAAACAATAATAAACGTATCCTCAGACTAATGTGCAGAACTTAAATGTCTGTAAAGGAAGCACAACATTATCAATCACAGTCTGAAGGAGTCACTATGACTGGACAAAAAATAAAAACCACAAATGGGTTATTAATGTGACTGACTTTCCAAAAATTAATAATGCTGAGAAAGACCTAGGGATCTTCTATCAACATCAAATAAAACAAGATTCAGAAACATATTATTGCAACCAAAGCAACCAACAATATCCTGGGCTGTATTAACAAGAATGTAACCAAGAGGGTGAGGGAAGTGACTGTCCCCCTGTGTTGGGCACTTGAGAGAACAGAATTTTGAGTACTGTATCCAAAACAATAGTTTTACTGCCGAGAAACCTTTTAGGTAGAGTCCTAAGTACCTATTATTGGCATAGTGTAGCAAGTCTAAGGGAGCCACTATGACTGTTCAGGCAGCTGGAGCACATGAGCTTCAAGGAGGGGCTGAGACTACTGTGAGAGTTCAGTGATGCCAAAAAAAAAAGCACCTTAGTGTGGCTTCTAACTACCTGATGTACAGATGTTGAGAAAACAGAGCCTGACTCTGCTCAGACTTGCATCACAGAGGGAGAAGATACTTTTAAAGGTGTTCTCTAACTCCTTTGAGCCTTTCAGTCATGATCCTATACTCATGGAGTGCCAGATTAACTTAACAAAGTTTAGCAGTTTAAGTCTTTTAAGAAAAGCTGTGAAAATAAGCCCTAATAAGCTGAAGAGAGACTCTAAAATAGATCATATATTGGTTAAGCCATGTACTCTTAATGCATATATCTCAATTACTACTAATGAGCAAGAACTGCATAAAGAATTCAAAGAAGAGATAAGAAAATCATACTTCAGAGAAACAAGTATCTAGTAGAGAAAAAAAAAAAAAAGCTTAAATAGATTTTTATTAGATTGCTTCCAGGAAAACACCCAATATGTTAATTTTCTACAGACTGTCCCAGCTTCCCACATATCCCACAGATACTATTCAACTTCATACGTGGATCCTGAACTACTGCTATTCAAGTGCTTAATAGCTTAAAAATTACCAGAAAACATGTGAGGAACTTTCAAGTCAAATGGATTCAACAGATTACTGTAACTGAACAATAACACTTGGAATCCAAAAATAAGGAAAGAATTTCCTCTGTTTGCTGCTGTCCCTCGCTACAACAACATCACTCAACTGTACTACAATTAACAGTTTCACTTAAGCTGACCTAAGTGATTTATAATGGCAGTTCCTTGAAGAAGCTTAGTCTTATATAGCTACCATAAAAGATACAGGTTGTGAAAGAAGAAATTAAAAAACATGAACACCTCCAAGTCAAAAAAACCTGGTTTAGATTTCTGGAAATGAAACTACAACTTTTAATAACAGTTTATTTTAAATGTTAGACTTGCGCTCACTTTTACTCAGCTGTCATCAATGAAAGCAAAAATAAACCAGAAGTGTGAATTTGAGAACAAAAAGCTCTTGTTTGCATACTAACTTTTTAGTGAAACAAGAAATAGCAGCACCAACCCTGCATAAATAGATAAAATTTTAGTATTAAAGAGCAGTATCCAATTTTTTTTAAGAACAGTATTTCTGTTTGGTGAATAGAATACTGACTTCTGTATCTAATAATATTACAACATCCTCTTAAGCAAAGACTAAACCACACTGAAAAATAACTTGGGAGTCCACCCAGGAGATGGACATGGCTTCAGTGAAATACAGCATCTTGGAGATGCTCATGTGAGAGCCACAGTTACCATGGCTTATCAGTCTGTCACAGTTGCATCTCCATTATAAAGTTCAATTATTTCCCATCATCTTCAATAGATGGGATCCTTAAGACTTTCTTAAGACTTTCCAGAGTAGCTTAAGTAGGAAACAACTTCCCATCAAGATATTTAACCAGCTCTCTTCTTTCTCCCCTTCTCTATACTGAGGGTTTAGGCAGAATAACTATGTCAAGGTAAAGTGGAGATGGTGGCAATTTGGGTTGCAGGACTTGAACCCCAAACAACAGAGAGCAGTTTGTGAAATGTCTCTCTATGACTAGTGGACTTAAAGATATATTATTTTGCTGAATTATAAAAGAATGTTTGAGCAGCTGAAGAGTTCATATTAACTAAATTACTAATCCACAGTAAGAGTACAACTAATTTAGATTTTATGACTCACATTGCCCTCTGCATCAAAGTGAGAGAAAGCAAAGATGACAAAATAACTTTCATATCATAATTGTAAAATACAGCTTTATCAGAGCCCTTCATACGCATGGGTCACTAGACAAATATATTGAAATACCACTCATAAATTTTAAATTCTATCTACCTTAGAATTAAAGAAAAGGAAAAACAACCTGAGGCAGAAACCTTGAAGAATCTTTACATTGAAGCAGTTAACAGAAAAAATGAGAATATTATATCAAGAAGACTTAAGTCTGCCAATTATTTATTGATAATAAAATAGAAATAGTAGAAATAATCACAAGATGCTGTGATCCTGACAGAGATCTCATTCAGTGAACTGATCAGTCACAATATATTCTTATATTCTTTTTTTTTTCCTCCTGGTATAATCCATCAAATTTCCTTACCCCAGTCTGTTCCATCTCCTGAACTTCTCGATTCCCCATCACCATCATCTGAGGTAACCAAAAAGTCAAACTCTTTCAAAGCTTCTTCTGTATCTCTGTCTTCACTGCTGTCAGACAGCACTCTTTTCCTTACAATCTGAGAGGTCAGAAAGGACAGGGGAAAAAATGCTGAATTAAGTTACAAATACATCTTTAACCCAAGCAGTACTGTCTTGTCCTCTATGCAAAATCCAAACAAGAAGTTGAAGAGGAAGCAGAAAAGTACACATTAATAAGCAAATCTGGAATAGTACGCAGACTTCTTCAAACTTCTAAGTGAAAATGAAACTTCTGTGTAACTCTTCCTTTCTGTGACCATCAATAATCATCACGTGAATAATGAACCTATGCTAATCTACACCACCACTATATTTTTCTTTAATACTATTGAATCATGATTTTAAAGTTTAAGATTTTAGTTGGGAGTTAGAACCAATTCATACTGAAGCTAGATACATCAATGATAGGTTAATGATTATTAGATGCTTAAGCTACAGCTAATTGTTATATTATGAGCTCATTATAGAAGAAAGAAGTGGAGCAAGTGAACCATTATAGGAACATACTGAAACCAATAGAATAATGTCCAGCACTTGGACTCTATGTTAATCCATCACAAAGCAGGGAGACTTGGATCGTGCCAGAGGGTTACAGAGACTTGACGAAGACTTTCCTGACTTCATCCCTGGGACCACTGACCCAATTCGAGACCACCAACACAATTCAAGAGAAGAACTCGTGAAAGACTAATAACCTCATTTTAATACAAAGGGGGGATGGGAGGTGCTGAAGTTGTGCATATGTATTATTTTGGGAAAAAAATAGAAGGCAAAAAAACTTGTGTGGTGCAGCTATTTGACCAATTGTTAAGCTGATGCCATGATACATGAAAACTGTACCACAATTTTTACTTCTACAGAAATAGAAAATTTACAATAATCACAATGCTTTGACTTGCTAAGGGTCAGTCTGTAAAGACTCCAATACATAGCCCAACATCCTACAGCTCATGAAGATGTCTGACTGTATTTCCTCTAAATACAGTGAACCAATTCCTATACCTGGAGCAATTCTAAACTTCAAGCTTCATTTCTTCAGCAGGCTTAGTGAACATACTGAATTACACAAGACTTAACAGAAGAGTCTCAGACATTAGTTCACAGCCTATGAACGACAGGAAAGATCTGAAAAGATCCCCTTTAAAAATGCCATAAAACTAATTGTTTTTTTAGCGTTAATTCTTAAAACTGACCATAAAAACAATTACATCCATCATCTCTTATCTGCTTCAATTTTTAGGAAAGACAATTCAGTGAATAAATGTTAATTTTAAAGAAGAGTACTGATGGCATGTATCTATGCGATAATATGAACAAATCATAGAGCAAAGTATAGATCATGAGTGAGGTTAAGGCATTTGATTGAACAAAGAAAAAAATTTCTTAACTACATTAGAGTTCTTCCAGTTACACCTCTTCCTTCCACAAGCTATAAATACAAGTGTAATTCAGTTCTGTACTCTAACACAATTTTTGATAAGTAATTTTAAGTATCACTAATTTTTTAATAAATATTCAAGAATAATTATTGACATGCAATGTTATGAATAATACATTCAAACTAAGCTGAGAACTGTTAAAAAAGACAGTGATACCTTAAAAATTGTGTTCCAGGATAGATCAAAAATACTAGTCAGCATGGAATAGTAAAGAGACAATTTTAGAAAAATTTAATCTAACTTAGAGCAATAAAGATGGCAAAGCATAACTTGTGTGCAAAAACTTAGAAATTCATATATAATTCCTCCTATGCACACATGCTTGGACAGAACATCATAAAGATGCATTAATGACTTGCATGTGTACATACACAGTCATATACTTTGCTTATAAGCACCTCATTAATCTCACTTTTTCTGTTCTTCGTAACTTTTTCAATTATTTTTTCCACTCACTGTTGCGGTATCAATGACAGTTTTCTCTCTTCCTTCAATATCTTCTTCATCTTCCTCATCACTAAAGTCTGCAGCTGCATTTTCAAGAAACTTGAAGGTCTCTAGCAGAGAGGCAGAGTCAGTCAATTCAGGTTTCCTAAGCAACAATAACAATCACCATCATGAGAGAAAAGAAATCACAATAAAGTCTCTTTTGCAATTACTAAGCTTATTATTACATCCAACAACATATAAGACTAAAATAAGCCTAGAAGTAAAAATTGTCTGTTAACAGCTAAAATTCCTGTGGCTAAAGAACTAAACTATAGACATGAAGTGTATTATTAGAACCAACATTTATTCTTAGTATGGCTGCCATTACTATGACAGACACTTCAATATTTTATTAAAAAAGCATTTTAGAGCAACATTCATCTGACACCTGCCCAAAGTAACATCAATACTGTTACCGAGCTGGGCTCCCACATGGACATCAAGGTACAGGAAAACTTTGCAACTGCTAGCTCATGCTCCTTATCTTGCTGGGAAACACCAAACTCCAGAGCTATCATTCATCAGCTTTTAAGTCATGATAAATATGCCACTATAAAAAATATAATGGGAAAATATAATTGATGACTAAATAATATTTGAATTTACATTAAACAAATAAGGAAATGGATGAAGATTGGGTAAAATGAGCACTGCACTGGCAGAAATATAGGCAGTGCCTCAAAACAGGAAGCATAAGGTTTGTTATTAACAACTGAAGAGGAAGAAGCCAAGAAACAGGACTGTAACAATTATTAAAACTCTGACAAAAGTACAGATAAACAGTCCTAAAATTATCAACAGGATCTGTGTTTTCTATGCAGAAGATGCATAGAAGATGCATCAACCCATGAAAGATACAGTGAACAAAATCTATTAATTTTGAATTGTTATAATTAATTCCAGTAAAACCTGGTACATTCTTGATACGGCTTTGAAAGCAGTGAAATGCAGTGAAGGCAAGCTTTACTGTTGTCTTAGCTTTAATCAGTAGTCAGTTTTTCATAGTTCACCACTAAATGCACGTACGTCATCTTGATTCTCACAAACACTGAAACAGCAGAGATCTCCCCCTCTCTCTCTATTCAGAAATGTAGCTCTAAGTTGTCTTATGCAGTCACCCTTACTACCAGCAAGTGCTTCTGCTACCTTTTCAAAAGGTTCAATCAGCTAACACACCTATACAGTAAGGCTCTGTAAACCCTCTGCAGTGTGAACACCTGATCATCTGTCCATCACACACTTACTCCAGTGTTTTGTCATAATACTTTCCAAAAGTCTATTACAGGAAGCAACCAAGGGCAAAAGCTTTGATGTGTAATAAGGTGTAATAAGAAGCACACTTCCTTCTTTGCAAAGTTTCTGCTCAAGCAGTTCTATGCTTCCATGACAACAAGAAGTGGCTTCTTCATACCCCAGTGTATATGCATTTCATTAAGACAATTTGTTACTCTATTTTTTTATTTGCTCACCTTTATTACCCAAAAATTTCACTTGCCATTAGAAATTCTGCATACACAGCAGCCTCATAATATACCTCGATGTACATTACATTTTCATGGTCACTGTTTTTCCCAAGAATATTCCTTCTGCTTTTCCAAATCTTAACTTAGATCTAAGAACAATTTTAAGCACATTTCAAATTTGTCCTGCTTCTGGCAGTACTGTGATGGTTGTTTCTATGACAAACTTGAATACACTCTGTAATATTTTTATTTTTCCTTAAGTAATCACTACTTTGGCAGCTTATAACACCTCATGAATCTGTTGTAATAATGAACATCATAGTATGGTTGCTTTGCTGTTTCCAGAAGAAAAATCTTAATAAGACAACAATTGTAATGTGCTTCATTTGACTAACTTCTTGACTTTCAGCAAATTCTGAGAGTCTCTGTCTACTTTTATTTGACTAAATCATCCAACCACCACTATTTCTGTTTTTTTCTCTGTATTATGCCATGTAAAAACATTATGGCTGATTATCTATAATAGCAATTATCAGACATACTCCAGTAAACAGCAATATATGAACTAATACCAAACACGGAATACAAAAGCATACTTAAGAGACCTTACTATTAAGAAACAGATATCCTTCTAAAAGTCCAATTATTTGCAGTAAATCATACCAGACCTATACTCATTTGCTCTTAAACCTGGGTCTCTCACACTGAAGTTCGAAGTGACTACCAAAAGAGGTTGTATCTTTTTTTTTTTATTAACTGATTTCAACTATTCTATTAATTATTACACATATTAGTGGGCAGGATATATATAAATAATAATGTCTCTGCACTTAGATGGGGAGCGGGGGTAAATGGGCATTTCAAGCATTGGGAAACATGGTAGCTTATTTATCAGGTATTTCAAAACTCCTGCACAGTACAAAAACGTACAGTCAGCATAGTGCCAAAGAAGTATTTGTGCTAAGAGACAACTTCCAAGAAAGCTTAAAAACCAAAAAAGAAGACAGAAAAGTCAGAATATTTAAACTATCCAAGGGTTCTAGAAGAAGATAGTTTCAAGATGACATGCTGATTTCCTATACTGTACCCCAAAATAAACTTTAGCAGTCAAATCAAAGGTGATTTAATAATCTGAGCTATTTGTCATTCTCTAGAAGCATATGAACATAATGCATTTTGGATAATGCTTGTTAGCATGAATACTTTGAAGGAAAATAAAACATACTGAAGAAAAATGTCTGGCCTTAGCTAATTTATGCTATGTATTTTGATGGTATTTCAAGCTTGCTTGTTTCATTAATTTTCCATCTCGTTAGTTTTCTTCTCTTAGGGGGTCATTCACAAAGCAACATAAAAAATCAGAAGGGTCAAAAATATATTCGGAGATAGGGCAGTAAAATAAATAACTTAAAATTCTATTTTAGAAAAACAAACACAATTTGACATTTCCAGGGCTTTTGTAGCTTCAATTATTTTTTTTTTAATCAATGGGTGAAAACAAAAGAAACAACCTCCAAAAGTGGGGACTGATATAAACTGTGGTATTACAAGCACGAGTGAGGCAAGACTACAGAAAGATTCAGGGCCTGTTGCAAATAAAGAGAGACCAAAAACCCTAAAAAGGTCCTAACAAGGACAATTCCTCTTTTTTGGACTGTCCTGTATCACAACATATTTAAGGGAGAACATAATTTTCAAAATGCAAGAACTTCGGTGCAGCTTTTTCCTTCCTCCCCAGCCATACTGTCTAAAGAAAACCAGCTGGGGAAGAATAAATCAGAACCCCCAGACAGCAGGAGAAGCTACAGAACGTACCAAAGCAGAAAGCACAGAGCAGCCAGACTGTGGCACGGCCTTCTCAACCCTGTGCTCCTCAGCTGCTTGTTCTGCATCTCTTTCCCACTCCTCCTTCCTCAGTTGGACTCTGCAACAGCACTCTTGCATGCTTTTCTCTCCAGCACCTAACTTTGTCTTCTTTCCTTGAAGGTCTCATCCCAGGTGACTCAGCACTTCCTAACCAACCAGCCCAACAAAAATCATTTAAACAGTATCATATCTTCTATCACATACTGTTGACTCTGTCCATTACATCCTCCTTTCCAGTAGCCTTATCCAAGTAGACAGGAAATTCTTTGGGGCAGAGATACTACCCTGCTACCCCTACCTACCCACAGTTAGGTACAAGACTAACTGCTTCTCATGAGCATAACAGTAAGTACTGTCAGAAGGTAACTGCAGCTAGACTAATGCTGCTGAGTTTTCCATCTTACTACAACAGATGGGCAGTGCAGATTTTGTGAATCTCACTCTTGAAACAGGGAACTTCTGATTCCCAAAGGTAAGAAATGTTTTCCTGTTTAAAACACAAAATTCTTGTTACAAATGGGATAGTAACTGAAGTACTTATGTCCCTTTCACAGCTGTGATGGCTGTGAAAATCTGATCCAAATATGTATTTTACAGGCTGTTCAATTATTCAGATTTATGTTAACCCCTTGGCCCCTTTAAGACTAAAAATAATAATATTCAATAAAAAAATATTATTTGTGGATATTCCACATATACTATTTAAATAAAGCAAGCCTGGCTTTGCTGGGCTCTGCAGGCCAAAACAGCAACTCTTGCTTTTCTGCCCAACATACCTTGAGACAAGTATTTTGTGTAAAAATCCAGTTGGTTCTGACACTGAAATATAACCAGCTTTAAAAAATATATAGTTCAGACTAAACACATTTACTCTCAACATTTAATATTCATGATCTTAACACACATCCTGTTTCTTAATGAGTGAAATGCAGAAGCCATAACCTACAGGCAAGGTGAAGTTCTTTTGTGGGAACTAAAACAGCATGCTGATGATACCTTTCCAGCTCCCAGTGTCACCCAGAACATTTCAAATTGCAAAGTCAAGTTTAACTTAGACTAAAGTCACATTATAGACAGGTATTTTCTTTGTAACCAACACACTCTGTATTTCTATCATTACCTTCTCTTTTGTTGATAATAACCCTGGAAAGTCTGTGGTCATGTCCAGGGAGAGTCTCAAATTTCTCCCATGAACTTTCCAACCACAAGGCCATTAAGTGCCTCAGTCCTACTCACAGCCTCAAAGGAAAGAGTAGAGGCCTTTTTTGTTTGTTTATGTTACCCAAGACATACACAAGTTATCTTAAATAAAACCAGGATTTTATTGATAAATTCAGAAGCAGGAAGAAATACCACAATAAAGTTAAATAAATACAAGTTCAGCTTAGGCTGAGAAGTGTTCCCGGGAGCTTGTACAGCTGGAAAGAACCTGTTGTGACCCACGATTCAGAGCTGTTCTACCACACTCTTTCTTGACCTATATTCTTTGGTTCAGTTTCCTACTACTATCAAAACAGCTACTGCACAGTCTTTGTAAGTTTTATTAATTCCCCACAGAATTTAGTTATCACATGTTTTAAAACAGTCTTTTCAAGTGGCTAGTTAAATTCTATCAAACTGTACTCATTAAAGGAATGCATGCAAATTCAATGAGAAGTGTCTAACAACAGTTCATTAGATGTTCAACACTGTAAAATCTTTCATAATGCAGCATGGAAAATGTAAAAATAATTTATAAAACTACAGGACAGTTAAAATCATCAACATTTACACACAATGAACACAGGCCAGGCTAATAACAGTCTGTCAAAACCTTTGAAATCTCCTATGAAGTCACACCACACAATGCAAGAGCTAGTGCAATATGTATTACAACTGGTAAGCAACACTTACAAAATGGTTTGTATGTAAATTGGAATCGCAAAGTTTAAAAAGCAAGAACCACTTCTCTTGCCAAATCTAGTCAGCTAACTATAATATATCAAAAAAATAAGCTTTATAAAGGATAAAATACCCCCTTAAAATTTGAGGTACCACAGTGACTTTTCTAAGTTATTTCTCTATTCATCTCCCCTCTCTTTGCTTCTCTCTCTCTCTCTCTCTCTCTCCAACTGCACAACGTCTGTCTTTCTCTACACTCTTTCTGTGCTGTGAGTCTTATGTGACATTTCCAAGAACTCAAATTCTTAAGCCATAAAATATTGCCAATTAAAAGCATGGTCCATTTTTACTTCTTTCTTCACAAAAAAACCCCAATTTATCTACTTTTTTTTTCCTGCTTTAGTGCATCTGTTGAAAGTGTCCAGATCTGGCCTAAATTAGTTACCTTTGAAATGTCTGTTAGGTTACTGCAAGATGGAGGCAGGGAGAAACAAACAAAAAAACCAAAATCCCAAATCTATTTGCTTTATTCCCTTTACTGGTTTTTCTTCCCTTTTTGCAATTCAACATCTACTTGCATACTATTTTGGAAATCTTTCTTATGGCAGCTATTACACCTGAGGTTTATAAATTCAGAGGTATTTTCCCAAATAAACCATTTTATAAGCAAGTTAATAAACAACATTCATTAACCAGTATGCAGCATTTTCATTACTTGGGCCAGTGTTAATAGGATTTAGAAATGCAAAAGGGTTATTAAAGTCTTCTGGCATACAAAGATGTTCATTCACTGAAGTGTCAGTTGGAATGACTTGCTGTGTATCAGAAAGATAAAGTTTGCAAAATTTTTAATTTTTGAAAAGGTCTTCAGATTTGCTCTCAAATGCTGAGGTTTGATGCTATTTTACTCATGTAAAAGTATTGGCAGTTCAACAGGAAAAGAAAAGGCAGCAGGTAAGTTCCAGAGACTGATACATCACTCAAGAAGTTTCTACTGGATATTTATAGTTGTAATGATCAAACTCTTAGCAAGAACTAATCAATACCATTTTTATATATAGACATTCATATGTATGCATAGATGTACACATATGTTTGGTATATCCTCATTCCTTCCAGTTCTATTCATTTATTATATTTGCTTTCACTCATACTAAATGGTAGTCAAATACACACCTTCAAGAAGGCAAACTAATTAGACTTTATGCTTCACTCAGTAAGAGAAAGCTACTAAATGAACCAAAGATACTTAAGTACTCTTGTGTTTTCAAGGCTACAAGCTACATTTGCAGGCAGCTTTCATTTCTGTTTCAGTTTGTTGGGAGAAAGCACCCGTTCCTCTCACTGCAAGTGTTAGGAATTTAAACCATTATTATGAGGTTATTATTTTAGTATCTATTTTTGAGTCCAGTCATGCTAAGTGGTACTTATCTTTTGCAATGCAAGTGAGCTGATTGAAGAAACTGAAAACTGATTCCTTTTTAAATTCCATGAAATAAGTGAAACAGGACTATATCTAGCTCACGATATCATATTAACATTTCATTTATGGATTCAAAATCTTGCAGAGTGCATTCAAGATCCACATGATGTCTTTCTTGAGTGCTAAAGTTTTCAAGAGGATCTGTACATCAGCAAATAAATAGGCAATGTAAGAATACAAGTCTGGCCAAACACGCAGCAGCTAGTAACAAAGCCTGAGGCTACTTCACCTAAGGATGAAGAGAAACTGATTTGGCTTAAAACAGAGTCAGACAACAGTAGTATGTTCATCACTGTATCACAGGAAGGGGAACTTCTCTGATGTAACTGCAATTATTTGGGATATACAAAACTAAGCTGAGAGGTTATGAGGGACCAGACAGCAATTTTCTAAAATAACTAGAGCCTAGCAGAATTCAAGTTACATATTCTCTGCTGTGAAGAAATATTATTGTATTAAGTATTTGTACTACACTAACCATCATATGCTTCTACTTACCAAAGCATACAGCATCAGCTTCACAATAATCACCCCAAACATTCTCACTAGCCTTTCCCACAAAAAAGCTCAACTCAGTGTTTGCATCCCAAACACTGAGTGTACAAATTCAACTGTTGAAATACGTATAAAGGACAGACAAGATAAAACTCATAAAACAGGCAAGGGCTGCTGTAACAACTTAAAAATCTGTAAAAGCTGTAGTAAGCTGAACAGAGGAAAAACATCCTCCCTACCCACCATGAAGTATACTCTTCACATATCCCTGAGGTCAGAGAAGAAATGCCACGAATTATCTTTAAAACAATCAAAGGCATTAAAAAATATTAAATAATAAGCAAAATGGGTTTCAACTGTGATCAGAAGTATAGTCAGAGCAAGTCACAGAGGTATTTCAGAGGAAGGCTGAACAGCAGCAAACAGCACTATGCACAGATGAATACGTTCACACAAAAACTATGCTAAAATCAGACCGCATTGAGAAGTAGATCAGCTCTTCCATTCTTTCCCTGGAATTTTTTGCAACACTAATTTATTCTGTCCTCCAGCACTTACATTTCACTAAGAAAGTATTGGTTGACTATCAAACAAATAATGAAAACATAAAGGAAGTTTTACTTTCTATTGCCACTACTCCTGCTCTCCTCTCAAAGAGATAACCATATGGCAGCATAAAGCCATCAAATACCACCTCTTTCCTTTCTTTGTAATTTATCACATGAATGTTCAGTTGTACCGAAGGCAGTTGAGCCAATATGTTCTTTCTGTAATTTATACTGCTATATGGAGAAATCTTTAAGGAAATTAAAAGCCAACATGCCTTCCATTTTCCTCTTCTGCAAATGCATCATTAAATCTATATTCCTTCTGCATTTCACAGTACCATTTTCTCCTCTATTGTAGATTATCTTAATCACATTCACCCACATTCTTTCCAAACTCCTACTGATTTGCCTTTATCGTTTCTCATCCCCAAGGTTTCTCTTTACTCCACCCCTGTACTCCACTTCTCACATTTTTCACTCCATGTAAACAGTTTTCTAAAACACAGACTTAAATGCACAGATTCAACTAGGTGCATGCTATCCAGTTCTTCCAAGACCAAACAGATCAAAAATGCTATGAACTGTCTTTTCCCACTTCAATAGAGGTCTACTCCTTGTTAAACTACATCCATTTTCATGTGTTACTTTCTGCCCAGTGCTCTGCTCTTCTATCCACACAGTCACTGAGAATCTTCAGTCTGCATATTAGTTTGCAGCTGTCCCAATGTCTCATGGTCCTGGCAAACACTCACATATGTCCTTAAACTTCCTGGAATTGCATTAAGCTTTTGTTTCGTTTCCTGTTCTTGCAATTTCTCACTGTAACTTTCCTCTTCTACCACTACCAAACAACAGACACTTGTTCACTGCACTCCTTCCAACTGTAAAAGCTTGCTGTAGCCCAAATCCATTTTTCACTTTACATGCACACAAGCAAGAGGCTGCTAAAGAAAGTGCCAGTCCTTTTGTCCTCAGTAAGTAGCCTAGCACTGGTGAGGTTGCTTCAAAGAATGCACCTTTCTCAAATGTAAGCCAGAACTTAGAGCTGAGTCACCTAAATTTTTCCTAGTTCTGACAACCAGGTAGGAAAGCATTGAATAAGTATTTCAAAATTTCAGCTGAGTTCAGGAGCAGCATCCTGAGTTCAGGAGCAACATCCATGTGCCTTAGACCTGTGTCATGTATTCAATGCTATACTTTTCAAAGAGAAGCTGTTCTATATAGGCTTAAGTTATGCTGGCATTACATGAGGCAGGTAACAAGTAAATATGACCTTATTTCTGTTTTTGCATCTACTACAAATCTGCACTTTGAAATTTTAGAGGTAAGTAATGATGCAGTTGGAAGAAGGTGAACAGTGCCAGATGTCACAGAAACAGTGAGGTAGCACAAGATGAAAGGGCTGTTAAATAACATGCAGCCTCTGCCAAGAAGCAAGACACAGAATGCTTCCTGAAAGAAAAATTGAAAGAGGCGGTCTGCAAATGTGATTGAAGCACCCAGAAGAAACACAGCACTGATAGGTAGTCCTGTACTTAGACTGATCAGGGAATTCTTGTAAAATCGTGACTTTTTTCCTTTCAGTGAGGGAGATCTCACTGGACATCCAGAAATTCAAAATCACCCATGAAGACTGACATGACCATGTTGAATAAGAACCCTGGAAATTTTTTCCACTGTAAAGCCCTAGAGTCCCTTCTCATTCATTATGTTATCAAAACACTTCCCTAAGCTCTATAATGCAGTCTGCCATCTCAGGCATCCCAAGCAAGAGCAGTTTTTCAAAATGTACAGCCTAACCAGCCTTGCAACTGACAAGCTAGTACAGCCACAATGGAAGGGAATTAATTTTTCTCCATCAGCAAATATCCTCAGCTATGGGGTAAACTACAAAGCATTAAACCTAATGTCAGATCTATCCCAAAACTAAGCAGATAGGAAAAAATGAAAATATATCCAAAACCGCTGTATCAAAACCACTGTCTCAGTATTTCACCCATCAAGTAAACTACCTTATACACATATCCACCTGCTTTAAAACTATGTAAATACACATAAATATATTTTGAAGTGTAATTAAGAGAAGCTTTATTTACACATTTCCCCTTCACCAGAAATCAAACCAGAACCGTTACTGCAAGCTATTGAGCATTCCTTGTTCTTCAAAACAAAGCTGCTGTACATAAATTGTATGATTTGTCAACTACGTAGCAATACAATATATTTTAGTAGCTTGCAGGTTTTCTCACACATTCAAGTTTTCCATCTCACAGCATTATATTTAATTACATAACAATGAACTTCTGCCCTTATGTAACTTGTTGGCCTGAACTTGCTGCAGATACCAGGAGGGTATAATGAAATCTTACAAATGCTTTTTAGAAGATAGGATGCATACTTAACAGTGTTAGGTCTTAGAAAATAAAGGTCTTGAATTTTGCACCATGAATATAGAAGAGGAAAAAAGCATTTCTGAAGAAAGCTGTGCTACTACTGGAAACAGCTACCTCATCTATTGTTCCTACGATTCTGCATAATTTTCATTATGTAGTTTCATTACTATAGTTCTGCAACTACAGTGTCTTAAACAAGAATGAACAGATTGTTTTTCTGAAGCCTTTAGAGTTAAGTTTAACTTACTTTTTTTTTTCTTTTTTAACACTGCATGGAAAAGAGAAGAAAATGGAAAAAAAGCCTCTTAAGGTTTAACATTACTTATGAATTGAGAACAAGCTTTTACTGTCTTTGACTGACTTTCATAGTATTAGAAATATTAAAACACAGAAATTAATGCCTTAAATTTCAGTGACATTTACATATGTCTATTGATTAGTAGAAAACAAAAATCTTCTAGGACTCAGAATGCAATGAATTACTTTGTTTTTCAGATTTAGTGAAAAAAATCCTTCTCTTATATAGGTTATCATGTCATAGTCAGCACAGACCAGATGAGCAAAGCCTGTAACCTACACAGTAAAGTGTCCAGCAATGCAAACAAACCATTAACTTGAACAACACTGACTTCTAAACACTTGGAAACACTCCAAAGAGGCTTGATTTGAATTAGTGCTGCCATTCAACCGGAAAAAAAAATAGGATGCTTTTAAGATACAAATCTAAAGAATTACTTCTATACTTATTGCTCAATATAATAAAATTAGTTAAAATTGCTCTAATCTAGAACTAGGAAAAAGTCCTGGAATCTCAGTAAACAAAAATTTTGTTCAACACCACTAAGTGCACTTATGCAGAATGATAACAAAGAAATCTTGATGCTTACCCCATCATTGCATTTTCTTTAATCTGGCCCTCTGTGCCATTTACCATTGGTTCTTGATTTCTGTTTTCTTTATCTGAAACATCACTTGAGAGGCCCAATAAAGCTCGCACTCGTTTTGATTTCACATCCAATACAGTGTCAGTGTAGCCCACCTCTTGTAGATACCTGAAGGAAGAGAACTCATGCTAATCTTCTCTGCACATGTCACTTCTGCAAAACATGAAATTCCGCCCTGCACTCATCCTCAATCCCTTAGCTTAGCAACTGACTGAACTTCTCCATGAACACATCCTCAATCCCTTATTTTAGCAAACTGCAGTGCTGAGCTAGTGAAACATGCTTGTAAATCATCCTGTACCAGCTGCAGAGGGATCGCCTCTTGCAGTACCAGCCTCTACAGTCACTGAGAGAAAAAAAAATCAGAGGTTATACAATACGTTATTCATTCATTTACTAAAATGGATGGAGAAACACTTTCAATTAAAATATTTACAACTGCTTTATAAATATCACCACAGTTGCATGCACAAGCATGGTCATTTTATTCTTTGACACATGGAAACTAAATACAAGAAGCAGCAGATATGTTCCTTACATGAACGTTATTAGAAGCCTAGAAAACAGAATAAAACTTAAATTCTTTAGCTGTGGCTATTAGTAAGAGTTGTTATTTATGATGGACTAGGCTTGATAAAATCTCTCTTGCCTTTCCTTTATTCTGCAATGGATCTGAAAAATTTTTCTTCCATATGACTGAACAGCAAAAATCCTTGCACCCCAAAGTTGGCTCTGGAGGTTTAAAGCTGGCTCTTTGACCAATATGCCACTTTGCCCTTGATGGCAACAGGAGAGAAATAATGATTTAAAAAAGTAAAAATTGGTTTGTGTCCTTCCCTCTAGAACATGGAGTTAATAGCAGTGAATTGACTGAATTGTTAATATTCTAGACAACTCTGAAGAAGGGAAATGCTATTTTACAGCGACAGCTGTTAAAAATCAGGGACATGCACTTCTCCTGCAAGAACATTCTCCTCCAATTATTTAACAATATCATTCACATAACAACATTAGCAGAAAAATACTGATTGTTGGCTACAGAAAAATCTAACAAGTCACCTATTCAAAACAGAGTCTGTAAGTAATATACACTCTATATTCAGCAGTGTGTCACTCTTGTATGAACTGCGCTGAGATGGAAGGACTTGTCTTCAAAATCACTGATCCAAGTCAAAATCACTCTATTTACATTTATTCAACATGCATCCAAAGATTTGAGCTCTTGCAAAAGAGAAGCTTATACAAGCCATCCAACAAATTTAACCTTTGCACAACTCTTTGGAAAGAGGTCTTTTAATACAAGGTTCTAGACCATCCTTACTGTCTCAGTCCCCTCTCATTTAATCCTCTGTAACACACCCAATATCATCGCAATTAAGTTAGTTACTATGATCACAATTCAAAAATTAATTCAGATTAAGAGACATTTCTTTCATTAACATGAACAGAGAATTAGAAAACATCTAGACTAATCTTCCTGATGTTAGTCTTTTCTGCAACTTAAGCAAGCAAAATAAAACCTTTTCTTATCCAATGCCAACTGGTTTTATTTTACACAGCTCTTAGTAGAAATTGTGTCTTTGCTTTTTAATTGTGAAGTGTCATGACCCACTGTTCTCCCAAGCAGATTGTCTTATTATCCTCCATGAAAGAAAAGTAAATGAGATCAGGTGTTTGTGACTTGACAAGGCTTCTCATCTGAAGGTATGAAATATTAAAATTTTTCAAAACCCAAAAGTAGTGCAGAAGCTCAATGAACTTCATCACACACACTAACTTTTCTTTCAGTAAAATATAACTGAAAAAAAAATCAAATACCATCACCATCATATTTCATTAGCAGATTCTTTCTTTGCATTCAGTATTTGACACCTTTTTTCAACACTTACTGTCTTAACAGCTGTCGTCCTTGTTTCCAAATTAGCTGGCTGTTCTGCTGTGGCTGAATCTCTGTCTCATTCCCTTCGTCTGAAAAAGATTATTTTATATACATTTTTTTATTTTTCCTATTTGCATAAAAATGCCCATCCACTTGAAAAGACAAATGTGATCTGCCTTAAAATGATTAGGAATGGTTTAATACCAAATTCAAAGTGCAAATAATGAAGGGAGAAAAAAAATGTCACAGTACATAATTGTAGTACTATATACACATAGAAATTTCCAGGTACATCCTGCTCTATGAGAGCAAGTTCTAACTCCTTTAGGGGAACATAATGACAGTCAGTCTGCAGTCCAATTTTTGCTTTGGCATTCCAAGATAATTGCTGCTCACATTAAGTCTGAATACAAATATCTTTAACTGCTAACTGCAGCACAATATTGGTTTACAACTTCCCAATTTCCTTAATATTTGATAGTTCAACATGAATCAACAGATCTACTTACATCAATTTAATCCATATTTGTATTAGTTTTGTAGAAACAAACAATAGGTACTATTTTTTAAACTGAAAAGTTGTTGAAAAATTTTCAGCACATTTTCCCCAACCATAAATGCTACTACTCCAGGAAAATTAAAATCTACCAAAAAAAAAAAGAAAAAAAAAATGTCTGTTCTCTTAAGAAAACTATAAGAATGCCGACAACCAACAGCTACACTTTTATTCCATATACAGCTTCACAGCACATGATGGTGGGTTATTCCCTCTCCTCAAGGAGATACATATGCTTCCCAAGACAAAAGATCTTGGTTTATCATCTATAAAAGCCTCTACAAAACTTTAAAATTTTGTGGTGCAAACACTGAAGTATGAACAAACTTCCTGTGTAAACAAGACTTAAGAACCAGAAACACCTGTGATATACTCATATGAGTAACTTGATATGTGACACAGGAAAGCCATTATTCTCATCGGAAAGTCACTTACCTTTAAACAACTCAATTAATACTACACAAAAAGACCCCACCATTACCAAAGAAGCTAACAAATACTAATCAGAATTCACATTCAAGGAGAGACATATGAATTTTAGACATCTCATTCACAAATCTATTTAACAGCAACCACAGGAAATAAACAAATGCACAATCATTTTCCAATGACAACTGGACATGGCTGGATCCAATGCACAGCTACCAAAGCTCAGTCTATAATTATTAAAACATGCCTGAGGTAAATCTGCCTGAAAATTCCTTCTGGAAGCAAAACCCATTCTTCTGAAGGCACTGTTAAGTATATCCAGAGGCAAGAATTCTCTTGTGCTTAGTCTCCTCAAAAATGATGACTGCAAGCAGTAGCAGTGGTTTACAGCTAAGAGTGAAGAAACTTGCATTGAGGGAATTATAGCAGAGGATATAGTATATATAGTAGAAATAAATTGTACAAGAAATTTTATTTTTAAAGTATCTCTTTACCAGGAGATTGAAATCTTTCTTCTACAAATTGTATTACAGACTCGCCAAGAGATCATACAGAAAACAACAAGGACACATGTGGAAGAACTACTACCAATATTTCGACTTTTTGTCATGACTGGGAAGGAAAAACAGGGACAGGGCAAGGGGAACATATGGACACACAACTTAGGTATCTATCAAAGATAACTTTAAAACAGCATTAGAACAAAGTTTCTATTTTAAGTCATCAGTTCAGATTTGATACAGAACAAAAATACACCTTTCTGATAGCTATATATAGAATGCAATGGGATAAATGAGAATAATGGAATTTTAACTAAAAAATTTCCACAGTGTTGACTTTGGAGACTTAATGCACAGTCTAAACCTCTGCTGGGCAAGCTAGGCCTCACACTACATTCCTCAGCTGGAAACTGGAGCAACATGCTGTAACTGCATCCTGAGAAATTACAAAAAAACCCCATGGCTGTCTAGGGTTGTGGTATGATCAGGACAAAGTTTTCCAAAAGTCCATATACAGATTGAGGCCTCCCATATAGTAGCACCAAATTCAATATTTCTTCAGTTATGGAAATAATGCTAATAATCGCATGAAATAAAATTTCTAAAAAACTAATTAAGAACTTGGACAAGAAAAGCTTGGTGTAAAGCATTGCTAGTTGGTGTGGGGTTGGATTTTTTGTTTGTTTGGGGGTCTTTTAATGACCTTCTAAACCCAATTAGGTAAGAAATCACCATGACAGTCAGCCAGACACAAACCTCCACAAACCAAGTGACAGAGATGAGATTTGCAGACATTCTATGCTCTGCCTTTACATATAGGTGGTTCCAATTTTGTTGTAGTAGAAGCATCAGGAGACTGAGACACAAAAAACATTACCTATAGTTTCAATGGCTTAACCATTAGCCAGATCCCTGTACCACTTTTTTGTATTTTTTTTCCCAGAGGAAAGGATAGGGAGGATGGGGGGATAAAAGAAGTAATGTAAATTCTTAATTTCCCCAGTTGAGTTCTTAAATTTATTTGTGTGAAGTAGGAGATGAAAACAAATTAGCTTTCCAGAGACAAAGGCAAAAATCTGAAATTCTCTAAATACATCTCCAATGATCATTTGAATTCTACAGAGAAATCTCCCATTCAAAAACTCTCACATATGTCTAACATGCATTTTAATTTTTTTTTCCTGGAATACCACTGAAGTAATTGAACAAAAAATTACGAACTATACATTTCATTCAGAAGAATTATCCAGAGATAAAAGGATTCTATTGCTGTGAATCTAGTATCCTATTCTAAAATATCCATACACATCACTAAGGAACAGAAAAACTATTTTCCCCAAGAGCAGTCTGTTGATTTGGGTTTGGATTTTTTTTTAAAATCTAAACTAACTTGATTTATTAATAGACTCTTAGAGCACTAGGATATATTTTTAACTGTACAAGAGTAAAATACAGGTTTTATTAATTATCTCTATTCTTCCTGCTCCATTAAGAGACTTATTTTATCAATACTATCAATTCAGCATTTGCACATGACACAGTTAAAGTTTTATGCCAGTAATAATCTCACTCTCATTAAATTCTTACCAGAATCATAGTTTGGTGGCTTCATATCTCCCTGATTCAATTCTGTGCCATATTTTAATTTGTGGTATTTAGCCCTGCAAGGAAATCAAACAAAAAAATATTTAAAAATCGACTAGTACATTCAAAGTATATCTCTCAACACATAAATGTCACCTGTTTTGACTTGAAAAGACACTCCTTTCTTCTAGGCTAGGAACAAAGCAAATCAAGTAATTTTACCATGACTTCAGATAGGTAATTTTACTGAAATATTTTTTTCCAAGGGTGACATGAAATTGCATAGTGATATGTGACACATAGGAAACACAGAGCAGTTGACTGCAGATTTTACAAAATGTTCTTGCTACAGAAAAGGTTCCTTCCCTGTGGACAAAAGCAACTCTTCTGTTTCCCTTCCCAACCCCCCAGTCTTTCCTTTTTAGCCAATGTTTATAAAACATTTTTACTATCCATGTCAGCTCCGTGCCATCTACTTCATATCTCATACTGTCACTCCATTAAGCAAACTTCAGTTTTATTCTTCAAAATGGTGTGCTCTCCAACAGCAGCAGGTCCTCAGTCAGAACTCTTCCAAACGAGATTTAGCAGTGACAACTCACCCACACCACTTTTTCTCAAAGCTACTAGGTCTGTTACTTGACCAAGTGCAAAAATGGAGACTTTCTTCCAAAAATATTTAGTCTTAAAAAGGCCTAATGCAATAAGCCCCACAGAGCATGCCATATTATGACAAGAGTAGCTACAAAAAAATGGAAATGCATTTTTGAGAAGCTTCATCCTAAAGACTCAGTATGTACAGACTTTGAAATATACATAATAACAGCACAGTAGTACAGTATTACACATGCACATGTAAGTTAACCAAGATTCATTACAGTACTCTTTTAACAGTGCAACAGAGAAAATTAGACAAAGTGAACCTTTTCTGGTTTTGCAATCTGTTCCCTCCGTCTCTGACACCATAACTTTAAAAGTCCAAAATTGCAAGTTTTATACATTCACAACTGGGTAGAAGAGTGGCACTTACACCAGTTCCTACCCTAAAAAAAAAGCTGAGAACTCAGGAAATGCTGCATGTGCAGCCTGAGAGTAGTGGGACAATCAAATACCACACACATACACACAGTTCAAATGCAAATATACGCAGTGAAGTGTAGGGTAGCAACAAAAACGCCGAAAAAGAAAAAAAAAAAAAAAAAAATCTGTCATATGCACCAACATGAAAAGGAGTTTCATTAGCTCCAATAGGCATAAGGGAACTCTTCCACTTAAAATTTGGTTTTGAAAAAATTAATGGGTTTGACACTTTGTAATTATATGAGGCAAGTTCTCACTAAAATCACATTACTATATTAAGAATGGCTGCAGAAAATGTTTTCAAGTTACCTACACCTATACATTGGTTCTTATATACCTTCACTATATTACTGGTTTTCCTATTTAATCAAGAAAGCCCATTACTTCTAACAAAATAGTACTGAAGAATGCTTCATGATTCTTATGTTTCAATTTCTATGGTAATAGATTCCTACTAATCCAGCTGCATTTTAATTATAATAAACATTTAATTCTGACTGAGAAGGGTAAGTCAAGAGTAAAGAAGTGCCTCTTAGGCATAGCAACACCAACAGATGAAGGAACTAACTCTCAAGAGTCAGAGCATGAAGCTCTAACTCAGCTGAGCAGCAATCAACAGGAAGAGGAGAAATGATGTGCTTGAAATGTATTAAAAGCAATAGATGGAAGTTAAACATTTTGGTCAGTATAGAAAAGAATAACCAAGAGTGGAAGAAAATCAAAGCTGAATGCTCAAAGTATTTATCTTTCCTTTTCCAACTATCCATTTCTTACATGTTACCCTAGAAAAACAACTGCATTATTGTTAAACTGTCATTATTGTTAAATATTTATGCTATGTATTCTTTTCCTCCACCACCACTAATGAAAAGCAATGATTAATCAAAGAATTAAGAAATCCTCCACTCTGTCACCAACTTCAAAGAGTACCATTTTTTAATGCAATCAACAAGAGACTTTAATATGTAATCTATTTTAATCTGACTTAACAGAAGAGAACAAATATTAATACTCTGATCTAACCTGGATTACTGACATATGTTGTGTTCTACTTCATTCCTTCTAAGAATTGTGGGAGAAGTTGGTTTTGCAGCAGTCAACACTTGCTTTTAGTCCACTATGCTCTACACATTCACTAGTTTTCTTATCAAGTTTTGTTAATCATTTTCAGCCTAAGAAAAATGTTTCCTAGGTTCACTGAAAGGATAATTCTTTGTATCTTTCCTGTACCTCAGATCTCATGTTCTCTAAAATCCATCTTTCAAAGATTCAGACTGCAGGTTTTTTAACTTCTCAGTGTATTTAAATCCATTAAATCAATTTTTGCCCACTTTTTAATTCACTTCCCTCTTAAATCAACATTAATGGTCTTTTTTCTTACTCAGGTTTTCCACACTCATCAAAAGCATTATAAAATAATTTCACCAAAATGAGATTATTCATTCTAAATCCATTTTAAATTGTTAGTAACCAGGATTTTGTAACGGTTTCACCTCACAACACAACAGCTTTTAAAGCTTTTGTTGTTATTGTTGAAGAGGATAATGTAGATTACATGGCCTTGCACACCACTGTTCCTTTAAATTTAATTTTAGGGCCAAGCTGGACTAAGATTTCATCTTTTAGAGAACCTAACTTTGTATATTGCAGGCAGAGACCAGCAGCCCTACAGAAAAGGCAAAAGAACCATATTCTAATGAAGAGGCAACTGAAGAGATGAAAAGCCCCAAAAAGTAATCTTTATTTTCAATATCACTGGAAAAGTTAAAAACAAAGTTATAGAGCTCTGACTGCACAAAATGACAAAAACCTCCAATGCTATAATCAAATCTGAATTGAATTAAATTGGTATCAATTCAGACCTCTGAGCAGGATGCAGATTTGAAACAGAAACATGAGTATCATGCCAGAGTATGTGACACACTGAACTCATCTTCAGTTGTGGCCAGCTTCTGAAGTTAAAAATCATATTACAAAAAACTCCCATAAAATCAATATAGACTGCCTGTAGGTCATCTAGGAAATATCTTCTACACTTCTTCAGGCTGTATGAAATTTATTATTAGACACCCTTTTATGATACAGCTGAAAATGTCACAGGTATGGAAGATAAACAATCTTTTTCTCAAGTGCACTAAGAGAAAGGCTGAACACCATGACTCAGACTATAGGACTAGATGGGAGTCTTGACCCTTCAGTTACACATATTGCAATCAAATGGTATGAAACTTTTCACAAAATAACCTTTAATTCTTTTCTACACAAATTCAAAATATCACTTATTCCATTAGCACATTTTAATTTAATTGGCTTTTACAATGACAGAATATCTCCTGCCCACCTGTAATGCTGACTTTTTTCACTTTTGGAGAAATCACATGGTCCAATTATTAACAGCTTTAAAATGGCCTTCTACAGCTCACCTTGAACTTTAGCTCATACATCCCAATAGTGTGATACTACCATCAGAAAAAGAGATAAAGTATATTTTGTGTAAAAAAAGTATAAAAAAAATGAAATTTATTCAACCTTTGTATCATCTGGTCAAAAAAAAAGGACAGTAGTTTGGTGGCAGGGGAAAAAAAGAAACAAAGATTTATTTTCTGAAACTTGCTCAGCTTCAATGATTTACCTGCCATTTCTGCAAATTACATATGAATTATTAACAGTATGCAGAGACAAAAAAATGATTTTAAAATGTTCACCTAAGGATACAGCTTTTTTCTACCTGAAGGCTAGCCTTCCAGTAATTTAAAAGAAAGCTATTTTAGCACTGTGAAACTATGTTCCTGGGTAGATGCCCTTACTCAGATAAGTATGAATATTACCACTGCTCTGGCTTCTGCCCTTCATTACACAGTGCTCCTCTTTTGGTTAGCATTATTTTCATTAAACTAACTATGTGTCCTCTATTCACTGCTTGGAAACATTCAACATGGCTGCCACACAAGAATTGCTCAGGAAAATGCTAAAAGCCTTAATCTACATTTCCTAAGACTGAGTGCAGTGAAACTTTTCTGAATACTTCACACAGAAATAAATTTTATTCCAGTCAAAAAAGCCACTATTTCTTGGAAATATCTGTCTCCAGACCTGAAGCATCTGATCCAGCTGTGCTGAGGGAGCCTGCCAAAACAGCCGTAGAAGATCTGGGAGCTGCCGCCAAATCAAGAGACATAAATAAGAATGACTGCCAGGAACAGCACGGCGAGATATTCTACCCGGGGGAGAAGGCGCCAGCCTTACACTGATCAGACACATCAGTGCAGAAAACAACACAAAATTAAATCAACTGTTTCTAGAGACATAGCTCAGGAGTCCAGTTCTTTGGTTGACATATGTTAAGACAGGACGTGAGCTAGACTAGCCGAAATATGACATGTTCTTGAGAGAAACAGTACTATGTTTCAGCTAGCTCCTGAAAATCCAGAGGCACCAGTGCAATTTACTGATGGTGGAGCAAGTATTGATAAAGTCATAAAAAGTTCTCAATTCTGAACAGCCTCACACTGCAATCTACTGGATGCTGGCAAAACTACATCACAACTGCTATTGAAAAATGCTAGCACTTAACTACACACTAGCTCCTTCTAAGCTCCTTGCAATTTTGCCTACTAAGACTCTTCAGCAGAAATAACCTGGCTTGCTATACACACATAGAATAAAAAGGTAACCTCACAATTACTGACATAAAGACTAAACATTAAACTAAATTTGCCACAAAAGCATGACCATCAGTAGTAAAATTTATTTTCTACCTTACCCACACTAAAATGACATGACATGAAATAGAAAACAACAGTGATCCCGAAGCTGTTAATTTATAGTAAAAATTGAAACTATTTGGTTGATAAAAGAAATGAGGAGCAGCCACTATAAGTAACAGCAGCTCATAGAAGCATGTACCTGAGTAAAGAAATGTTTCACATTTCTTTTTCATGGTTTCCTGAAGGCATTGTGAACATGGAGTACTCTGGTCCAAAATTTAATACTCTGTTCTGTTACTCATAACTGATTTTGTCCAGCTGAGAAAGATCTGAAATGCCATAGCAGAAATGAAGGAATACAGGAATGATTCCCCATCCTCTCACAGCACACCAACTTTCCCCAAACTTGACAGGAATGTCTTCCTCCTACCTTGTAGGATCTCATGAGCCCAATGGAAAATGCCAGCATCCTGACTACTGTCTGACCAGGCTGCCAACTGATTTAGGAAAATGCTGGGAAACAGAGCAGTGCTCCCAAGCTCAGTATGTTGCTGTTCTTTCAAGTATCAAGCAAGAACACTCGCTGAGAGATAATTCCAGAAAGAAATAGAAGACTATTTCTTTAGAAACTGGCAAATAAAACTGCTGTTTAAAACTACAAACTCATAAATAGCTGTCTCCAGCACACACACCAGTCACAAGCATCACATCTGCTTGCAGAACCACTGCACACCCGTACTGGAACTGTCACACTGGATCAGATCAGCTGACTGTAGCCTACTGACCTGAGGAACCGAGACTAATGCCACGGACTGCAGAAAAACATGCAACATAAAAGATACAGATGTAAAAACTGTAATAAGAACCCACCGAGTGTTTTTTCCTAATCCTGACAGGGACTGCTGCATTAAGTTTTAAATGTCATAGTTTAGGTGGATTTTACACTGTAAAACTGAGGGACATTTTCACCATCCATATGGAAGTTTGATTTTTGTTTTTTTAATGTTACAAAGTTTCTCTGATAGTACACAAAAATGTATTCACATAGTTTGATAATTTTAAATTGCTAACTTCTGTGCATTTTGAACATGAAGAGTTAGAGATACTTTTACATAATCAGGAATAGCTCCCACCAGTTTTGAAACAAGAAATCTTCACAGAATACATATAACTACAAGTATATCTTTAACCAAACCAATGACAATAAGCTTTGTGAATATGCTCCAAATGTAAGCCTTTCCGCAGCCATAAAGTGCAAACTCCATGATGCATACATTTTGTATTTTTCTGTGCTCTTTGATGTAGTATCAGTTTAGTACCATAACAAGACCTGGGCAAAAAGAGTATCTACCTTAAGGATTCCTCCCAGAACTCCCCAAAGCAGTAGAAAATACATTGGAGCCCTGGGGCTACTGCTGGCCAGAACCCTGGCTGCATCCCCATGCTAGTGGATTAACTGGTTGCTACCAAGAAGTTATGAACTGGATGGTAGTGCTAAAGGAGCCTATATAAGATGAGCAAATCTGAATGCAATACAGTAATGTAATTATTGGTGTCCTTTTAAACGTATCTACCAGTGATGTTCTATTCCTCATTTGCATATGTGTGTATTTTAAATCTTATTTCTACTAAACAAACTCCTTCAGAGGCTTCTTTTATTAAAGAGAAGCAGGAATTATTTGATAAGAAAAAGATAATATAAGCTATGACTTCTTTGCAGCAGTGCCATAAATATTCTCTTTATTCAATAATTTTAAACACATTTCACCAATTAAAAGAATTTAAACTAAACCTTGCCTAAAATAAATTGGTTGAACAGAGAGATTTCCGAAAACATGATAAAAAAACAACCTGCTTGCCTCAAAGGCTGGAATAACAGCAAAGTATACATAAGAATAAAATGGTAAACTGAGGACTTGTACTAAAATGTCCATGAACCATTGATAAACCAGTAAACATTTTTTCAATCACACAATTAACCTCCAGAAGATATTCTTGTAGAATTTCTCATATTGAAAAGACTAAAAACTTAGCAAGATTAAAAACTAGTAATTATTAGACTGAAGATAGTTATTCAAGATTTCACCTGACACATATTAGTAAACAAAGCTATTACTTTGAACAAAATGAAAATACACTGTCATTCTGGAGTATAATCTATACAGTTCAGTGGAATTTTACCAAGGGAAAGCATTCATTATGGATCAGCTATGGGTTTTGTTAGCATGTTTTTCAAGCCATATTTTAGCTATTGTTCTTATCATAATGCAGACATTTAGACTAGTGGTTTTATTTAGTACAGTAAAATCTGTCAATCTGAGAACTGAGTAGAGACAGGAAAAATATTTCTTGGTTTTGTCAAAAATAAAGGTTCTGTCTTTAGCATTTCTTCATCACATACTGATCGTAAAAGCAGCATACCTTTCCTGTTTGAGCGCATATTCCAGCATTTTGATTCTTCGCACTAGATCCTTCTTCAGATTTTCCTGTCCTTTCCTTTCACCTTGAAGAAAGGCAATCTGGGCCTGCAAAAGGAAGTGTTCAATTTAGAATCTGCTTGCTCAAAATTATTCAGCTTAGCTCTTAAGTGTGTCTGTGTGTCTTCCAAAGTTAATTTAATATTCATTTGTAGAGTTCAAAAGGAGTTGGCTTACTATGCTTCGTAAACATTAAACACTTAAAAAATCACTGCATAGGTACAGCTTCTAAATGGCATGCTCACTACAGATCAAAAAAAAAAGAAAAGAAAAAGATAATAAATAAAGCAATTTTGGTTTGTTTGACAGGGTTTGTTTTCTCTCTTGGATAAACATTCAATAAAGGATAAGAAATGGATAAAATAAGCATAGAAAAAGCCTTCAGCAGATAGAAGTATTTACCAACAATAATCAAGAGAAGATGATAAAGTATTTCTGCTCACTAACTGAAGTAGTGTATAATTAGGGTATAATTCTATAGATACATGACACTAGTAAAAAAACCTGATGTAAACCATGTTCAGCTAAAATAAGAACAAAAGAAAAATAAAACCCTGTTTGCAAAATACAGGGTTAAGTGTTCATTGTCATACTCACTAAAATAGGTTAAGGGAAGCTCTCCAGAAATACTGTAATTAAGAGAGGAAGAAAAGGAAAACAGGGAAAGGTATTTTGTTGAGGGAGACAAGGAGAGAAATGGTACATAAGTAAACAAAAGTAAAGCAGAAAATAGATAGCTAACCTCTATCAACTTCCAGCACAAGTATTCATTTGCCTGTGAAAAATCTCCTTTAAATAGAAAATTATGACAAACACAAGATATAAATTCCTAATCATAAAGGAAGAACTACCTGATTTTCTACCTAATGTTCAAATCAAGAGGCAAGTTCTTGTGCTTGCTCAACTCATAAATACATTTTTAGGCAAAAATACCCTACAGGCAGTGACCACATCATGCCTCAGTCTCACCTGCCATTTCCAGGATCAGAAGCTTTCTGCACCTCTACAGCTAAGTCTCCATGCATCTCATCTGTCTCTGAAGAAGCACAGCCAGGATAAATGGCAACTGGCCCACACCACCAGCTGTTGAGCATGACAACCTATAACCCTTTAATTTAAATAAACACCCAGGAAAGTCAGGGATTAAAAATGAGCAGGAATATCCTATCCTCACCTGTCACAACCTTGCAATCAGTCCTCAGATATTTTAGTTAATGGAGACAGTTGCTTCCAAAGAATCTGACTGCAGATTTTTACCCCAAGGTGAGAAAAAACAGAGTCTCTAAATGCCATTTTCTCTCCAGCAACTATAAAGGGAAGGCACTCAGTTGGACTTTGGTGACTAGGCAAGATTAATCTCACACCCAAAGCCTTTTGCTGGTGGCCAGCAATAGCAGCTGCTCTAAATATATCACACCAGCTGACATTATTTCATTGCTCAAGTACAGCCAGTAAATAGCATGACAGACACCTGAAGGATCCTTAACTGCCAGACACCAACTAGACCAGCCAGTTTATGACAAGAGAAAAACACTGGCTGCTCTCCAACTAAGTCACTCTTCACTTTCAACAGGGGAAATACATTTGAATTCCAAAAAAAAAAAGAAAAAAAAAAAAAAGTCAACAATCGAAAGATCTCTCACTCTGGCATCAACTACAATTGAATTCTAATTTTACGTCCAGGTTTAAAGAAGGGCAGGAAAAAGAAATGTTGATGCTGGAGTCAGCATTTCCTACCCCGAGGAATGTAATGTGTGAGAAGCATCTCAACTCGGTCAGCATCCCTCCCAAGAGGAGCATCTCAGGCACATAAAATTTAGTTTGCAGTAACTGTACAGACACACAGATTCTCACTCCATATCTCCACATAGGCCCGGCAGAACTAAACATGTGCTGTTCTTGTCACAAGGGAGAGAATATCAAAATGCACCTTTAAAAACAGAAATCATGATGTAAATATGTATTTGGCTGGGATGAAGATCATCCAATGCCATCAGGACACAAGCTGAAGTGATCTATTATGTGACCTGCTATCTGCAAGCAATTTCTAGCCAAGAATGAACTGACTGAACACACTGGAATGAAGCATTTTTACCCGGAAGGTTGGCAAACAACACAGCTCACACACTGCTATACTACAAAGGTCAAAGCAGCATTACTGTGCTAACAGTTGAGACTAAAGTCATCTTCCACTGGTAGCAGCCTAAACTAAACTAAAAAAATGCAACTTCTCAGTAGTTTTAACGGCTTCCTTTTGTAAGAGGGAGAGACATAAATGGATATGATTAAGAAATACTATATGACACCTCCTCCATGTGGACATCTTTTGTTGTCAGTAATACGTCCATGCTCTTAATGATGTCTTAGAACTTTCCTTTTTCCTAGATTTTCAAGAAATACTTGTGTTTCGTACTTAAAATGCCCACAGAAACAACAGAAGAATCCCTAGCCTGAGAGCCATTTCTCCAGCCCTACATAAGCTTATTGCTAGGATCCTTCAAGGTTAATAAATATAAAATTTACAGATAGGAAGTTATACTGGTACTTCCAGAAACTGAGAATAATTTTGCTCTCTCCTTGGAGTCTGCATGGCTTTTAGCATAGTTTGTTCATGCTTTTCTTCAGAGTAGCATGCCTAATACTCACTAGTTTTGAAGAATTCTGGCTCTGGAAATGAGAATACTTACATTTAGTCATTTTTATAACATAGAGAAATATTCCCTTTCTTATCCACAAGATGTTAGCAACCCTTATCCCTCATTTATACATATACTGAGTAATTACAATTACATCAGTCTCAGTGGACAATAAAAATCAGTTATACATGTAAGCTTAAATGTTATTTGAGAAATTCTTAATGAAAATATTCAGGTTTGATTATATTGCAAATAAGGACAGTATTAGACTAATAGCTGAAAATGTATATTAACAGTAATATACTAACAGTTCATATGTCTTAAGCAGATTTCATTCTTTAAAATTTCATTATTTTGGTAATTCACTGAAAATATGCAAAGGAACCTAAATGTTCATACTGTAAAACAAACACTTTGCAGATAAATGTAAACTGAATAAACAAGCACAATGAGTTTAAATATCTAAAATTACAAAATATGACATGTAGCAGTATTTTCACAGTCTCTAGAACAATACAGTGGCAACTGTAGGATCACTAGTTCCAATTAAAATACATAGACAACACCTGTCTAAACGTCTGTGCAAACATTGAATGTGCAGGAGGTCTGGGTTGAAACACAATGAAAATTATAAATGAACTGCACAACTACAGTTTTCTTATATGTCAGTCAAAAACGACAGAATTTTACCAATAGACTGAGACTCCACAGGCAACTTCCCATGGCTGCAGCTTTAACCCAAGTCAAATCTGGAGCCTGAGCTACACCTGAGGGAGTAGAAGAGCAAAGTAGATTTCCTTCCGCTTTGAGTAATCTTTGACACTGCTCTACACTTGTGTTTCGACCACTCCTGGGAAGGTTTGCCAAAAATTTCAAGAATCCACAAATATTCCCAACAAACAGGTTCTGTGACAACTGACCTTCTAGGTAGTAAGGTAAAAATGCATCAAGTTGTAATCCAGTCTTTGCAAACCTCAAAATTGCATATGGGGATTGTGCAAAACCTCATATTGTTCCTTGCTTTATGGGTGGGGCACATCGTCTCCACCATAAAGCACCCGGCCCCGCTGGCTCCACAGCAAGAAACAGGGCAGGATCCGCCTCGAGTTTATTCCAGGCTAAGTGCTACAAGTTACTGTATTCCAGCTCAACTGTCAAATTAAAATCAAGAGAGAAGGAGAAAACGAAACAAACAAAAAGCCAGAATCAAACCACACAAAAATAGCTGCCACAAAACCAGAGAACACTGGAAAAAGACATGCTTGGAACAGTCTATTTCAGCTGCAATTGTTGAGTCCAGTATTTTTTTTTTCAACTTCATCTCACCAAAATTTTTTGTATGACCAACTGCAACATAACCTAAAAGTATCATACACATCCAGTCTACATTACAGCACTGTAGATACCTTAACTATTCCACTTCTCTATTAAGAGGTTTTAAAAATAACATTCATTCTTATATTAAAAAAATTTTCAGAGACAACCACACTACTGTTCTACAAAATTCCCCTAAGGACTCTAATGCCACATTACTGTGAAGTAGACAACAAGGTGACACAACGTTTTAGGTAGCACTGCACTAAAAACAACTCTTTAAATGTTGTTAATTTTCTAATACAGGCTTAGCAGCTGTAACAACATAATTAAATAATGAAATCACATCTTATTAAATCCAGATTTTACCAATGTTTAAAAATTTACACTGAAATTTATAATACCTCAAATCAGCAACCACAACAAGCATGTTTAAAGTATATTCTATTTAAACATCTTTTTAGGCTTACACTTTGACACTACCTAAGAACAGAAGATTAAAAAAATACTCCTCTTATACAGGAAGTTTTAAAAAATAGGCATACTATGACTGCTAAACAACTGGTGGACATTTAGTATCAACTTCTATCGGTTTCTGATTTTACAGCTATTTCAATTAAAAGGCTTTTTTTTTTTTTCAATTCATACAACTCAAAAATTATAAAAAGCCTTTCTATTCCTCTCTAAAATATCTATAATAATATTTTAAAGTAAATCTCACTTCACATTTATGGGCATTTAAAGGTCAACAGACATCGTTTGACAAAGAGCTGCTTAAGACACACAATTCTCTACATAATGCTTCCATAATCCAACAACCAGATCTTCAGAGGTTGAGAGAAAGAGGACAAAAGAGGGGGGGAGGGGGGAACTGCAGGAAAATTATTGCAAAAAATATGCAGATAGCGAAAATAACTAAATACATTATAGAGATGAATCAATCTGGAACAGTTGTGCTAACCGGTCTACCAAGATCTGCCACAAGGATTCTGCAGGCTGCCAGGGTACTCAGTATTTTAGATTACAGCTGGCTCACTGAAGCACTACATATTTAAGTATATTTGTAAATAAGTGTAGGCATGCCCCAGGGGTGAGAAG